AAGTGAGATGATTGTCACTGTATATTTTCCACTGTCAATTAAAATAGCATGAGTTGTTTCGATGCACTTTTTTCTTTTTTTTCTGCCTGAATATTGAAAGTTGATAAAATAGCAGATTGTGTAAATACAGCAACAAATCGGAAATATTCCATATTATCATGAAAACTAAAGAGATAGAATTAAAGAAGTTTTCTTTCTTTTGGGGGGCCGATGCAAATTTGACTTTCACTAAGTTAAGGCTTATCCTTTTTAATCTTTCTTAATTTAAGGTAACAGATGTGTTTAATTTCTAGATCAAGAAGTGGCAGAGCTCAATATGAATGGGAGAGTGGGATACACAATGAGCACTGAAGCACTTAACCATGATGTGTGCATAACCTCAATGTAATGCATTTTCAAGCCACCACTGTCAATACCATGCTAACAATAAGAAACATTTTTTAATTAGACATTTTTAAATACCGCAGTGGCCATACTAGGTCAGCTCTATTTTTCATGTCACCCCCTTGAAGCTGAGACAGTGCGCTGTTCTGCAGCAGCCATGATCGTATTTCCTCAGGGGAAAGCAGAGCTACACGTGTTACATATGAAACCTTTTGCATATGACAATAATATAATTGTATTACAAAGATAAAAGCATTGTCTTCCTCATTAATTTCATAAAACTATTATTGTATTGTACATTTTTTTCTTCTATATTACAGCTGTATGAGATGTTGGTAAAGAATGCAAAGGGCTGTCATATGATGGAGCAGTGCCATAAGCTAATATAAACTGATTTATCATGGCATATTCCACTTCACAGTGATAAAGAAAGAAATCATTTTAATGGATTTAGAGAAAACCCTTTAAAACCTTTTCTAAGTCTTTTTCAACACATTATTGTAAAGCTAAAAACATTGCAACACCTCAAACCTTACATGCCTAATGCAGGGGACACCGATGCCACTAAAAATAAACGTAGCTCTAAAAGTAATATGTCTTGCACTAATAAGCCTGCAATTTTAGGTTAGGTCTATATTAAAGTTTATGCCAGCCATGGAATTATGAGGCATTTTATAAACCCTGCTGTCTTAGGGACTAAAGGAGCAACAGATATGGCAACACATCTATCCAGTGAAACAACCTCCACAACAAACATTTCAGTGGCTGGCATGGAACTGCTTTCAAATGTAGAATTTATTGAGGATCAACATTTTCTAAACACTCTTTTAAATTGCTGTTTTATTTTTAATACAATTGCTCTCAGATTTACAAAATAAAATCATTTTAGATATTACTTAAAAATAAGATGTTAAAAAATAGCAGTGAGTTGAATAATCAAAGCTCTGCGTGGAGTGACAGATGGAAAGAGCACATGCAAACTGTTTATGTGTCTTATTACACACACATGCATATTTCTCTAAACATGGCTAATTACTTCAACAGCACAAACTGCAGTCCAAGACGTTCAGGTCTTTTACGGTTTTCATCAGTCCTAAGATCTGGCATAAATGAGTTCAAGAACCGTTTTTAGTGATCTGTGCTGTCATGGGCAATGGCACGCTGCTAATCAACACCTGGAAAGGTCAGAACTTGACATGACCTCTAATCTTGTAAATCATAAAACGTTCGCAATCCCATAGTTCAAGTCTCTTTGTTTTACAAAACTAAACTTTAGGAAAACAGGTAAGACTGGATATCCTTTATGAAAACAGTCTTGTAAATTGTCATCAGATTGTACTGATTAATTTGGTGTAGATTCAGCGGCTTAGTTTAATACCTCGTGTTCTGGCTGAAGGATACAGTACATTTATCACAATACTAAATAACTGAATTAACACTGAGGCTCAAAAATGTACCGTATGAACTTAAACAAAAATCAAATGTAAGAGCAATTTCTCACAGAATATTCAGAGTGCAGAATAGTGTGGTGCATTGTTTTACAGGTACTAATATGTGCATTCAATTTTTATATAGTAAACTTACTAATTGGTATTCTTCAAAGATGTATGTTACAGCAGCAATTTGTAATTGCTAAGTAACTGTAAGCCAAAGACTCCCATACTGTTTATCAATATTCCAATACAACCACATTACTGTCAAGTGATTTACAATATAGCCAAATTCACTGTCTGTACAGAAATCATATAGCCAAGTCAGTGTCGATACAATACTGTATTGTAGCACTGACTACACGTATAAGAACTCTATAAAATATTGTATCTAGTTATTCTCGCAAAACAAAGAATAATGTACAAACTATGTTCTATATTAAGCATGGCTGTTTATGCTTTAGTTAAACAATAAGCACTGATATTTGACTGCAAAATCCAAGGTTTACATTCTTTCTTTATAGTTAATAATTAGATTCACATGAATAATAAAACCAAAAGCTGATTTTTTCCAGTATAACTATAGTTAGTCAACAACTTAAAAATACCTTTAAACATGCTTTCTCATACATTAACATTAGTTGATTCACAAAAAGAAAACCACCTGAATTAATGTGATAGAAGCTGCTATCATACATTGTTTCTAACTTACATTCTAACTTATCATACATTGTTTCTAAAATTATCTATGGTAGACATCATTGTGTCATGGGCACTTGGTACAAATTTAAGGAAAACAAACACCGCAAAAAACAGAGACACATTCCGAAATGATGTTACCCATAAAAAAATCACCCATTGTTATTTTATAGCTACTAACAAGTACCTCCATCACTAAAAATCCATCACTAAAACAGCTTCTCCATATCCTTACCTTATGAAAAAGGCTTCACATACCACACCAGAAAGAACAGATTGCCAATTCAGTATTATTTGCAAATGCCCAAAAAGTGAGATGCATACTAAGTGGTCTATATCACATTACCTTGTGGAAAACAGACAAGAATGCATTTGGTGTGATATACTACTCATATTGTGATATTCTACATACTCTACTTATGGTGTTAGGAAGTTGAGTTTTACACTTGATGCCCAAGAATCTATGTCTTGTCCTTCTCAGGATTCTTACTTGTCTTACCTGAATGAATATTTTACCCTTATTCACAATCCAGTCATATGTGACTATGGAAATACATTATTAATACGCAAGTAAAAATAAATATGATTTGAATAAGGTTTTAATTTAAGAGATTGTATGTGCAGAGTGTATCTGCTGTCTTGTTGTCTGACTAAGCATGCAAGAGAGTAAAAATTAGTCAGTCTAGGCATGTTGTAAATTAGTCAGTTTAATTATAGTTGTGCATTATGTATTGCAGTTATTCACTCCTCCAGAAGGATTGAAGTGGGGCTTTTTTAGCTTCCATGCCATTGATTCAATACTACTGCTTTCTTGGAAAAGGCATACCAGTTTAGATGTAGCCCAAGCCTTATATACCAGCTACTAAATGCGAATAAAAGCAGAAAAATCTGCTAGAAGGTTTATTAAGACAGCTTTAATATAGGTGGGTGGCATGGCATCAAATTTAAAGAAAATGTGGGTTAACGTGCACTATTCTTAGTTGGAGCTATCCTTCAACTCAAAAACCAGCTGCTATTAATTGCAATCAGTTTCATATTGATTGTAATGAGTTAAGACATAAAACCACATTAGTAAGATTAATCCGCTATTGCACATAACCAGTAAGATGGCAGCCACATAGCCAATATTTACTGATGCATGTGTGGAAAATGAAAAGAAAAGGGATATATAGAATCACAGAGCTGATCTCATATTTATTACATGGCAACCAAGGTGTTCAGGACGATCAAGAAAAAAAGAAAATCACAAACACTGATGACTATCTACACTTCATTCATGGCTTTATATAAGAAAGCACCAATACCTGGATCAACCCTGATTTGTTTTAAACTCACACAGATTTTTGCTTTTAGCTGCTTTTACTTGTGTTCCCCAAAACAGATTCAAACAACATTGTACTGTATACTATAGACACATTTCTCTGGGTTTTCACTAATGGAACCTTTGTCAAATCAATTCCATGTTTTGGACAGACACCATTCAATCTAATGAGGAAAAAATAATATCAATGCAGATGAGGACAAATTAACTATCTATAAATCTTAAAAAGATAAGTTAACCACTATGACTTTGTTTACTTAAAACAAAAAGCTCTAAGGTTTATTAGAACCTGAACACAGTTCAATTTTAATGACACATGTTTCTAAGAACCCTCAGATTCCCCTAAAAGAATACACACCTATGTAAGGGTAATACAAGGAATAAATAATGGTTTCACCAAAAACATGCATATTTTACATAGAATATTAATTTGTATACAAGGCTTTTTGAAGAAAATGTTTAAATACATTTTCTGTTGTTCTGAGCCAAATATTGTGAAAGTGTTTCTAATGTGATTGTAAAAGCATTTTTTAAAAATCTTTATCCCTTCAAATGGATAATGCGGTTATTCCACTCATGTCTGCATTCTGCAGACAGTAATCCAAACTGGAAAAGGTCCATACTGTACTTTATATTTTATGTGTGAATGTTAATCTATGTAGACAATATTTACTGTACAAAGAGAGTAATAAACCAGATCCAAAATCCCAAAAAATCTCAATTAAGATGGCTAAGACAATAAACTCATTATACCAATTAAAAATTCAACCTAACAATACAAGCTGCAGCTGTTACAATTATCAGTTAAGACCAGTGTTATTAAATAGCATTGAACAGCATGTTGAGCACAGTGCCAATGCACACTTAATTTGCTCCTTTTCACTATCAAGGCACAAATGAAATGCAGTTTTCAAGTGATGAATCCCTAATTTCTCCCTATCTTAATAAGTCTCCAATTATTCTAGAATAATTAAAAATGCAATGCTTAATTAAGGTAAAATGATTGTTAAAATCAATAAAACTGAGAATAAAATGTACATATTATTACATATTGTTTGATACATATGAGGTTATTTCATTCATGTTTATTTAATAAATCACACTGTACGCAATGATAATAAACTATTCATTTTCTCACATCAGAAAGTGTTTCTTTAAACCCTTACCTTAAACAGTGAACGACAGACATATTCGTATACCATTGTCTTCAGAGAAGCTTTCAAGGATGTGATTCTAACTTCAGTGTTTTCAGACTCCTAAAAATGTAATATTATGTTATCATTAGCAATGTTTTTGTCTTTTAGAAAATGTAAGATAATTGTTAACAGATAAAGTAACATTAAGAACTAGAACTGTTTTTCAAATATTTTGTGATCAGTACTTGAATGGGCTCATAGATTAAATTTAAAATACTTTCATATAAAATGTCTCTATCTTGGCACATTTATTTATTTCTAGTTGCATGTCCAGTGATACATACTTTATGTAACTGTTTATTAGGATTACACTTTGCTGTAACTGACTATAAATAAAGTTGCAAAGTTACAAGTAATAGGTTTATCCCATGCTGAAAAAAAGAAGAAAGAAAACAACGTTTTTGGCCGTGGAGCCTTCTTCAGGTGTGAAGCATGGAATAAACCTATTACTTGCTCCTTTGCAGCCTACGCATGCTGACCCAGCTACCCACCTGAATTTTAAATAAAGTTATTAACATAGACAGAGAACAAATTTCAATACCATTATGGCTTATAATATTTGTGACCTGATCCATAAAAAAACATTTTAAAAATAAAAACTTAAACACATACTGCACCATGACTGTAAGGCAAAAGTAACATACTGTAGGTAAAACATTTTAAATCCTAGACTATTGCTTCTTTAAAGCTTGTCTGTAACACTCCATTTAACAAGTGTATTTATTTTTTTCCCCAATTGTAACACTGTACATTACCCTGGATACAATTAAATATTGATAGTAAAAGAATGCCAAGAATCAAATCTGTTTGTTATAATGGGGAAAAAAGAACACAACACAATACACTGTAAGTCTTTTAAAATATGTTCTTCACTACATTTGGAACAGGCAATGTTTACTACTAAATTGTTAATGCAGGACATTGTAATGTTGTTTCCCAACAAAAACACCTTGGAGAAGTCTATCCAGTGGAATTACTTTGCATGGAAAATGTTTTATATTTCTACAGGCCATATGCAGCACAAGCAACATGTAAAAAAAACATGAAAAAGTAGGAATTTATATTTATTATTAATAAATAAATAAATTTAATATTTATATAGGAAGCCATCCATCCACTCTATCCTGTTTGATTCTTACCAGCTAATAAATCTGAGGATTCTAATAAATCCAAGGTATCGCTTTCAAGAACATTGCTGGGTAACTTGGAAGGCTTGACACTCACAACCTTCTGCATAATATAGTGTCCTCTGGTTTGTGTTACACTGTTGATTCCAAAGAACTCCATTAAGTTAACTTGGGTGATTGCTTTTTAGAATTTTAAATACTTGAAGTGTCTCCCCTTCTGTTCCACACTAAAACAAATCTATAAAATCTATTAATTTTATAGTTACAGACCTGAACTAACTGGTTATTTATTTCTTACAGTTAAGAAATAATCAATTAGTGCAGGAATTGAATTATTTCTTAAAACCCACTCTCAACCCTATGTTATAGAAATTCAGTGCAGATGAATGTATTAATTTATTCATATATGGCTATCCTCACTTTGAATAAACAAGCCAAATGCATTAAAATAATAATAACAGTATCTCTCATGAACATTGACAGGAGATCGTGCTATAAGACTTTACTAATAATGCATCTAGAAAAATACAAATCTGCACCTCTTTTAGTGGTGCACCTTGCTAAGCCCACAGGACCATGTGCAATGAGCACAGTGACCTGTTTTGCTTCCTTCCACCTCAGGCACAACATGTAGTCAGTCAATGGAACTTCATGCCCCGATAATCCACCACAGAAAAGGTCAGTTACATATCTCTGCAGAAGTGCTTGGTGGTCTTCGATCACACAAAAGCATTAAGTATGAAAACCATTACAATGTTAGATGGTTTCCCCTGGCTCTGTACTGACAATTTCTGTGGTTTCCTTTCAGTGGAAAGGAATTTTTAAACAGAGGTGGTTCCAGGGGTGGTTTCCACTATGTTATTTTTAATAACATACATGACATAGCAAATCAGTCAAAATTTAAATATACTAACAGAACATTAACCATATCTGTAGCCTGCATCTGAAAATACTTTTTAATACAATCAGTTAAGATGGATAAGATTGCTGTTTTGCTTACTAAATTACTGAAATATCTTAAACCAAAAAAATAGCACTGAACTCAAACATCCATACATTTTTAACCATTTTTATTTCTTCTACTAATGTCCTTATAAATTATCATATGTTCACCAGAGGTGGTGTTTCCTTTTTGCTATAAAATCCTCAGCTCATATTTAGTAGAGTGACAGAATCAGATATGGCTCTGTATTTTAAGTGAGCCTCATGGTGGTATAGTAGTTGAGGCTGCTGCCACAAAGTTCTTGGGTCCTGGATTTGATTTATGAGTAGGGGTTTTCAGATTGTTTGTGCTTCCTGTATTTGTGTAGGTTTTCTACTGGTGCTGTGGTTTCCTCCAAAAGTATCAGTTTGCTGTGCACACGCGCCCGGAGATGGACAGGCGAACTGTCCATGATATGGTCTTAAACTCCTGGTTGCCATGACCCTTAGCAGGGATAAATACGTTTTCTGATAATGAATGGAGTGAACCTTTTGAGCGATGAAAAAGAATACCATCTCTGGCCTCTGTAGAAATCTTGACTTGGCATATACCATGCAAGGTAGTCCTTACTGGGTACAGATGATGTTATTGCTATTTTGTGAAGAACTGATAGAGATGGACTCTGAGGCACAAACTGAAATCAACAGAAGTGGTTTGAGGGCAATAGCAGTTCAAGCCATCACTGTGTTTCATTCCATCTGTGTCTCTTTCCATCCCAGGAGGGCAAGTGCTGTGCTGAAATAAAAGGCAGGGCTATCTCATGTTTTATTTTAGCACATCCTTGGTACCAAAATTAAAAAAAAAAACTATGGCTCCCAAATCAGTGATGTACCAAGAGCAGCTTAAATTCAAATCAGGCAAAATATGGTATTACAGTTACATTAGGTAAATATTTATATAGGTAATAGGTACGTAATAGGTATAGGTAATATTCCTATTGATAATCTAGGAGCATGTTGCATGCTGACAGGAGAAAGAAAAATGCATTTGATTGCTCCTCTTGTTCCAGATATAGTCCAAAAAGATACATTACGTAAGACGTAATAAAATCCCGAGACACCTTGTTGTAATTTTGCATTGATCTAAAGGGAGACCTTGAACAGGTGGCCATCTTAGTCACGGCATATGCTAGTGTGTTTGCCAAACAAATCCTTGATAATCTATTCCCAGATTTATCCATGACTGTCATCTGTGAAGGTGGGTCTATAACTTAGACAACTACTCTGGGAGCAGGCTTGAGATCATAGAAAGAAAAAAAATACCCAAACCATCCAAAATGGCTTGAAGTCATCGCCATCCCTGGAATCAAACCAGCAGTCCAGAGGTAAACAGCTTTATACAGTGCTGCCAATTCCCTTATCCCCTTATGCGAAACACATGTTTAATTAGGGGCATAAAAAATCAGGCTAATGGAGAAGAAGGAGATGATAAGCCACTCTAAAAATCCAGAGAGACTTAATTTCAGAGAGACTTGACCTATACTGTATTAGCTACATATGCAACTTAAAAAAAACACAAGATGCAAAAATAACAGACAAAAAGAAGAGATCATGTGAAAATGTGGTATGAAGGAATAATTATCTGTTTCAAATTCTTAATACCAGCTGCAGGGCTGTAATGCAGACAGTACCTTTTTGCTTTGCAGGGCTCTCTGAAAGAGTCTCAGAAATGCTGCAAGGCTGAAGCGGTACATGTTATTAATTTTGGATAAGTCAGTTATAATGAAGTACATCTTGCTGGCACTTTCTGCTAATGGAAGATAGGCATCTCGTTCCTGCAGAGGAGAAAGGAGAAAACAAGTAAAATTGGGACTGGTATGATATTGCCCTCTAGAGCATAGACAGTTCATTACTGATTTTTTTCTTTGAAAGACATGGGACTTTTAAAAAAGGGACAAAAACAGTTTATTTGGAAAACATCTTAACAAACATTCTTCTAAAACAAATCTTCTAAACATTCTTCACAATTGTTTTACAAAAAAACTGGAAAAAGAGGAAAACCGAAATTTGTAATTACTAAAAATTGATAAATACCATGTTCATTTCTTAAAATAAGCTAAGGAATTATTTTTTTATTATTCTTTAAACACTAAGTGCACTCAATTATTTTACAGAAAAACAAAACAGAAAAAAAGTGTTATAAATGGATGAAGACTTTGGGAATAGTGAAGAAAATAATTAATTTTGATGCAAAATTAATTGAAAACATTATGGAATTCCATGTGGCCTAGAATTTATATGGAATATAAAATTAGTTTTGAAAAGACTGTGGTTAGATAAGAAAATGTTATCTTAAAAATTAACATCCTATTCAGTGACAATGTTGTTGCTTTGTAGACAGCTTAGAAAGAAGCATAAATAAAATACAGTATGTCTCTATGTATTAGCTCTACAGAATGCCGATTTCTACAGATATCAGCTAAGAACATCTGTAAACAATACCAATCAAGGCACTGCTAACCAAGAAAGGGTGATATTTATTCAAGCCTTGTTGTGTACATAAAAAAAAACATTTAACAAGTGTACACTCTTATACACTCTTTTAGTTCATATATGCTCTTTACACACATACTGTACAGATGCAGCCATTCAGAATGCATGTCAATACTCCCGTCCGTGGTAAGCAAGTACCACAGTATGATTCGCTTTGCCGAATTTAGCTTTCCACTGCCTAAAGAAGATTGATAGGTGACACTTGTGATGCATTATATGTTAGATGAAACGGTAGCATCATCTGTTGTACTACTACTTAAAATCCACTTAACATGGAATATTACTACGCTCACTGCAGTGCCTCAGCATGCGTCAGGCTGACACAGTACTTCTACAGACAACAGTCATCACTCTCTCTGTAGTGCCAGACCTGCTGTATCTTTTTGCACATGTTAAACCCAAGACCTGATCTGCTTATGTCTGCTTTTCTCTGCAGCTAGCCTAAAGTATTTTGACTACCAGACCAACAATTTCCTGGATGCTCACAAACAGTATGGGGAAATTAAAGATGCCATTTAATGAAAATTGAATTTAGAGGTTTTTATGTGCATATTTGCTTTTAAATAATAATCATTTAAGCCAATATATTAAATATTTTTATAACAGTCTAAAATATTTTTATATATGTTTGTTTTTTGGGGGCCTTGTTTCTTATTGTTTATTTTCTTTATGATGCCGCATTGAGGTGTAATTGAAAATGTAACTCCTTGTCAATAAAGTGACCACGAAGCCAGGTAGAGAAATTAATTTTAATAAAAAAGGTTTTCTCAGTTTAATATCTGACGCGTCCCCAATACAAATGGTGGTGCAATAGTTTGAAAAGCTGGGCAGATGCTATTCGACTGCGGTGGAATCAATCCTGAAATCCTGACACCTTGCATATTTTAAATGGGTCCATTTGTGTTTTAATATAAACACAAAATGAATTTCTTTTTAAATCTAGAATCAATGGCTTTTTTAGTTTTACCACCCGATCCGGAATCATGTCTCAGATTATAACTATGAAGCCCACAGCCGTACACAGGTGAGAATGAGGAAGTATAGGCAGGCAACTTTTAAGCCACTTGTTTTAACACGTCACCAGCAACAGAGCCCCAGACCAGCGGTTCAGAGCAGACCGGAAGAGAGGCGAATACCTCGGAGGTTGAGGGGTTGGTGTCTCTTTCAACGGAGAGAGCCCTGGCCAACTAATCCCACCTTACCCTTGACAACATTCAGCCACATATGAGCTCCAATGTGGAGGTATATTACTGACTAGTGAGCTGACCCAAGCTCAAACTCACAATCACAGAGCTAAGGCAGGACTTTTTACCGTCTGATACACTTAAGAGTACAGTAAACCAAATTCTTGACCCCAGGTATGACCTGGTATGAGGTAGTCTCACTGACTACAATCTTAGCTGGTATAAGCCCAGGTATGACCTTGTATGAGGTACTCTTACTAATGTACTGTACTATGACTTACCTGGTCCAAAGAGACCTGCAACCTGTGCGACTCTGTGAGAGACTCCTGGATAAGTGCACTGCTTGCCTTGGTCTTGTTCAGGGACTCAATAAGGATCTTGTTTTCCAAGATGTTCCCCTGGGCAGTGGCAAGAGTCTGAAGAAAGAAAATACTAGTAAATACTTTTACCCTTTAGAACAAAACTGAGTAATTTAAACAAAATACGTGGCAACAGTGATTTCTGTGCAAAAACTTCAGGAAAATGTCAGTTTTTCTATATTTCTCCAGGAACAAATTCAGTATTTAGTTTTGTTTCCGTTAAATTTCTCAAACAGTCCAATTTCTTTAAAATATTTTATCCAGAATAACACCTGAGTACTAATTTATTGAATCATTCCGAAAGAGTGAGGGAGAACAGAGTTCATCAAAGAAACCAATTGTCATTTGCTGTAGCCGAACAAAAGACACTTCTTCCCAATTGCAACTGTAACAAAAAATACAAATATTTAAAAGTTATATAAAAAGGCTAATTAAATGTGATACACTATATTGTAATGAAGTGTATATTTGTGTTTATAGTTTTAACAGTAAAGGGTAGGGTTTTCCTTAAACCTGGAATTTCTTAAATTGAGAAACTGAAGATTAATCCAAGAAAATTCTAGTAAAGTATAGTTTGCTCTTAATTCCTATCCTACCTGTAGTTTAAGACAGCAGTGTATAATCAGTTAGGATTCTAAATTCATAACTGGAAGATTGTAGGATTTAGTTTAGTTAAGTACTGCTGGTGTACCTACATGTAAACAGAATTGCTCCAGTTTAGGATTAAAGTATCAGATCTAAACAGCCATGAAGTACTACTTACATCATCATCATAATAATAAGAAGAATTTAAGAATTTTACGGCACCTCTAAAAGAGATTCTTCCAGTTTAGCCAACTGGATCTTCTTATCTTCCTCCTGTTGCAGGAGCTTAGTCTTCTGTGTTTCCAAGTCTGGTTTCTCATGCTGGATTGTTAAAGCCAAAAGCTACAGCGGCACAAACAGATAAAGAGAGCTGCTTTAAAACACCCAGAAGTGGACATATTCACCAACAGTGTATTCTGAATTTCTGAATTCTGACTTTCAAAAATAGAACATATATGGCCTCTCTCAGATGATATAAGAAAATAATAATAATTTATAAATAATACCAAAATTTTCATAACTTCACATATTGTGAAATAAGAACATTTCTACAGACTGCATAAGAACCTTGGAAAAGAAAACATCCATGCTTCCATTATAGCGGGCAACAGGTTCAACTGACATTAAATAAATGACATTTATTAATTATTTATTCTTTGAACATCACGACATATATGTCTAAACACACATATTATGTGAAAGTAAATTTCTGCACTTTACTTTACCTGTCCCCGAAGGCCAGCTCTGGTGGTAGTGAAGTTCACTTCAGTCACAATAGAAGCAGCATCAGGTGGAATAAAGGGATTTGGGTTCCGTGTGGCAAGAAACATGCGAAATTCTTCATTGTAGTCAATAATTTTGTCTCCAATTTGAACAACATATCGAGGACCTGTAAATAACAGGGAAGAAATTTAAGGTGGGCTGTGATACCAGATATAGACAACAGATTGTAAAAACAACATGTTTTATTTTTTTATTTTACTACCAGCAAATAGATACAACTTTCATATTTTAAATCATCAACACTACATTGCCTCTGATGTACTAATCATTACTTACAGACCTTCATCACTGAATAGGTTTCTAGCATTAGAAAGAGTCAACATAAAATATTTCTCTTTACTGTATTCCATTTTGCTTTTAATTAAATATAATAAGTTTCACAAGTGTGGAGAAACTTGGCTAATGATTAACAGTGGCTTAACATCAGTGATGTTTTATGAGGCATCCAGATCAGTAGGCAGAGCTGTCCAGGATTTCAAATGGAAGACAAATTGGAATGGGAAGTCTCCATTCACAAAGCCCAGCTGCCTCTGCAAACAGTGCTGCAAGACAAGCCATGCACCTGCAGAAGGCTTGACACGCTTCAGAGGCTGGACACTGTTTATTCTTGGCAAACTGTAATCATATGCAGGCTGCTGTATTTTTCTTCAGGCTGTCTGTGTCTTCCCTAAGATTTATGCTTCATCACTGTCTGCTCCAGCAAATCACATGACGCAGACGTTAGCTGCATGCATAGTATTAATGATCCAATTTACTTTAGCAATACAGTTCTAAGGTTAAAAGTAGGGTTGAGTATTTCAAATTAAATAAATAATAATACACCTAATGAGGGAACCATTGCAAAGGACAAATTTTAAGGTGTGTGAAAAAATATTGACCTATTTCTGAAGCTATTAGAGCTACTGATAGCATAATCAGAAAGGTGTCAAGTATGTTCAATGCTGAGACCTACATAATCACAAAAAATGCAATCTAATCATAAAGTACCATATTTGGGATCATAAATACCTTCAGCATCACAGAAAACAAACTGCATTATTCCGTACAAGATAATATTGTGTTAACTATAATTGCCCTATTTCTCTATAAATGCTGTGCTACTCATTTATTATTTCTTCATTTTATATTTACTGATTTACTGAAAGTTCTTAATAATAACTAAATAAAGCTTAGTGTTTTATTTATGTAATGCAAGTAGCCCTTTGTTATGCCCGATGATGAGCCAGAGATTATACTAAATCATCCCTTTTCCAAAAGGGATATATTTTAAAGCTTGTACAAAACTAATCAGACTTGGAAAACAACAACAACAGCATTTTAGTTGCAAATTTCCAAAGTTTTGTTTTTAATACATTTTCAAAATGGCTTTGGAGTTACAAGCATGGTGTTGGGCAGGTATAGAACTATGGCACTATTATGGTGATATAGTTGAACTTTAATGTTAAGTTAGAATAGGAGCCATTTTCTTTTACTAGACTAAAATTCTTAACCATTAGTTTTTGCTAAGAGGCTAGGTGTGATTAATTTAAAAGACAAAAAAGGTGTTGAAGGTAGATTTATATTTTTCTACATGAAAAAGCTTTTTTAAATTAAAAAAAATGCTGTGTAGTATCTATACAACCACTGCCCGAAACCATGAAATAAATTGAATAATTAGTGCATGCCAACAAAACTAAGTTTTTCAAAGATATTATACGTATAGAATAGATATAGAAATAGGTTAAATGTAAAGATTTTTCATCATTAAATGTTTATAGCAAAATTACAGATAAGAATGAAAGTGAAAGTGAAAATGGTACAAATTGAAAGAATCCAGTGATATTCAAAATTTATTTTTTACTACAACAGTTTGCAGAATACAAGACACTTCTTAGGTTTTTCCTTAAGATTCAGAAATATTTTTATGCTTCATCTTATTTTCCATTCTTACATAAAGCCTCTGTTGTACAAACCCATTCTGTCTCAATTTATAAGCTCTGTTAATTTTTTCTCAACATACTTAAGGTGATAGTCTGTCAGAGGTTTTTTGGTGTTCTTTTTCAGGAATCGCTAGTGTTTCTATAAATTCACTAGTGAAGAGATTGTCACCTTAATTTTTTTGAAGCACATTCCTCTCCCTAAACATGCACTGTATTTTTAACACTCGACTGGTCCCATTGTTATGAGAAATGACCCTAATAATTGTTAAAGCTTTTCAAACTTAACCAAAGCTCCCCCAGAAAATAGAATTGAAGCACATCTTACAAGCAAAAATTATATGTGAATTTAATACTGTTTTATATGATGACTCAAAAATAAAATAAACAGCCAAACTAATCAGACAAGGTGCCACTTTAACAGGTTTTGAAAATATGGTCGCAATATTAATCGTGAAAGCTTTCACCTAGATTAGTCCAAACAGACACCTTCAATTCACTTATTAAACACATACTCCAAAATACTGTATGCCTAAAAAACATCATATCATGGCATTTACATACAGAACTCTCTCCCTCAGTGCTATGCTCATATGAGCTTCAGCTCTGAGCTGGACACGGTGAGAACACCAATTTCAGGGAGAGAAGAAAAAAACCCACTTTCAGTTATAACCTTGACTTTAATTAACTGAAACAAAATAGCAGCTGAGCACCTTTGTATCTTTAGACATTTAAAACAAAAGATTAACATTAATTTGACAGCATAAATGCGTTAAAGTATAATTTCTAAACTTTTGTGATTGTCCCAAAGGAACCAACACTTTGATCTGATTGATCTTTATTATATTTTCATAGCTAGAGACAACATATTTTAAAGAAGATGCTTCAAGTGCCTCTGCATGTAAGGACTGAAGTTTTACTGTGTTCATTTCTACAAATCCTAAAACATTCATGAAAGAAAAGGTAAAACCAGACTGGTAACTATTAAAAATGAAAAGCATGTGTGGTGACTGCAATGTGTTTAATTCCCTGAAGTACACATTGTATAAATGGTAGCCCAACAGAAAGGAAAATTGCTTTTGGGAATTCATTTTTTAAGGTATGCTATTAGCTCTGCATTCTTTTCATTGTCATATTCATTTTGTTCCTTGGTGCCAAGTCGATTTAAGGCACCAATTTCCATGTCATTTAATAAGATCATCCATAATGCTGTCACCTGCACAAAAACGGTGAGAGTCCTACCTTGAGCAATAAGATCCCTTCTTAAGAGAGGGTAAAGGACTGGCTCCACTCCATCCATCTCCTGGATAATAAGCGTCTTTCCAAAACGGACAGCTAGCTCAAGTGCTGTGATAAAATTTGAGTCCTACAATGAAAAATATATGCTGTATATATATCACATAGTCAATATGCTTCCATCAAAAAGACTTTAAATGAATATGATTTTTATAATTATGAAATAAAAACTATAATGATACAGGTAAATAGTAATTGTATAGCATAAGAGCTATGTGGCTATAATAACATTTACAAAACTGACACAAAGCCCTAGGAGATTGGAAACACTGTAAAGAATATTACTTCAGAAATAACTTTACATGTGCAGACACAGTGGCTATAGTTCTCTGATTTTAGATTTTTTTCTACGTAGCTATTTAGATTTTAGTCAATGTTAGTTCTGAAAAAGAAAAATGCTATCGTTTGTTATAGGTAAGTTCCATTGCATTTCCAAGCCACATTTGCTCATCGGGCCAATTTATTATGACTTCCATGGCGCAGAGCACACAAAAGAGCATGTGACTATCTGGACAGGACACTAGTCCATTACAGGGATTACCCCCAGCAATGTTAGTCCCCCTATACACAGCTGTCTGGACAGGAGCAATTGGGATTAAGTATCTTGCTCTAGCAGGTCTGCAGCAGGGACTTGTACTCACAACCCATCAGTTATGAGACCAGAGACTAATAGTTTTTTGTTCCACTGACTAATTGTAGTGATATGCTTAGTTCTGAAGTAAATGACACAAAGCAAATTACTTATTAATTTGCCTTTTGTTTTACTTAGGCACACTGTCTTTAACTGACTCCAACTCGTACAGCCATCACTACCTGCTGGTTTATAACCTCCAGGCGAGACTCCTTGAGATGTGTCCTCAGCCACTCAGTGGCACGTGAAGAGGGATCTATCAAGAATGGACACGCACAACTCTGGAAGAGAAAGTATTCTGTCCTTCACATCCAACAAAAACAATTATGAAAGGGTTACCAAGGTTTAGCCTCTCAAGCTTGCAGTTGTCATGATGATTTGGAAGGCTGTCATTTTGTCTGACAGAATAAAAAAAAATTTAAAAAGAGGGACACTAAGATAATTTAAAATGAAGGGAAACAAATCACAAGAATATGAATAAACTCTTCAAAGAAGCTATTTGAAAAGCTTTAGGTATGTGCCTTGAGCATCAGATGTAAATAATATATTGCACATCAGAGGGCATTACTTTTAATTGATGTTAAAAAGAGCAGGTAACATGCCACTTTAAGGATGTAATAATGTTTCTTATTATAGAGGCACTATAGAGTAATATCTTAGCACCTGGAGTACAACTGTGTAAACAGTTAATCAAATAAGTTCTTTAAAGTCTAATATTTTCCTTATTTCAATATTTTTTTTGTATTAATCTAGACACAAGCCTTTAATCAGATAAAATAGTTCCCATCAGAGAAGTACATTACAGATCCAGCCATTCAGAATGCGCAAGGGATACTACAGTAGTTTGCAGTTCAGTGCCTGTGGGGTACCTCAGCTTTTTGGAAATACTCCGTTTTATGCACTGCTTTGTAAAACTGCCAGGTGAAGCCGTAAAAGCTGAACATGGCATGTGGAGCATTTGGGATGTTGCCAGAAAACGTCTGGTTTTGAATTCCGGTCAATGCTGTGGGAGAATTTTTTTCCAATTACAGAATTTAAGTTGTATACTGTTTAGACTTTTATTCATTTTAAACTGTGTATTAAGTGTGTGTATAGTGGTAATAGACAATGGAAAGCTCATGGACTGTAATGAGTCACGCTGCACCCAGGCAGTTCAAAACGTGATCAGAGCATTACTTTTGTTTTTTTTCTTAAATAGCTGAATATATAAAAATAGTCCACTATTATAGCTTGTTGTATAGCTTGATGTGAACGCGATGTGCCTCTTTCAGGTTTACATACGAATTGAGAAAATCTATATTTTGTCTTAATCCAAATTTCAACACCCAGTAATCAGCCAACAATTAAACTTTAAAACTTTAAACTAGATTGTACTGTACAGAACTGCCTAGTCCAAAGACTTACTGGGAGGTTGTTTCTGACAAAATTGGCTCTGACACGAGTGTGTGTGTGTGTGTATCTGGATGAATTATTATAAGTTTATTATAAAGATGGTTTAGAGCGATCGTTTTGGCTATATTTTTGACATAGCCGGATGTGTAAAAATAGCTTGTTATCATAGCTTGTTGCGAACATGATGTGCCTCTTTCTGGTTTACATCCACATTAAGAAAATCTATATTTTGTCTTAATACAAATTTCAGCAACGAGTAATTTAACTTTTAATTTTTATTCAGAAAAATATTTCACACATACTGCACTGTAGTTTCTTTGAAACCACACGGTATCATACTGTATATACAGTATACGAACACACTGCCATTCATTGCCATGTGAGGTACTGTTTCGGTATATCTGTGGATCTGACTTCATGGGATTCACATGTGTGGAACAGCAGAAGACAAGACCCGGGGGGAAGGGTTGTTTTGATTATACTATGAATGGGTCCCTGAGGCATATTGTCTAAGTTTCGAATTATAAAAAATAAAATCGAGTTTGCACGAGAGAAAAAAGTACCTTTTCAAATGCCGTTTCCTGTGCAAAGCAGGTGAATTTGACAAACAGCTAATGTTTAAAGAATTTAAAAACTCTCATGTAACTGAGCAGAAAGTCACCTTGCTCTCACAAGCGGCACTGTTAAGACTTCAGAACGCTTCAACTGATGCATAAAAAATGTAGCATATCTTTAGCAGTCTTTGTTAGAAGAAAAATGTGCCCTATTAAACTCAGATCTTCTAGATAGAGCCCTATTTGTAACGGACAGTTCTTTCCGGACCCTATGCGGATGACACAATCCGACGGAGTGGGGAAACACTAGGGAAACGTCATGCAGGAATACGGGGCAGAAGACAGGGGGGCGTGTCCAAGGTGCGCTGGTGCACGGGGGAGGTGTGGCCGAGGCGAACAATCCGAGAGTAATCCTTAGGGAAAATCCAAAACGCAAGGGTAAGTCCAAAACCAGGAGATCCATCAGAACAGAGAATTAAAAACCACGAAGGCTGGGTTGGAACCGGCGGACGGGGAACAGGAACAGGAACAGAGATTAAAACCTTAACGGGACCAGGCCCTTCCAGGTCCCGGACTCGCACGATACGGAAATCAGATGCAGAGCCCGGATGAGCGTCAGCGCCTGGCTTTTAAGGTGGGCTGGGAATAGGGAACAGGTGCAGAGAATAAAGTCTTAAGTAAAAGGGCTGGAGCACCCTTAAGGAGGGGGAACTAATATCGTGACACTATTGACAAACCCGCTGTACCAACAGGCCACTCGGAAACACATTTACAAAGAAAGTGGAGTACAGTATTACTACCAGCTATAAATATAAATATAATATAAAATAGATTATATTTAGATCCTTAAATTAATATCATTATTCATTTCTTTAGTTATGATATTTCCATATTATATTCCTTATTAAGCAGATTCTAAAAAGTATGTTTGTATAATATATTTATATTCCTAAATTAATAGTTTATGGCGATATGACAATCAGAGATATTATGCTCCTGTTATTTTTATGCTCAGCTACCAAAATTTCCCTTTAGTTGTAAAATTCCATATTAATATTCCATATTAAGAGGATGTAAACATGTACAGTAGAGAGATTAAATGAAACAATCGTTTCACTAACAACGAATGCACCACGAGTGCCACCTGTCGATCATTTTTGGCCAGCAAATCACATACTGCAGCCGTCTTTGGCTCCAAACCCACAGTATGGGGTTTTACTGTGCATTTTGAATGGCTACATCTGTACAAAACAAAGATATTTTCATTAAATTGATTTGGGTATATATAACATGAAGCACTGTGAAAGCATGAGTAAATACATTTTGGGAATAAAAGGTGATAATCTCATGCTTTGATGATAATTTACATTGATAAGAACATTTTACTCTTCATATTATGTACTGTTTAAAACTACTGAATATTTAAAAAGCTCATCATTAGCCAGGGACCAAGACTGTAACAATTCCAGTCACTCACAAATAATTACTTTAACCATCACCAGTAAAAAGAAAGAAAAGGTTGGTTCTTCAAAGTGAACAGACAGCATGAAACAAGGGAATCTATAAAAATAAATCCTCTGAGAAATGAATCAGTCTTCTATTATGTATATTTTTGAACTGGGACATTTTTGCTGTAATAACCACCTACATACTTGAACCCGTCAACAACTACAGAATGACTATATGGTAGGTTTTTCACATATTATTCATGTTAAATGAAAGACAACACATAATTATAAAATAAAAAAGATGTTTCCAAAGTTTTAAGATTAGATTTCTTTAAATGTCAGCAATAATTAGTAGTTTTAATGTGATACAGCTCTACACTCCACAGGAATGAGGTCTTATCAATTTTGCTTGGCACAGTCATTGTTTTTTCTATGGCTATTATCAATCATTGACAATGTCAATTTTCATAACACACATGAAGGGGATCTAAATGAGGATAATAAAGTCATGGGATATTGTGTTGTTTTGGTATTCTTTTGGATAGGGTGTAAAATACACAAAACCACACAGTCTAGCTACAGCTGAAGTTGAAGAGGAGACGAGGTTTGAAATGAAGGGAACTCTTACCCGGGACTTCAAGGCATTGATCTAGTGCAGCAAATAACAGTTTAGGGAAACAAAAATGAATAATGATTAAAGGAACAATGATATGAAAAAGAAAAAAGTGTCTTTTGTGGTTGCAGATGAAGTGAGTCAACGGTTTATACATTGATTTTAGGTTAATTTCCTGTTCTATTTTTAATATTATCGTTCATATTCATCACAGTCCATTGGATCTGTGCATCTGTTTGGATTTTACTGATGTGACGTTTCTTACAATATTGAACTTTTAGGAGCACACATCATGCTAGAGGCAGGATCTGGGGTTTTCTGTCCAAAAGACCAATTTTGCTACACAATGCTGAAATGTATTCTACAGTCTAATTATCTATTGTTTTTTACATAAATATTTCATTTACCTTATTGAAGCATTCAAATACCAAAATATTTTCTCCAAGTTTAATAATTATTTACATCAAACTGTATCTCAGTAAAAAAGTCATGAAACCATCCAATCATTTGTAGTTGATACTTAAAAACCAAATATTTTTTTACATATGCATGATTTTTTAAATATAAAATATAAATAAAATCGAACTGATCCTCATCACTGTTATTCATGTCAAGAATAATGGTTTATGACCGCTGTTTCTTGGTAGTTTTTACATAGTGCATGTGTACCGTCATACCTGTAAAATGACAAGAGCATTCTCCATGGAAAGGTCATCAGAAGGTAGCCCTTGACTCTTCCAGATAAGTTGCTCACTCTCAGAGCACAGAAAATGTCGCATATCAAACTCTATAATAAGTAGGAATATTCATTATAATGTGAATAACATACAAAATATAAAATAAAACCTGTACCATTTTTTAAACAAAACATGCTTTTACATATACTAATTATTTTGTCTTTATTATTTTTACAATTATTACAATTTATTACAATTTTAACCACAAGTGGCTAACTAGTACCAAAATTAATGTTCAGCATTTCAAGTTAATCAGATAAAACCAGCAGCCATACCACCCTACAACTCACTTCTGGTAACCCACTGAAGCTTAGCAGGTATGAGTCTGGTCAGCACCAGGATGGGAGACCTCCTGGGAAAGCTAAGGTTGCTGCTGGAAAAGGTGTTAGTGGGGCCAGTAGCTCAACCTGTGGTCTGTGTGGATCCTAATTTCCCAATATAGTGACAGGGACACTGTATTGTAAAAAGGCACTGTCCTTGATGTTTTTATGTCTCATCCAGGACAAGGTCCTGACTCTATGTGGTCATTAAAAATCCCAGGGCATTTCACAAAAGAAGTGGAGGTGTTACCCTGGCATTCTGGGCATGGGCCTCCTAATAATCCCCATCTATGAACTGGCTTCATCACTCTGATCGCCTCCCCATTGAGCTGATGTGTGGTGAGGGTACTGATGCACTATGGCTGCCATCACAACATCCAGGTGAATCCATTGCTAGTGGTGAAGGGGAGACCTCCTTATCTGTAAAGCACTTTGAGTGTCCAGAAAATGCTAAATACTGTATGTGTAAGGAATTATTATTATTATTATTATTATTATTATTATTATTATTATTATAACAATTTAAAAGCAATATATTTTTTGACCTAATTAAGACTATCCAGTTTCATCCTGCATAAGACATTGATAGATTCTACTTTACTTTGAAGGCCAGATGAATTCATCCACTCCTGTAAGCTAGCTTTCCTCTGGTCCTCCGGAGCAGCAGACAGATAAGTAATAAAGGCAGCAGCCAGCTGGGCTCTCTTAGGCAATGTGTCCAGCTCCTCAGTTATCTGTGCCACCTAGACAACACAAACACACAGTGCTACAGAGACACATTCCTTACATTCATTTATAAGGAATTGTATTCACATGTTTCAAATTCCATCTTACATAAAATGTGACTAGCTAAAGCTGTGGAATATGCCAGTTATTTAATTATACTATTGTAATTTTGTTCTGATTGACCTCATTCAGTTTCCTTCCCTAGTACTCATATTGTTTCTGCCTCACAAGTGTTTGCTTCTTCTGTGAAACTGTCTTTTACTGATAATCAACAAGCCCTGTTGTAGGTATTCATGTTATTAAAAATACAACCAAGGATCTGGTACTGTTGCATCCACAGTATTTTGTATTTTTATATCTTATTCTCAAAAAACATGTACAACTGACATAAGTCATTTCAAAATGATCATGCAGCAAATTTTACTTTAACTATAAAGCACTGTCATTTATTCTGCACAAATATAAGGTATGAGCAAGTTTAATGTATCCAGATCCATGTTTGTGCCAGTTGCATTTAGCTCCTAGTTTTAAACCAATCTTCCAGCACTTTAAATACTTCTTGGTAAGAAACGAAACATTTTCAACCAAAATAAAAGCTAAATATCTGGTGTATTAAACCCAATACATATGACAAATAAGCTTTAACAGCATATTAAATTAATTAGCATTTCATGCCCATTTAACATTTGCAAGACCTCAGGTGGTGAGCTGAAAACCGTGCAGCTTGAGCTACTGGCATGTATTCCTCCTAGTGGAACTATGCCAACTCAATGACATCTGTGGCATGTAGAACAAAACACTTCACACCACTGATCAATCTGTTAGCAATATGAGCTACGCTAATCCTTTAATTCCATTACAAAGGAGAATTAAGAAAAAAACATGCATCGCACCAAACTCACTTGTTAAACATTGAGAACCTCAGTCAATTGGGCATGTAAAAGTTTATATTTAAATGAAAGAAACAAACTATTAGTTTACTTGAAAAATCCTTTTGGATGCTGTTGTAAAACAAAAGAAAACTAGATTACAGAACCTTTAAATCATTATTTATTATTAATAATTTATATGCCATTAGCAGCCAGTAAAATGGTGATAATATTGGTAGTTCTGAAACTCATTCAGTTACTTTATAAAAAATATTCATACAATACTTGCTTGCATTTGTATAAGATGTTTCATCCCACAGGATCCTGAAACACTTCACAAATCGAGGGGACTGAGCACATCTGCCTGTTCAGTACATCACTTACCTGGGTGCTAGACAGCACACATTACAGGTATTATGTACACAGAAGACTTAGTAGAGAAGTCAAATTTAGAAAAAAAAGTTATTTCACCAATTGATTAAAGGGGAAATTTAGGGATGCCAGATTTTGCAAGCTCAGGGTGGAATTTAGCCAAGATACCTATTGCAAATATTAGGATATCTAATAATCAAGTAGTCAGACCTTGTTTTTAATGTCTCCTCTGAAGGATAGTACTTATCTATAGCACTTTGTTCCATGTCATGCTAGGTTTAGAAATTTTAACAGTCCTAACAGTCCAAATCTCAGTTATGGCAACAACCAGGTCTTCCATCACAGTTCTAGACAGGCCCAAAGTTATTAAGTTTGGTTAGATGGAGCTACAAGGTGATAAAACTTAGTAACTTGCCCCATACACATTCAGATCAGGCATAAGAATTCCACTACTTATGCCAGCAACCATATCACCCTACAACTCACAACTGGCAACCCATTGAAGCCAAGCAGGTGTGAGCCTGGATGGGAGACCTCCTGGGAAAAACTAAGGTTGATGCTGGAAGAGGTGTTAGTGGGGCCAGCAGGGGGCGCTCACCCAGCGGTCTATGTATGTCCTAATGCTCCAGTATAGTGACGGGGATACTATACTATAAAAAGGTGGTGTCCTTTGGATGAGACGCCAAGCTAACCTGAGATTTAAAATATTCCCCTAAAGTATGGTCATATTTTTGTATGTGCTCCACACATCAGTTGCTCCCAAGACGTATTTCTCAACAAGATTACACTGAGGAATTACAGGAAGTCCATAGATTTTCTCCCCTCACTGCCAGTCGAGCAAGTAAAAAAAATACAAAAGGTCCTTCAAGAGACAAGAACGTTTCTTCGTAACTCAGGGAAAAACATACTATACCAACAGTACCTGTGCATTCCATCTCTTATGTTCGCCATCAAGTTGATGGATCAATTTTTCTGCAGCTTCAATAGTTTCTTGAGCCTTGCTAACATCAGCTTCCAGTTTTGCAGCCTCTGTTGTCCTGGATTGGAACCTTTGAAAGAAATCAAAGTCCTAAGTTAGGCCCTAAACAGAGACTAATCATCATATAAAATATCAGTGCTGATGATTTATAATTGGCATCGCTGCATTGTCTTACAGTCATGCTTAGTTTTACGCTCAGCTTTAATTCTGTCTCATGTGTTTACTGTTCTTCCTGCTGCTTCAGTATCCCTGGCACTCCCCGATGCTTTTTCATGACAGTGATGTTTGTTTGCATCCCCTGAAGTTAAAATTAGCGCTAAAGACAGAAGCTCCCTTTTTGCCTCCATGTCAGTGAGCTGAACAATCATGTTTTTGCAGCTGCTTGTAGCAGAATGATACAAATGGTGTTGTCATAAGCTGTCTAATAGCAATATAACTCAGGTAATTGCCTATTTATTCCATTACAGAGAAAGTCTAAGTTTAATGTGAGTGATAACAGTTATATCTTTACATGCGACTTTTAATCTTTATGTTCCAATTTTTTTTCCAAGGCAGAACATTTTCTGCCAAAGCAAAATTTCATATAAATACATTCTATGTATATAGAAGTACAAGTGAAAATGTAAATGAAAAGTGACAAAGCTTGTATTTCCTTCTGCCCTGATCACACATTAATCCTCATATAGATTTATAAAACAAACTATAAATGTTATAATAAACAACACATTCAGTCATTTTGAATATTATATGATATTAATATGCCACAAACATTAAGAGACAAAAGAACAATTACTTTTCCTTTAGTTCATTCACTTTCTGACCCACAGAGTTCAGCTGGTCTTCCAATTTGTTTTTTCTACTTTCAGTCTTACGCAGGTTTCTGCATAAAAAATAAACAAAATAAAGATAATTGTTGCTTTCAAAGCATAACAGCAAGGATAACAAACAGATTTTGAAAAATACCCACATCCAGTGCATCGCCATATGTCACAGGTCTCAAATTTCTGATAACATAAAAAAGAGAGACCTTTTCATGTGGCATGGGCATACAACTGATAAATGAAATGAAATCCACTGCAGTGCTTACTCCACTAATCCTGCCTGCTCCTTCTCCAAAGGTTGGATTCTCTCCAGGACATGTGAATATTGTACATTTGCCTTCACCCAGGCTGCTAGTGGGGCTGCTGCGGCACTTGCTCTTTTTGCATTCTGTGAAGAGCAACAACATACATTTATGCATTGCAGCAGGTTTTAACACAACTGAGGATCTCAAGGACTTTATCAGAACTCTGCTGCACCAGCAATTACTACAGAAGCCACATCAGAAAGGGAAGGTGGACACTGGCAGGACAGAATACCACACATGAGCTAGGAAAGAGTTTGGACTAGCAGACTCAAAAGAGGTGTGATTATTGGAACCTAACTCATGCTAACTTTCCACAGCTGATGCGTACGAGGTTGACATTGACTTTGTAATAGTAATGCAAATACATTTGTTAATTGCTGCAGACATCACTATCGTGTAAACAACGTATTTCTGCATTGCCTCTCTCCAAGAAAACATACCTTAGGGTCAAATGAAGCCTTATTTCTTCGAAGAAGTTCTTCAACACTTTCACGAATTTCATGTGTTATGTTTCGAGCATCAAATGTTGCTATATCTTCTCTTACCCCCCTTTTTGCCAAGAAACTGTTTGAAAAATATACGAAATGTATGTATTATTGTTACCAAACAGAAATAAAATATCACCCTTCACCACCATTGGACACATCCTATAGCAATCATTGAAACGCACAATCATTCATAGTTCTTTTCACAACATCTCCCTAGTTTTATTTTGCTTGAAGCTATTGATCATAGAATTGTTGTTTTCAACATATCAGACACAAAGCAGGACCATGGAAAAGGCACCAAAGCTCAAAGCCCATTAAATCTGAAGTTAAAACTGCAAAAGAATCGGATTTCGGCAAAATGTGCTGACATTATACATTTGTGTTATTCAGAATTACCTCTTCATGCTAACCCATGAAGTGTCAAAAATCCCCATCAGTCTGAGAACACCTTCCAGAATATCCCTGATGACATCAGGTGGCATGCGCAACGAGCGGATCTCAGAGAGCGATTCAGGTTTTATATTTCCAACAGCTTGTTTAGCTTCATCTACAAGAGGCTATGAGAAAGAACAAGGATCTTTCATTACTCAGAAAGAAAGATTTTACTCCGTGGTGCACGATATTAACTGCTGGGCTGATGTAGGCTTTTATGGCCTTGTTCAGATAATGTAAAGGAAGTCTAGTTTAGCTGTCAGAATTGGAGAAGAATCTTTTTTTTTCTATATTACTGGTTGAATTCAGAAAAATATTTTAAAACAATAAGGAAATAGAAAAAGAAAATATTTAAAATGCATCATACTGTTGCTATGTTGTAAATGATCCCATTTAGCCACAAAATATATTGGACTATATAATTATGCAACTAAAGCTGCTATCAGGACTGTAATGATTTTTATATAGCTTACACATTTCCTATACAATTCAGTGAAAATAAATCTCTTAACCATCAAATAACAAAACACAATGGCAGACGTTATATAACATTTGGTTCTTACCTGTACTTCCTTAAGCTCATCTTCAATTTTTGCCTTTCTTTCTTCGATTTTTGACACCTCTTCAGCAATCTTATATTGTATCTTTTCCATTTCAGTCTTTTGATCACTTGCATTCTGACAGACAAAATCACATTAATAATCGTGTTGTTCAAAAGCTTAAATTGCTGCAAAATGTCTGTCACTACACAGTAATTAAAGTACATTAGGTGGTTTTAGTGAACCTTATTCAATTTTTGTACTTTCCATCACTTACAATTTAATTCTGTTAAGAAAAGCACATTGTACAAGAAAGGTGTCTTGGACCTTTTTGCAATAAATTCGAATTTCTGGAAAACCTTTATATAATTTTTCTCAGTATGAAAGTATTTGATTTTTGGATTTCTCAAGTAAAATTTTCTTTTGAAAGTTTGGGAAAATAAGTGTTTCTTTAGGGAAATTGTGGGGTTAAATCCCATTACTTATGATTTTAGTGTTTATGAACACTGGCACACAATGACAATAGTAATAATAATCTGCAGTGCCAGTAAGTGCCACAAGTGCTTTGCTAACAACTTTCTGAATTCTGCCCTGTCCTAACTTGAACCCTATACTAGGCAGTGATGCAAGCCTTAAGACACAACTAGCCAGAGCATAAATAACCACTTGCAGATGAGCATCTACTTTTCTTTTTTTTTAAATGTCCTTGAAATCATAATGCACTAAAGGAGGAAAAACAAACATTTGCCGTACTGAACCAGGAAATTTCAGCAAACCTTCTGAGCAATTCTGTAACATGAACCTTCTACTCAGATAGCTGTCACAGGCAAATCACTTTAGAAGACATTAGCCACAATTATAATCTTATTTACACCTGTCGTATCTGTGTAGATTTTAACTCCCCAAATGAATTAGAGGAATACAACTTGTTCTTTTCATAAGGGACAGAACTGTCATTCAATTTAATGCTCTAATGCTCTAAAATGTCAGGACTGATTTAGATTAAGACTTTTATTTTCACAGTCACTATATATTTGTTTATATAATCAATGAAAATATATTTTTTCTATACTTAATCCAAGTAAAGTATAAGTATTTTTACAATACAGATATTTGGACAAAGTATCACTATTACATGATCATTTAAATCCTCCTGGTTTTACCACCTGGTGACATCTAAACTAAAATAGTATAAGGAAAGTTAAGTTACAGTAATTGTATCAATACAAGGATTCAAATTTCCAAAACATTACAGGATTGATGGAATTTTAATAATTATTATAGAATTGCTTAATCCTACCAAAGGATATTACATGTTACACTTTCTTGCCTTAGGATAAATACAAGACAAAATAAACCTGATACTATTTATCTGGTACATTTTTGTCTTTTATTACACAAACAGAAAACCACCCTGTATGAAGTTCACAATGCAGCATCAGGAACAGAATCAGAGGAACCTTGAATTGCATCACAGGTTTTGGTTAGTAAAAATGTTTTAAATACAATTTCTATCACAAAATTAATCTCTTATGTTTTGGTATCGCAACTAAGCTACATTATTTTATATTAACACTGTCCCCAAAGACTGAAGCTTATTTTATTTATTTTTTTACAAAAAGCCTCCAACCAATTCTTTAAGATAATAAATGGTTGCATTTTCTTGTCTTTGCAATTTCCTGCATAATCACCATTAGACGTAAAGCAAGCAAATTAGACACCAAAGTCTTTTTATTAAGCATGCAGAGACGTGTCAAAATAGATAATCACACTATGGTGTTCAGAGGGAAACCCAGACACTAACGACCAGGGTAAGAAGGGAGGGTTAATTAGCAATTAATATGAATGTTGCAAGAGTAACCAGTTTGATATTTGACCACAATGACAGTGATAAGTCAACATTTGAAAACACAAATGCATAATTAAAAACAAGGTCACTTTAAGGGCAAAAAGCTATCCGTTATTTGTGCAAGGTACATTAGTGATTTAATACACTCTTTAAAGCACATTTAGAATGGAACACAATGTATAATTGAAAATTTACATTTCCCTTTTGTTTATATAGTTTGAAAAAAATATTTCCCCTGGCAGTATTTTCACTGTTTAAAGTTATAAAGTTATAATCTGATATTAAAAACATTAAATGACAATTCCAGAGGGTTTAAACTTATCTTTATACAAGGCATTTTAAGAAATATGTTGTTAAGAGGCAACTTCTGGCTTCTGAGTGCTTTGCAATAAATATGAATATTGGAAAAAGTAAAACTAAAATATTCAGGATAAAATTGACAGCATTATTACAGTATATTATTGACAAATAATTGACAAATGCTTTCAAGTCATGCTAGAAGATGATCTCTTGTATAACTATCTAGAAAACCTAGATATTCTACAGCGCTTTCCAAAAGCTGCTTGTAAATTCTAATTAAACATCAATATAGATTTTAACCAAAATTATTTATTCATTTAACAGAATGTAATGAAAACTCCAAGAGCAGTAAGTGAAATGCATATACTGCACTGCACTTTATGTATTTTTTCATCAAAATGCTAGATGTAAAGATCAAGGGGGAGACTGAGAAATAGTAACACCATTCAACATTTGTTTAAGCCTCAGATTTTACCAGTTTATTTTTTATTTTAATGTTGTAAATGGCCAAATGCAAAAGGCTTAACTTTAAATACTATGCCTTCCAGATGTACAAGTACAATAAACATTACATAACAGAATGAGTTCTATAAGGCAATAGTAGCAACATGTATCATCATGGTTAAGGGCAGAGAGCTCAACAAAGACTGCAAGGAAATGGTCACTGACCTCCACAAATTGGGGGATGGCTATAAAAAAAACATAAAAAGAATCTGCCACTTCCCACTGCGGTATCCATTAAGAAAGCTGAAAGTTACTGGCATAGTGGCAACCCTGCCAGAAGGAGGACGCAAGTGTATTGTACCACCATGGGCTTTGAGACAAGTGGTTCTGAGGATAACCGTAAATCCAAAGGCTATAGTTGGAGAACCCAAAACAAACTAGTATCTGCAGGGTACAGGGTACAGTATCGGCAGCACATATACTAAAATTGGAACGATACAGAGAAGATTAGCATGGCCCCTGCGCAAGGATGACACACAAATTCGTGAAGAGTTCATATGTCAAAAACTACCATTCAACGTCACCAGCTTTATTGTGACATTCATGGTCTGTTTGCAAGAAAGAATCTTGTAGTGAGAGCAAATCACAAAACAGACTCGAATTTGCCAAACCCATCTGAATGTGAACTATCTACCATGTCTCTCAATTCAATGAAAAGAAAAACTGAGCTTTTTGGACATACTCAGAGTTATGTTTGATGTAAAAAAGGTTAGACAATGTCGTGAAAATCTTTATGCCCATCGTGAAATACAGCCAGAGATTGATGATATTTTGAGTTTGTGTTCCATCTACAGATCCCATTAACATAATGGGAATCATGATCTTCAACATGTACCAGCAGAGTTTGGCCAAACACCTTGTTTCCCTCTGCTAAACAGCTCAGGTTTGGCAACCGAAACGTATATCCCAATATGAAAATAATCCAAAGCATACAGTACATCCAAACTGACAAATAAATGATTAAATGCACACAAATTAAATGTTTTCCCCCAGCCATCCCAATCTACAAACCTCAATCCAATCAGGCATTTGTGGTTTAAATTGAAGAAGACAGTTCAGAAGAGGAAACCAAAGGATCTGAAAGATCTACAACAGACCCACCTGGAAGAACTGTCAAATGGCTCTACCAAGAAGTGTCTCTTGGTAGACTACAGGAAACAACTTGTTAGTGCAATCTATATATACAGTATACAGGAAGATCTACAAAAGATCTACAAAATAATTAATTACTATACATCATACTGTAAATGTGGCCCTCAGACGTATATTATAAGTAATAGGTTTATTCCATGCCGAAAAGAAGAAAGGAAACAACATTTTGGCTGTGGATGCTGTGGTGGGTAGCTGACAGAGTTACCCACCTGAACTACTTATTCTAACCAATCTAACTTTGCTCTGTTCAGTCCTGGCTTTTTTACAGAAGGACACATGAACCAATCTGTAAATCTTTCTGTGATGAAATCAAGTTTTTATTCCTATTTCATCAGGAGTATCAATACATCTAGAAGGCTGTGGAGCTGTAATTCTAGGAGGTTGGAGTGAAGCAATTTGAAACTTAGAAGATACTTTAACATAGAGTCATTTCGAATTTTGTAACCTTATGTGATTAAATTTTAGAATATTTTTAGATAAGAAAAATCCCTTTTCATATAGATTTACTGAGGAGGGGGTTTGCCATAAATGCTATGAAATAACTGCAAGGTCTAATTTAAACCAAAACCTTAACGCATTTGCTTTTTGCAAATTGCAAACCCAGTAACCCCTTTTTATTTCCAGGAATTTGATTCCTTATACCTAATGGAAAACTGTCATCCAATACCAGATTTTCAATTTGGCAGTAACGCATATGGGCTGAAACCTACATCTTTTAAAACAGCATTTACTGGAATGGCTGGTACTTTCACAACTAAAATTTACAGGCTGGTCAGGTCATGATTGTTCCAGATGAGAGCAAAATGAGGAGATTTCATGATACCTGTAGCACAGTGTAATTGCTTGCTAGACACATGGGACTTCAATATACCGAATACTATTGGCACCTCACCTGCATGGATACTGTAATCTCCTGCAGTGCTGCATCTGCCTCCGTTTGCTTCATTCTCAGCAAGGTGCTCTGATCTGCAGCTTTACTCTTAAGCTCATCCACTAAAGCTTTGGCTTCATTTAATTTAGATACACCAGCCTGTATTAAAAAAGTGATGGAGACTGTTACATCAGTTTATAAAATGTACTAATTTATACTTTTAAGAAAGAGATCTAGAAGAAGTTACAAATTAAGTTACAAAACTGATAAACTGATTTAATTTGGACTACTAAAACATAAAACCTGCCAACTCTAAGTACTAAAAATTCACAGATCCATTGATGATGAAGAAATACTGGTTTCCTACCTGTAAGTGACTCTGCCTTTTTATTAGTTCCATTTTCTTGCTACTGTATATAGAACTGTAAATGTGGAGGAAACTCATGTATTGACTTGGGGTAGCACTGTACTCTTTGCAAGATTCATGGATCATAAGGAAAGATTTTGTTATATCAGCATGTTCTGTAAGATAAAATGCATTATAAGATGGCATTACAACAACATTTAAAGACATGCCTGCAATAATAGGTGAATGTTTAAGGATATAACATGTAAAGAGATTCCTTTAAAAGATTAAAATTCCAAAGATACCCCTTTTGCTATGTGCCGCATTGTCAGAGCAAATTCTATCAGAAGTGTGGTGAAATACAAAGATAGGTACCTGACACTTTCTTTTTATGTCCTTGTTTACTAGTGTTTTTCTCATCATCTCCACTTAGTTTAGAAAGCAGCATTTCAGGAATCTAAATAAAGAAAGGGAAAGTATTTTACATTTTGTATTGTAGTATAACTAATATACACTCAGCATTTCTAAGAACAAGATTAAATTAGACATATCTAACTAATCACACTAATCACTCATTTAACACCATAAGATAAGAAGCAAACACTAGAGTGAAAATAAATAAACTAAAAGTGTATTATTGTGAAAGCTTTATTACAGCTAGACAAGACAAAGTCATGAAACATTAGCTTATTTTTTAGCATTCACTGCAGTAGAACCAAACCTAAATTGACTACAGCAAAAATACTGACAACTGTAATGACAGGAACAAATTCAAAATGTGTTAACAGTACGGTATTCTGAAAATACAGATAAATTATGCAAAGCCTAGTTAGTATCTTTCTTATCTGTCCCTCTCTCGAAAAATTTAAGAGATTCATAAAATATTAACATACTTTTCTCATGCTGCTGTCAGACCAGCCTTCCATCCATTGCACAGAACACTTTCGATAAAGTGCAGGGTTACTCTCACAGTTAATGGTGAAGTTAGAATTGGTACAATCCATTATTAACACCATGTGAAGATTCTGCTGAATTCCTACAACAAGAATGACAACCTTCTATTAATAAATGTAGCTCTACACATATAGATAGAAACACATACAATTAATCAATTTTACCCTTATGTCATGGTACACATTTTTTATTAATTATTTTTATGTCTTTGTTTTAACAAAGGCAATATAACATCTGTAAAAAGTGACAAACTACTAATTGTCACTTTTGCATAAATTCATATATTGATTTCAGTATAAAAGCCTTTAGTAGTACAGGATATATCTAACTGTTCTAGCATGGATCAAAATTGTTATAAAATTTATACAAATGTATCTTTTAACAATGGAGCAAAAATTACTTTTCTGAGCTAACAGAGATACTAAAATCTTCAGTGTTTTGGAAAATATGTTTCCAAGAAAAAAGGCAAGGGAACGTAATTCAATTGACAAGGTTTACGGTTTATTTATTTGGTTTCATTCATTTTAATAGGCAAAATCAGAAAGGACAAAGGAAGTCCCTTCTGCACATACTGATGTTCTCTGAATTTGAGAGGTTAGAGATGCCCAGTCTGCCAGAAAGTACTGAAGTGCTGCATTGCAGATGCCCAACATGTACTGAGGGTAATCGTTTCTGACCTTTCTATCACTGACATCACACTCCTCTGTGAGCTCAAATCAAAATGCCACAATACGAAAAAGAAGAATAGAGCACATTGTTTTAAATGTTACCTACAAATATGGGTGTTAGTTTGGATTCTCTGAAATATGCAAATGAGACACAATGTCATCTAGAATTTACAATGTCTCAGAGCTAGGAAAAGAGTATAAGTTTTATCCTTTTTATTCAGTGCTTGGCAGTCTCTATCCACTAGAGTAAAAAAATATGAATGGCTTATTGTCCCTATCTACAGGTGTGGAAGCAAGCCAATTAGGTAAACAAAATTGATATCAATTACCTTGTTGTAATGAAACAATAAACAAGTGAACATCATTATGTTCATGCAACAAGCCTATTTCTTTTATCTAAAACTATTTCCCATAAGACCGCAGACACTACAAAAAACACATTTTGCATGCACGGATATAAACAGATATTTTATTGACTCAGAATACCCAGGAATGCATATTATGCATGAACTGAAATTGAATATCATAAAAATCAGATTTTATTCCATGAAGATGGTGATCCTTCTGCTTAAATAAGTCTGAATATCAAAATATTCAAAATGGGCAAAGTACTGCATTGTATACCAAGGAAATTATTAAAGGCAGTAAATCATCAAATACAGTGTGATAATATATGCTTACGGTATGCAAAATAGTTAAAAATGGGGCCAGTGAAGCCATCTTGAGAGGCCTGGTCTTTTAAAGTTGACAGTAACGGTTCCAGTTCTTCTATTGTGTACAAACCTGGAACTTCTCCTGAAAAGATATTCAATCAATTTCAAGTACATTCTATAGAAATAAAGCTGATTTCTGTAAAATTAATTTTACAAGAGATGTATGACCATGTTTTTTATCCTTCTTTGCTGATGAAGAGAAAAGAATAGCATATCCAAGAAAGCTTTACAAATCAAGAGGGAATCACATTTTAGCAACAGTACAATTTTGCAGAATTGTTCAATCTTGGATTAATTCTAAAAAAAATCAGTTAGGCTTCTTTAACAAATCTACTGATGGGAAAGGTCTTTCGGTAAATTAGGCTGATTATGAAGAGTGCTGAGAAATTCACACTTTTGGAAAATAAAGTCAGGTCAGTACCTGGAAATGAGAATAGGTTTTGTAGTTATTTTTTCATTCTTGAAATTTTACTTTAATGCTTTGATTTTAAAATTATTATGAAATACAGAAAACATTGTAGTAATTCATATAATTGTTTGCATTTGCACATTATAGGAACAGGCAACCCTGTTCTCATTCTTATTCTAATTTTTCTTATCCAAAGCAGTAAAATTACACATTGTTATATAGAAGAAGAACCAGAAACAAATGTGGCACTAAGGACCATTTATAGTGCTTTTTATCCCAAAGCACTCTACAGATAATTACATATAAAAGTGCATCCACTTCATCCAACAGTGAAGCACCCACCTAGGTGACACATGCCATATGTACCAGCTGCACCACAGCACAGGAGATGAGGTGAAGAAGTGAAGCATGGCAAAGAGATAATTCTCCATTTAAATCGCAGGGGCAATTTACTGAAGTCAGATTCTGCCAACTCTAAATTTAGTAAGGACACTGGGGTTAATATCCCAACTCCTACAAGGAGTGTCAAGGGATTTTCAATAACCCTGATTGACGAATGGAAATGACCGGGACAGTATTGCTTCTGTCAATTCTTATCAGCTGTTTTAGCTTTCGACATCTCTCTTGTAGATGGCTCGATTCAGAACAAAACCAATTTTTTTTTTGACTGAAAAACGCTGAGTGCACTGACCAGATGACAGCAGGCTGTTGACCATTTCCAGAAAAGAAGGATGTACAAACTGATAGTCTTCAAGAAGCAGTAAAACCTGCTGTCCTTCAATTCCAGCCATCTGCATCACCTATAGGTAGGGCATTAAATAAAACAAAATTCTTAAAATAAACATTAGTTAAGCAAATTTGTATTATATTCCATTGAAATATCTGCTCTCTACACAATTTCCAAAAGTAATGAATAATCTGAAAATTTAAATTAGACACATTTATAGAATATGTACAGTAAAGAATTGGTGGTCGTGGAGCATTCACCTTAAATAATATTCCATTGAAGAAGAAGAATTTGGTCAAAAAGAGTTAATACACCAGATAGAAGATTATACTTATCATCTACAGTAGGAACCTACATTTTTCAGGTCATTTTTAAATTGTTTGAGCCCGTAGCCTCTGGATATCTTCGGTGTGAAGAGTGTAGCTCCATGCATATGGCTGACCACACAGGTGGCAGTCCGCCGGCCGACACCTGCACGCCCCGCCAAGAGGAGAGAGCCTCCTGGGTAACTCAGTACCCTGTCCACTCGAGACATATACTCCAACACCTCATGAAACAACAGTATGTCCAGCTCTCTGTTGTCTCTGCCATATAGCACTACACCCTGTGGGGGAAAAAAAGACAAACCAATGTTTTTTTCATATTTTGCTTATACTAGAACAGTGCAGTCATCCGTCAGGAGCAATTTAATGTTTCTCAAGTCAGAGGCACAGATGAATTGACCTAGAGGGTACTCTCTCTTTTGAATACTTTTCCATTTCCCACAAGTGGAATTAAATGTTTGCATTGTTTATCATTGTCTCTACGAAAAACCTGCAAAACATTATAACACGATAACATAAAACACGCCTCAATGAAATATCCACGATAAGGAGAAACTCTACCTTGCTCCAAGGAGAAAGCATAGAAATAAGCAGGCATTGGCGAATAAATAAAGATTAAATAACCCTCAATAAATTCTAATAATGAAGGTAGGATTCTACAAAGCAAACCTTAACCAAGCAATTACAACTCAGAACAGTGCACATACTGACAAAAGTCGGTCCTGCCTTACCTTGTGGATGACCTCTCTCAGGTCAGTGGAATTCAGTCTGCCCAGTGGCTTGCCATGGGGGGGGAGGGACTGTCCAGGAGCAATTACTGAGCCAGCCTCATGTGCAGCCCCCCAGGTTACATAGAAAGCATCTGTAAATTTGGTTACACGAAGGAAGGTAACATTTATATGCTCTTTATTTTTATATACAGACATACACAAGTGCCAAACTAACACTTGCTAGAACATCTAACATGCATATTGGAATATTTCAGTTTCATTTCAAACAGCACTACTATGTCTGTACCATATATAAAAAAAAAGTTTACCACTTAAAAAACAGTGATAGTAGAAGACCAATAAAAAAGGTTGTGCCTGTAATTGCTATGATAAAAGAGTTTCCTACTACTTTCGTGTTCATGTACCACATTTAAAACCTGCCCGCTCCTTCTGTCACTTATCAAAATCCTGTACGTGCATTAACTGATAACTTTGGAATTTGGGATTTTTCAAGAAAAGAAAAACAAAACTATCCAATTTATCTTTGAAATTCAATAATTAATGGACAATTCTAGGAAAGATGAGATTACATGAATGTTGAAGATGGTAGAATGATCTTCATGAAGTCCAGGGGGAACAGAACTAACAATTTCCAGATACTTCGTTATTTCCCGTTATTACTGTCACAGTGTGTTCTGCCTTCTTAATAAGAGGACATTCGAAATGCGAAAAGTTTCTTTTATATTTATACTTATCAAGCTACAGTACATGATAGAAAGTTTATAGACATTTTTAAGGTGGAAATGGTAGTTAACAAAGGTCTCCAGGTAAGGTTACCAATTGTGTTGGACTTCAAGAAAGTAGTCTATTCCCAATCATAAAATGCAAAGGAACTCTTGGCGATTCACCCAGATTTATAAAAGTTTTAATACATTTTCATTTCAACCTCAGCCTTAACATATACAGCACATTAACACATTCATGTATTCATATGGATTAAAATTGAAATTCAACGACCCTCTAAAGTTTTAAGCAAAAGCACACATAAACCAGACTATGCTAATTGCCCATAGGTTTCACAGTACAAACAGTTGCTATAAAAACTTATTTAATCAATCTTCTGGGCTATCAAACCAAAGTTTGGAAGTTTTTAAAGAGGACTTCTCTTATCCTGTAATTCAATGCTTTGTTATTAAAGTGGGGCAATCGAGCATCTGGCTATGTCCTGTTAAATTTTTATGTCTGCACAGCCAACCAGTTAAAGAGGGGGGAAACAATTAGCCAAAGCTTTTGCATCCAGTTCTGTACTGAAATTCTCATTGCAGAAATTAATGACAGTGCAAGTGTCCTTTCTTAAATTGCTCCTATGAATTACCTGACATGTTCTCCAAGATGTCTGAGCCCCAGTCTCCACGAATCACTGACTGCAAAATATTATCAAATGTGCTAATATCCTTTGCAGTGACAAGACGGTCACGGAACAGGCGTCGTGCTTCATAAGCAATGATCTCCAAAACATGGTCTGTGGTGTTTCGAGATTTTTCTAAAAATATAAACGTTCATAAAAATGTAAAACATAGCAAACAAAAATAATGAAGTTTATTTAGAAATGTGCTTATTACTTATTAAGTAGAAAAAATATAGCACTGAAATGTTACATACCATTTTTTGGTATGTATTGTGTTTGGAAGGAAAGGTGAATAGAAAGAAAGAAAAGGAATTATTACAGTGAGAAACGAAAAAAATATATTTCAAAGTGACAGAAATTACTTGGTGTACAATGCAAATAAATTTCATACATTGCAATGGCCTGGAAGAAGAAATAATACTATTACAGAGTATCTCTGGAAAATAATGTGCAGCCTATATTTCAGTAAACTGTCAAAATGTCAGCAAAATCCCACAAATAACAATACTTGTCTAGTTATAACTCTGGCAGTTAGGACATTAAAATACACTTATATCTCACCTCCAGTCAAGTCATATCTAAAGAGACTCAGCACCCACTGTGTGAGAATGCAAGGAGTAAAAAGATAGTGGCTGTAGTCATCCACTGTAAACTTGGCTCTGACCTGAACACAAAAGAAATATGTAAGTAAGAAATGAAAAACTTCCAACTAAAACTGACCTTAAATTTTTAAAGTCAGTCTCTTGAAATCTTCAGCACAGCTTCCATAAATCAGAATTCATGCACTGCTGCTCATCCTTTCTAATCAAACATTAAATCCTTGCCCTCTAAATAATGAGTTGTACTGCTAATAACTAAGCCACATTTTATGGTGCATAGGATTTCTGATTTAAGTTTCCACCTTCCTAATAAGCTATATTTGGAAGCCTTTAAGTAAAATGAATTAGATATAGAAGGCTGGTAATAGAAACAGATAAGGCATGGACTTATACACATCATACAATTTGAATCTGTAGTTTTATTTGTCAAGCAGCTAAAGCTTAAGGTAAAGCAATTTCAGCTAAAAATTGCACATCTAAACAAATGATAATGGAAATCAGTCAAATGGTTATGGAAATGGCAGGAGACATTTGACGTGCTGATCAAGAGACTTACATCAAATTCTCTTTTATTTTGCACTAATGGGAATTTTTATTATCAATAATAATCACCATCATCATCAGTATAAGCAGTATACTTTAAATGTATGTGAATAAATTCATATTTAGTATGAGCTGGAGTATTAGAACCATGACCCTCACCAGGAAAAGAGGAGTATTATATATAGGAAATAATAATAATAATAATAATAGTAATAATAATAATAATAAGTATTATAGGAAAAAATGGATTGATGGATGGGAGTATTATATAATTAAACCATCCTAACAACTGTATGTTTCTCTATTTTCTTAAAACACCCTTAAAAACCAAACGATAACAAAAGTAAGGGAGATGCTTTCATGTCTAGCTAAAAAGTTAAAACAAGATAAAAGGTCTCTTTGGAGATGCCCCACAGTATAACTACATTTGTTTAAAAAGGACCTGGAGAGGAACCATGCTATCCTGCTTGCCTGACCTGCTCATACACCTGCACCATGGATCCTGCCAGCTGGTGGATTTTGCCTGCTGATCCCCAGGCCCCATGGTTCTTTAAGCTTCTGTGCAGCACTGGCTGAAGGTAGGCACTGTAGATAGTCTGCAACTGCTCCCTGTCTGGGTAACTACAGATATGACAAATGCCAAAAATATACAATGAAGAATAAACTTTACTGATTTTTTTACATTTATGTTAGGACATGAAAACTATAAAAAAATACTGACCATTAAGGTAAATTACACTACGGAAAAATTCAAATACTCGATTTGTATTCCCCTTAACCTTCACTGTCAAGTTATGTTCTCAGGAAATGTTTCCTGGTGCACAGTCAATGAAAAATAATTGTATGGTCTACAAATTCATTTTTATATCCATTCCTCAATAAAAAACAAAATGTTCTAGCATGCAGATTTATTTGCATTACTTGATTGATAAGACAGTGATACATTTGAAATGATTTTAATGATAAAATTTATTGAATGTCTGAGAGCTTTACTGGCACATGCTGCTATTATTAATGAAGTATTCTCATTCAATGTTTTAAAGGGATAAATTACAGAACGTATTGTACAGAACAGGGAATTCAAATTAATTTGATGAACAACATTTAGGATTTAGAAAACAAGCTAATATATATACCAGAGTGTGCTTTTTAAAATTGTATTAATATCTGCTTTTCTAAAGGTTATATATCCACAGAAATAACATTTTTCATATCTGGAAGATGGCATCTGGGTAGTTATAACAGAAAAACAAACCATGCACAAGTATATATAATGCTAATTTTATGCATTTTAGGACATTCAGTAACGCAGAAAATTAAACACCAATTGTTGATGCTGACTGTGCATTGTAGGTACTTACTCAATCGTACAAATTCGAACTATTGATGTAAATCTTGATGTGAGAGCATGCCTCCCCACTGTACCTCCTGCAGACATTGAAGCCACAATCTGTATATTCTCCAGTCCAACCCACTCCAGATTTTCATCATAGAAACCATGGTACGTCAGCACCTTGAGAAAATAAAATAAAACATTTAGATACAATGCATATGAGAACTACTGGTCAACCGTACAAAACTGCCATGATTTCTAAAAAAGGCATCAGTTGAATGGATATTAAAATGTATGTAATCCTCAATAATGTATATATAAAACAGATTTAAATCCTCCTTAGAAACGCAGGCCATACCTGCTGAAGAAAGGCAATAAGATTACTGGTTCCCCACTTGTCTGGTTTTGGAAGGTTGATGTCCTTTAGGTACAAAATAAGACGTTCGCAATCTTTAGGCCTGTAAACTCTTCCTGTGTTGGAGCTGATAACCAGGCAGGTCTGTGTTAATTTTTGGAGAACATGTCGAGAAGAGGTTTGTGCACTACAGTGCACAGTGGCAACCTGGGTTGATCTGAGCTGGGAGAAGGCATAATGCAAGAGCATCCTGGAAACACATTGAAAAATGTACAATAAGTCAGATACTGTTCTGTGAAAGATCATTCAGTGGCAAAAGAGGTAAGTCTTACACCTTAAATTGTTTTACTTTTTCCACTGGGAAGTAAGGAAACTTTAAAATTGCAAACACTATAAGATTCCAGGATTATACAGACAAGGGACGTCTGCAAGACACATTTAACATTCATCTAACAAATGCCAAGGGCAACATTTTCTAAAATGCCAAAATAATGAAGACAAAACGCACAAAAGATCTGTTCCAAATTAATAAGATATTCTGTCAATTACAGAAAATATCACACATTTCTTACAATTCTTTTTCTTTGACTCAATGTGTTAATATGTAAAAAAAACGATCTCAAGTATAAAGCACACAAAGGTTAAGCTCTAAAGGGATCATAATCCCCCAAGAGTTTATAAAATACTGTCTACTAATCAGGATGCCCATTCTAGGCTGCCCATCTGTCATTCACTGTGGGAGGAATAATAAACATTCTATGTAAAATTCCCCAGTTGAAATGCTCTGTGTAACCAATGTACATCACCTCTGCTGAAAAACAAACCACATATAAAATACTCCTAGGAAAACACAAATCCATTAAATACTTATAGGCAAAGTGTTTGTAGCAATTATTGCATTAAGATGTAACATTATTTTGCAAGATGTAATATTAACAAATTGTACTGTAATGATCATGGATGAGGAAGACAACTATTTTAGCAAAAGTTCACTCCCTCCATTTCCCTTTAGCTCTGTGTCCATGCTGTGACTGTACAAGGACAGGAGGGCACTGCTGTTGCAGTGTACGGTCAGTGCATGGGCCCTGCTCTATGAGTCAAGTGGAATATTCAGTGCTCACAGGGCACCCATAAGAGGAGAGAAGGTGACAGTGGAGGGACCCCAAGGGGAAACTAGACTGCGCATTTCAAGATATTTAATCCCTTAGTGGCAATCAATGGAGGGTGGATAAATATGGGCAGGTGTTTCATTAGGAATCCAGAGGCAGCTCTAGACTGCATGTCTTTTTCCTTATTATCCTGTTTTGTCTTTTACCCAACTTTTGCACTAAATCATTTGCAGTCAGGTCTTACTAAGACTTGTTACATCATCATTGACATACAGTATTATATTATAATTTCTTGATTAGCAGGTTGCAATATGTTTTCATCAATTCATTGGGATTTACAGATGCCCTTTAAGGCACGATACAAAATTCAAAGTTGCTCATGACAATGTTGTCTACTTTTATAACTTCTTTATGAAACGGCACCACTTGAAATATATGAAACTAATAGAGGAATTCAATTAATAAGCAGAAATAAACCTGGATTACAAAGGTGACACTGATATTTTGAAATTGAATTATAAATACATTTTTCAGTTATTTAAATTTAGCATACAGCATAACGTAAAACATTTACCCTTTTCCACAGCCTTCAGGACCTACTAATATAAAAGGCTGTCTGTTTTCACTGCAGAGCCACTGTCTGAAGTAATCCAAGCCTCTCTGCATGTCAGGTGTCTGAACGACAGGGAGTTTTTGAGGATTACTAAAATCCTCTGCAGACAAGTTCTCTGGCTTCTGCAGCTGATATGCTGCCAAACGTCCAGTCCCGGGATCATAGAAAGTGTCAAGGGGCTTGCGGAGATCAGGTGGACTTTCCCTTGCCCAGCTGAGAACCTAAAATGTTTTGGAAAATGTAAGTTATTTTTGGTTAATGATTTTATGACTACAATATATTTTGAAGAGTTGTGACTGCATTTGGCAAAACAATAATGAAATAACATGTGTTGATCAGTGTCATATAAGATGATGTCTAGAATCAAAACACATGCTCTTCAGCAAATGGTTAATGTTAAATAGTGAGCTTTATAAACCATTAGAACTCGTGTTGTCAGTCTTACCTGTTTTGCAAATTCCTGCCGGGATTTAAAATTCAGGTTTCCACCAAGACCCCTAATTAAATTGACCACAAATTGGCCTCGTTCTCGGACACCACTGAGATGAGATAAGCCGTTCAAAACTGTGCCCACCAGACTTGTATCCACAACAAAATCATTCTACAGGACCACAGGGAGAAAAGGAATTAAAATTACTGAAAGTGAAATATACATTGGGAAGTTCAAATAATGTACATTGTGTTGTCATTGTCAGTACTCTGAAGGTTTGTGAACTTAGAAAGATGGACGGTACTTTCTCAAAACCTTTTTTGCAGTTGAAAATACCTGCTTTAGAACCCAGTCCAAACCCTTTTCAAAGTAGTCTCCAATCCAGTTTTCAAGATTACTTCTACATTCATCAGTCTGTGTCTTCAACCAAGATTTCACCAAAGAATTTATATCTGTATCTTCATCACTAGATCAAGAAGACAGAAAATGTATTTTAACTTACGGTAAGTGCAACTTCTTCACTGTTTTTGACTTCATTATATGACTGACTAATAAAAGGAGCAAAAGTTTGTATAGGGTATAGTAAAATTGCTAATGGTACACAATGGTTTTTAAAAAAAAAGTCACACCTCAGAAAAATCATTCCCATTCTTGATATAGTAGCTGGGGATGCACAGCTCAGGTCATGGGTCTCAAACACAAAGTTAACATTAGGTCCAAACTGAATCCTTTCCCCACTGGGCATGGTGAGAAGCCTGTTATCATCCAGCACTGAGTTCAATGACTCAATCCACTCAGGGTCAATATCACCATCACAGATAATCCAGGAGCTGACCTCTGAAAACAGCAAGAAACCTAATAACAGAACCAGTCCAGAAAAACTCCAAGAAACTCAAAATCCTGCATACTGGTTTTATCATATTTATATATTGGAGGTCCTAAAGACCTAATAATAGTGCATTACGTCAAGGCTCTTACCTTGTGCCTCACGAACAACCTGCCTGGCACTGTTGGTCAAGACTCCATCTGACCACTCCCTAGTGTCCATGTCAATGTGTCCTAAGAGCTGCTGTCTAGCCATAGCTTTGGGGTTCATGGTGTATTGCTTCACGACTCTGCCTATCCTGCCGAGAGCTGCCCTCAGCGTGCGCCACAGGGTTGACTTCCCTGCACCACTAGGGCCTACAATGACGACCCCCATTCTCTGCCGGAGCTGTTCATCAAGCTCGAGGGCTTTCTTGATCTGGAGACAAAAAAGAAAAAGCAAACAATCAGTAGTTTGATTCATATGATGCAGAAAAGTAAAGAAGGTAGGGCTAAAAATGGCATAGTATTCTGATTAAAACAACTCCTCTGGCACAAAGTCAATGATTCCTTTCAGACATGATTATGTTCAGACTTCATAAACGCCAGATGGCATGTAAGAAACAGCACTTTGCTTAGGATACACCACTGCATACATAGATGAAGACAGAAATTTTAAAACCTATATAAAATCAGTATTACTGTGAGGGACATGTTGGTGTCCTTCCAATATTCATTCATAGCCCTTTCAGCTATTCTTGATCTTGTGTCCTGGATGAAACAACCCTGAAAGCCCAGGCTCAATCCCACCACAACAATGTGGAAATCACAATTTTATTTCATGTCCAAAATCCTATATTGCTTTGCTAGCAATTTCATTCCAAATATAAGTGATGAGCCCAAATATATTCAAATTCTGTTTAAATTAAAACTTTACCTTAAAAAGTGATTGGAAATTATAAAAATTCACATTGACAAATCAATGCCAAATATGATGAAACTTAACATTTACATATTTAGAATAATCCCTCCCTGCATCATGTAGGTATTTTGAAGTGAGCCTGGGGAATATTTAACAATTACAATTTGATGCATTTGCAGTTTGCAGCCTTCTTAATGTGTTTCTTCTGTCCCTTTTCAGTATTCAGATCCGTACCTGATTTGGGATTATTTCCAGCTTTGCCTCCTCAAAGACAGCTTGTAAGGCAGCAGTGAGCTTTTCATATTCCACATCTGTAAAGTCCACACCAGGGAACACATCTCTCACCAGGGCATCAAAGCGAGAGCTGTCGGCAAATGTCAGTTTGGACATGGTATTCAGACGCAAGGCCTGAACCACAATGTGACTTTCCTTAACTTCAGAAAAAAGAGAAATATAAACACTTTTTAAAACACAAACACTTTAAACGAGATAGCATGTACAGAACATGCTGGAACAAAATTGTTTTACAGATGTTAAGATGTGAAGACAGAAATCAATGCCTTACAAAGCTTACCATTTAAAAGTACACTGCGGTAAAGAAAGTACAGTGTAGTGGTCATGATAGTTATGTTAGTTTTACTGAACTTTTATTTAAATCTCCAACATTGTGATTTTACAATTTTGAAAGTTATTGCATGTTAGATATTTAAGCATCTTAATTTTTTGTAGAAATTGAACTATTCTCAATAGAACTAAGTAACACTGAAATTCTACTGGTCAGCAGGTAGAATTTGTAATTTTTTTAAATTTACTTATGTAGGTTTATCTGCCTTCTAGGTTAAAAAAATATTTCACTAAAGTTACAAAACAGATTTAGAACAACTTCCCAATGATCCATGGAAGGAAAAAAAAGAGGAAAAAAACAGCATCTAAGAAAAATTGCTAAGGACAAAACCTATGAAGAAGACTATTGATCACACTTACTTTTCTCTTTGCTTTCATTTTTCCTCTGTTGTTGCAGCAGACTTCCACATCCCCGAAGAACAGTCTTCAGAGCTCTCAGCCCCCAGTCATAGTGCTGCTGGGGGGTTAAAAGCTCCCTGTGCAACAAGAGAACGACAACAGATGTGAATTTAAAATGTGCATTAAAGTTTTCCTTTATAACCTTAAGAACTCAAGAGAGCTAGAAAAATTAGGGGACACATGCCAGATGCCCATGCTGCAGGATATTGATTTTAAAAAACCTAACTTTATCTTCACAGAGGAAGGAAATCGGTTCAATGGCTTAAAGCTGATGCCTCAGACCCCCTAGGGTAAAGGTCTGAAGCACTGTTGTCACATTAATCTAAACTTGATTTTCGGTTCATGTAGCTTTAATTCCGAATTGCTTTAGGGATAGTTTTTTTGCTTCTGCAAAATCAAGAATTCCTGGGACTCTGGGACCTTCCCAATCCTTTTCTAAACACACATTATACATTTAAACCATGAACTCTAGACAGTATCAGGTTGTTGCAGGGCACACCACACTGGAGCAGACCACCAACGTAGGGAAAATAATACATGTAAAAACAGAAATTAAGGGGACTCATGCACCTAAGTGGAACTTTACTGCTATGAAAATGAAAAATGATTCTATAAAATACAACACTGATTCCCTTTCATTTTAAAATAATTAAAAATGGCTTTTCAAATCATTTCCCATTATCCCTTATGGGATATTAGTCCCCATGCTGCTAACTACATATTAATTTATAATCATGTCTGCCTTAGAAAAAGTAACAAACAGCAACTGCAGGAACAATTACTAGTTGCAACAGCAGACTAAATTATAATCACAGTGTCTTTAGCACTCATTTACTCACCTGGAGAGATTAAAGATGGCAACTAGTTTTCGGCCTAAAATCTTGCCATCTTTAAAGCCCTCCGAGTACAAAATGACTTCGGCAATGAGTTCATTGTCAGGGCGAGACATGGCCACAGGCCTGAAAAGCTGTTTCAGATTATCAGGAAGTTTCTGTCTTCCTCCATAACCTTTCCCTGCAGGGTTCAAGGTTATGAAAATGCCGGAGTTGGGATCAAGTTCCACCTATGAAGGGAAAAAATGCTAATTTACTGTTGTGCATTCTATTAAAAAGAACAAACCATAAATGAATGTAGTATAATTTAAATACAAGTATCCATCGAAAGAACCATCCGTATATCATTTAGCTTGAAAAAAAGATAAGAAGGTTAGTCTATTCTATAAAGTCTGATGGAGCAGTGGAGAAAACCTACCTCTTTCCCCAGAAGTTCACATGTGCTCCTTTGGTTTTTTAAAGAGTTTTGAATGGCCTGAATTTGCATGGAGACAGCCGACAGCACAGCCTCTTCCAGCCGATTGAATTCATCAAAGCAGCCCCAGGCTCCACACTTCACCAGACCAACAAAGATGCGCCCCATAGACTTCACATCTATGCCCTTTTCAAACATAAATTCTGTATTAGTTACCTCCCCTTAGATAAAACACAAACAAAAGATATTTGAATAATATCAGTTACCAGTTATGGTGCACATTATTGTATTCATTTTATTTTTGGGCAATGTAGATTTTCATATAATCTCAGAATTTCAGATCCTGTTGGACGGATACAAAATAATTCAATATTTAAGACTGCCAGGGCTTTTAACTTCATGCTGATACATTTGCAAGTTGGCATGTCCATGCACCAGATTTGATTATTAAATTGGACAAAACCCAGCCCTTCATACTCATTTGGCTATTCAATGTCAACATCCCAGTATGCTTTGTTAGACCTAAACACCAAGTTACCATCAAAAAACAGAAAAGTCATTCTGAGGGTCTTTTCTGAGGCACTTTTACAACCACATATGGAGGTATACAACATGATGCTCTCAGAAATTCCAAATTGTGTAGTATATATAAAAACACGCTGGCCAACTCGTTCAAACAGGAGTCTATGAAATCTGTAGGGCTTCAGCTTTAATGCAAATGGAAATCGACTAGATTAACCATGTTCTATGAGGCCTGGAAACAACATCAATCACAATACAGCTGCTTTATGGAATGTCAGAAATGCATACTACTCCAAATTGATTGGTAGTGAATAGAATAATCTAAGACTTTTTCAGATCATAAATGGTTTGTCAGGCTCCTTCTGTCCCTGTACATACCACTAAAGCAACAACTGAAGTGTGTAATGAGTTTTTTTTACATTTTTCAAAGTCACATATTAGGTGGCATACAGTATTTCGTCTAAGGATATTGAGGTGATGCATTTAGAACCTGTAGCAAATCCCTCCCTTTCAGACCTTAAATTTTCTAATTTCTACCACGTCACGCCATCGGAGGTGGCTGATTTGATATTTAAAAGTCCACCACTTGTTGCTTTGATCTCACAAAGCGATCAGAAAGGAAATTTATAAAAAGATCATTATAGAATTCAATTAAGGGCAAACACCTAGCAGATGAAGATTAATGTAGACAAGGGCAGATGTTTTAGCTCCATTCAGGTAGCAAAAACAACCTAGATGAAAAGTGAGAAACACTGAGCTTGAAAAAGTTAATTAAACATTTTTTCATATGTTGATACTGTACATCATGTACTTTTTCTAGACCATGTGGGAAAGCACTAAAATATGCCTTCATATTCTTAGAAATACACTTTCATTTTAGACTCATTGTATTAGCAGTCATACGATTGGTTTATGAGTCATTTGTTCGCCCATACTCAGAAAAGAAGAAACTGCATTCTAAAAGTAAGCACGGCTTTGTCACTTATAATACCTACATGAGCTTTTATCCTTGTATTTTCTAGTTCATATAATTCTAGTTTCTTATCTTTAACAGATTCTAACTATGATTTTGGGAGTACAGAGCAAGCTACCCAGCTATGATGTTGAAGCCAAATCCATGGCCTCTTTGAAAAACAGCTATTCAGGATCACCAAATCAAACAGTTGCTAACTACAAACTGTTACTAACAGTTACTAACTCAACACACACTGGTCTACTGCTTGCCACTTAAAACATGTTGAAAACTGTAAGTTTATCCATTTATGTACCTAAGTTGTAGAACTCTGGTCTGTGTCTGTAAGAAATTCAGAAGTGTGTAAATATTTTTAAAACTGGTCTAAGTAAAGTGTTATTAATGCACAACCTTAGCATTAATTACATTTTTTTCTATTTTTAAAACCTCTGCCTTTTATTCAAGTAGGTAGCTGCTTTAGCATGCGTAGGCTGCAAAGAAACAGGTAACGGGTTTATTCCATGCTGAAAAGAAAGGAAACACAACGTTTTGGCTGTGGAGCCTTCTTCAGGTGGGTGTTCTTCAGGTCTGAGCCTTTTCCATGTGCCTGAAGAAGGCTCCACAGCCAAAACGCTGTGTTTCCTTTTTTTTCTTTTCAGCATGGAATAAACCCATTACCTGTTCCTTTAAGATTTATAGCTTCCTAAGGAAAAAATACTTTCCATACAAACAAGTTGCTCACATAATTTTTCTCAATTCTTTTTAGCAAAAGAAGTGTACACGAGATTTATTCTTTCTGTCTTGAGAATAAAAATACTGTACACTAATGGATGTGTTTACCTCGTCACAGTTAAAAACAAGTACTTGTCTCCCAAACAATCCACCCAATGCTTTCACAGACTCGGTCTTGCCAGTACCAGCAGGTCCATAGGGATTTCCTCCTAAGCCCATCTTCATGGCTTGTGTTAGAGTAAGATAACACTTATCTGTCAGAGGAGTGTGAACCAGCTTGGGTGCATTACCCTGCTCAGGAAAAACCATATGAAAAAGGGATTTTTACAGTTAACCTTTCAAAGAAAAGGCAATACCAGAAAACATAAAACTGCTCAAGCAATATGCAATTGTTCTGTACAATATATAAAACATGCACTGCATATACAAATGCACTTGGGTATAACCATAAACATCATAATGTACACACATACACAAACGTACTAGAGGGCATGAGGTGGAAAAGAAAGATAAATTATATCTTTGAATACACACTGCCACCTATTGGGCATTTTGATATTTGATAGGCACAGGATCACATACCTGGTATTCATAGGTATAATGGAATTCAGCATCCACCATTTGAACATAGCATCTCTTGTCCTGTTTCAGATAGAACCGGAGCTGCTTTTTCCAGACCCAGGCCTCACAGTTATGTATTTGTGCTTCTTTAAGCTGCTTCACAACTTCAATGTTATGAATAACATCTAGAATGAGAGCTTTCAATTTCAACTGGAGAACACTAGCATCTAAAAAAAAAACCAAAATGAATTAAAAGTTGCTAAAACCCTCTTTAGGATGAAAAATACAAACATATATGCTACATCTATCTAAAGACTTACAAGTGCTTCCTGAATCTTCATTGCTGGTATCCACGTTTGTGTAATTCTCCAACTTATCCATCAATTCAACCTCCAGTTGCTGAAGGTTTTGATTTTTAATGGCATTCTCGACATCTTCGGTGAACTGTATCTGCTCAGCCAAGCACAAAATCTACACACAAAAACATTAACCTGCTTGCAAATGGCAGTTATGAACCAAAAAAAGCATAGCACATACTCTGTTAAATGTAATATTATGACTTGTGAATTATAAATTATTCAGAAGAAATACATTAGTTGTTTTCCCATCTCTACTTTCACTAGTTATACTGGAATAACAAATTCCGTAGTTGAAGTCGGTTCTTCCCAGAAATGTGAAATTAGCTAGATAGCTTTATAGTATCCATGTTATACAAAACACATTACAAGAAAACTGCAAATAAACAAGTCTAGTACCTGTGATGGAAAGCTTGAAGGATCAATACCAGACCTCCTCCCAGCAGAAACACACTCGTACAGCAGTTGTTTCAAGGTTTCTTTCATTTCTACAGATAAATCACTCAGCCAGACCTAAAAAAAAGTTTCACAAATGTATTCAGGGAACAAAAAATATTTTGACCTGAAAGATAACCTATTGCTATTTTGTCACTCACCTCTACATCATTTGAAATGCGGATTTTGTTTTTTAAAGGAACAACTTCACCCTCTAGGGATTTCATTGCAGTAATGTGCTGAAAACCTTCATCAAAGTCAACACTGCAGATACCTACACGAAAACACAAACAAATAAGAGCATATTACAATGTCAAAAATGGTACAGCTAGATGTCTATCTAGAAAATACTGAAAACATCCATTCTATGACGAAATGACAATGTACATCTTTCTTACACAAGAAAACGAAATACCAAAACATACCAGCGAACAGCTTCTTTAAGTGCGTTTGAATTACAGCAGGGTTTGTGGCTTGTCCAAGGATCTCCAGTAGGTCATCATCCCCAATGAAATAGAACCGTGGGAATGCAGAACGTTTCTCCTGCAATTACAAATGGTTACCTCAAATTCACCTTCTTAAAATGCTAGTTTTTAGGCTACATAAATGTAATTACTTTTATCATTAAGCAGCTTTTTCAGGAAAGCATTTTTGTTTTAGATACTATGCTCCTTTTGAATTTACAATTAGTAAAAAAGTCTTGAATCTGGGACATATTCTTTAGCACATTGACTGTTAGATTCCTTTCTGAAAAGCAAATGAGTGAATAAACATTTTATATGAACTATTCACTTTCATTACACATAGTCTCACAGGTACCATTCAATGAGTATTCTTTAGAAAATACACTGAAAACAAATCTGTACCTCCAGAAATTCATTCAGTGATTTTTGGCACCTCTGCAGCTGATCCAGTATGTTGATCAGAGAATTCCTGATCCCTGCTCTGGCATTCAGTGATGTGACCCTACTGTCCCTTTGCACATCTGCCATTATAGACCTACAATAGGCACAAGGTGTTATTTTAATTATTTTCATGAAGAGAGACCGCGTTTCAGATAATTTAAATAATTGCAACAAACACCTGTAAAGTACATCCATAATTCATGTCAGCGATACTTAATGCAGTACATCATGCACCATCACACAGTTTTGTCAGGTCTTACTCTCAGAGAAAACTATCTACATAAAATCATTTATATAATAACCTGAAATCTTCATCCACTCTCCTGAACCGTGCCTGTTCCTTAGGCAAGGCTCCACGTCCAAAAATTGGCTCTAAATACACCCATTTCCTCTGAATGGCATTCAAGTTGTGCAGGTACTCATCTAGATCAGCTAGCTTGGTCTCCCAGATGGACACTTTGTCCTCAAAACTCCTGTAATATGGGGAATCCTTCAGGGACTGCAGCAGGCAGCGATTGTCCCCCACCTGGTTTACAATATCCTTCCAGTCCTTAATAAGCTTAATGGATCTGTTCTGACTATCCATATAGTCAGTGAGTGTAAAAACAGCTCCTATTCCCCACAAGTCCAATTCCCTTAAAGCCTCTCGAATGGTGACTTCTGCCTGAGCCCGGCTATTGAGGTCCTGCAAAAGTAAAGCATGTGTGGGTTTTTTTTTTACATACAGGCCTTTTAAATTAAATTAATGAACACATTTCTATTTCATATGTATGGAATTCATTTGATCTCATAAGATACAGACTTTTTTATTTTTGCAGTGAGACACTGTCTTCTTCATTCTGTTTTAAAATATTTTTTAATGTATAACAATATGAAATCCATCCTAAATCTGCTGCACATAAATTGAAAGCAAAATCCACAGAATAAAACTTCATACTTTCAGTTCTGAAGCCTTCTCCACAATTGAGTCAGCAACTTTAAGCAAATCCCCAAACACAAGCTTTTCTAGTGTGCTGCCCCTGGGAAGCCCAAGAAGACGAAACAGATCTAGCCAGTGATCCTGAGAAAGATGCTCTCCACGCACATACTTTAAAACAGGAACCACCATCTACACAAGAACAATGAAGAACAATGAACAGGACAAGTTTAAGACATTCATTCACTCTTTATGCACAGAGAAAAGTCCAAATATTTTAAAATGAAAAAAAAAAACATTTTTTCCAAGGTTTTTAAATAAAACCCATTTTTAGCCATTCAAAAACTGCTCAATGAAGTTACAGTGAAGTTACTGCTAAATCAATTTTACATGCTCATAGTTAGCCCTGAAACAAAACTGATTACTACCTTGTATTTGTCAATCTCTTTCTGCAGTTTTACAGTCATTGTTGTGTGCTCCTCTAGCTTTCGAAGTCTGTCATGCCACATAAACAGAAATTCTTCAAAAATAAACGTCTTGCTCCTGTAGAAGTACAAAAAGTTACGTTTCAATATATATTCAAAGGTCTAGGCATGGGAATATTCAAACTACAACATAATATTTTAGAATAAACAAACACTTGCATTCTTTAGTATTAGGGAAAAGAAAGTATATGCTAATATATGAATGAAAATGCTTCCATTCATCCATTTGCTAAACAATTCATCCAATATAGGATATCATGAATGTTCGCAATTATTTTGAAGATTTTGTCAGAGTACTTAGAAATTTTTCAATGCATGTGGAAAACGTCTTTTGGAATATAGCATTTTTTTAAAATGAGGAAGAAGGAGACTGACAGTCAAAGAACAGGTCAGATTATGTACAAGAGCATAAAGCAATGGATGCAGCAGAAGACATGTAAACTGAAGTAAAAATATGAGAAGATAGGATGAGGCGTACAGAGACTATATAAAAATGAACAACTCTTTAAGTCTTTAAAATAAACTGCATTTAACATAAATAGAATTGTTACCATTTGACACACCTCTAACAATGGACACAAAACTCAGTGTATTAATATATAATACATTTCAACATGATAGTTTGAACTAAGTTTTCCATAATGCACAATTCAAGAATGCAACGATTGCATTATAGCAGAACTGACTGCATATAGTTATACACAATCTGTACATCAGACCTGAAACTGATCCAGTCTTCCTTTGCTTTCTCCTGGAGCCCTTCATGATATTCTTCATAAAGTGACCACATCTGCACAAATTCCTCAATATCTTTGATTATTTCATGTGCAAGAGAAAACTCTGGCTCTTCCAAATCAAAGTGATGGCAGTCCTCACTAAAAACATAAGAAAAAACTGGATGAAAGAAAAAGAAATCTGCTTTCTTGCTAGAATCACTGTATTAGCAGTCACACAATTCCTTCTAGAATTATTAGCTAGCCCAGATTTATGAGTGTAAATAGCACTCTACAAGCAAGCATTTCTTAGTCACTTATAATACATACAGTATTTTTTTCCTTGTATTTTCCAGTTCGTCAAATTCGAGCTTCTTATCTTTAATGGTCTGAACACACTTTTGAAGGGTCTCCTGATCTCCGAATTCAATTATGTCATCATTTGGCTTCAGTTGGTCCCAACGGGCTTTAAATTTCTCAAGCTCATTCTGGTACACCTTAATCCGAGACTCCGCATTTGATTTCATGACTTCTACCTAAAACACAAAACAGAAATAAAAAAAGACTTGTACGGAAAATGTCTATGGAATTGAGGTTTTAGTGTTTTGAAATATAAATATGAATAAGTGATTACAATACTGGAAAGTGGGAGGAAAACATTTTTCCCCTCTTACTTACAATGTTGCTTTATTGAACTTGAAAACTCCCATACCTGCTCTTTGATCATAAGCTGATGGCTCTCCATCATTAATTCAAACTTGTCCCATTTAGCTCTCAAAGTACTGATCGTATCAAGACCTCCACCGGCAACAGACCGCAGCAATCGGTTTTTATCTTCAGATTCTTGGAAAAGGGGTAAAATCTGGAAAATCAAAGATAATTCAGTAGTAATGCATTACACCCATTTGGAAACAAGACTTAAATAGATATGCTACAGCTGTATCTCATACATTATGCAAAAGGATTAAGGGGGGCTAGGAATCCGTTTTAATTTACTGTACTTTTTTCATAATAGATATATCCAAAGCTAAAAACAAAACAATAAGGCTAAAAGGTTCAAGCACCTAAAAGCTATAAGTCACACATTTTAATTATACACCAGTTAATAAAATATGTCTTTCAAAGTTCTACTACATTAAAGCAATAAAACTGACAATTAAGTATATAGCCATTTGTTTGGGATTAAAACATACAATTGACAGTTAACTAACAATTTAGCAAAAATGCATTCTAGCAATAAACAAAATCGTAAAACAATAAGGTTTTACTTCTGGCTTCTTAGCTTTCAGCTCTCCATGTTTCATATTGGCCTCGCCAATTTCATCAATGCTTTCTGGTCTGGTTGATAAGATTTCCATCGCTTCAGTAAGAAAGCTGTCAATATCCTGTGCATGGGCTAATGTGAATAAAATAGTGAAGAAATAATAAATGAAATCCCAAGGACAAGATGCTCAAAAACCGAGCAAGCAACCAAATATAAACCAATTACTATGGTTTTCAATACCCTCATGAATTATACATATTTGGTATTTTCAGTATTGTATTCAATTATTGTGCCAGTGTTTTTTACCTTGAATAGATTTCCTCAAAGACATGAGGAGCGCATCAAACAGTCTCTGAATTAAATCATCAATCACTGCCTTCACGGGATCACAATTGATTGTTATACAATCCACCTTCTCTGTGCTGCAAAATGTAAAATTGAGGATAAAATAAATTAGGGGCCACAGAAAACTTAGCTAAATTTAAAGCAATCGCCCTAAACATAAATCAATACGAAGCAGGTAGGTTAATCCCATGTGCGGGCTTGAACGCAAACCGCAATTACTTTGAAAACAGATGCTGATATCAATCTGCTTAATACTTTAAAGTGGGATGAATCTGCACAAATGGTTTCGCATTCTAATGATTCTCAATAACTTCACCACTCTCTCTCACTCACTCAAAATTACACTCCCTTGCCTGGCCAACCAATTTCAAACAATGGCAAGGCATTTTCTAACACCATTTGCTATTTCACTGAGGCACTATTTGTGCATTGAGCATCAAAAGAAAATGTGATTTATATAAACTGCAACAAGTTCATTAAATTATTGGAAAAATGGAACAGTAGGTGCAATGACATTTTATTTAACAGATATGGTAAGAGGTTAATTCATTATACTGATTAACATTTCCTGTGGAAGTCAAAGGCTACTAGCATGTGGCCCATCATCAGAAGCCATACAAGTTGTACGTCTGTAACGCATGATTCCACACACAGCGCCCAGACAAGCATATGCCTGTTCACTGGTATTTGATCCCTAGTTGCCACATCCTCTCAGGTCATCACATCCCATGTTTCAGATCTGGCAATCAAGGCATCCACAGCATAATTGCTCCAAAGGAAGCCATCATTACACGAGTACCATGAGGATAAGTGTTGTCTGGCTAGAATGTTGTCACATCAGGGTTAATCTAGGAAGAGCAATAAATGAGGCCTCCTGGGATTTGATTGATGTACAGTGAGGTTGTCCATAATACCTACTAATTGATCATAACACCTGAACATCCTAATCAATCGGTGTGTTGTGCACAACAAGCCATATCACCATGCAACTCACAACTGGCTACCCACTGAAACTAAGCAGGTGTGAGCCTGGTAAGTACCTGGATGGGAGACCTCCTGGGAAAAACTAAGGTTGTTGCTGGAAGAGGTGTCAGTGGGGCCAGCAGTGGGCGCTCACCCTGCGGTCCATGTGGGTCCTAATGCCCCAGTATAGTGATGGGGTCACTATACTGTAAAAAAGGCACTGTCCTTCAGATGAGACGTAAAGCCGTGGTCCTGACTCTCTGTGGTCATTAAAAATCCCAGGGCGTTTCTCGAAAAGAGTAGGGGTGTAACCCCGGCGTCCTGGCCAAGTTTCCCATTGGCCCTTACCAATCATGGCCTCCTAATAATCCCTATTGATGAATTGGCTTCATTACTCTGTTCTCCTCCCTACATATAGCTGATGTTGTGGTGAGCGTTCTGGTGCACTATAGCTGCCGTCGCATCATCCAGGTGGATGCTGCACATTGGTGGGGGTGGAGGGGATCCCCATTACCTGTAAAGCACTTTGAGAGGAGTGTCCAGAAAAGTGCTATATAAGTGTAAGCAATTATTATTATAATTACTCTCCAACGAGCCTGATCCATGTCACCAGCTGATAGTGACTGGAATTCCCAAATGACAGTGCACTACTGGTTCAGTGTTAGTCAGGGCTCTCTTGGAATCTAGCAAGATACTGTAGCAACCGCAAGCTTGAGATGCTGTTGATGAGAGATGCTGAGCAACGCATGATGCATTAAAAGATTAGTTTCTTTTGATTCTCAGCATATTAGAGCAGTTCAAAATAAGCAATATAAAGTCAAGTGAAAAAACAGACATTAGAAAAAAAGTTAAGAAGGCATTAGAATATTTCAATGTCTCTTGTAAAAGATGCAGTACTTCTGATGTGAAAGATACTGTATCTCAGACCACATTTCTTCAGCACCATTTTCATGCACACATTTATGTACCTGTAGTTCCAAATCAGATGTACTTTACTAATGGTGTGCACTTAATCTGTTTTAGAATAAGAAAACATTAAAATGACAGATTCGAATACCTTGGCAATCGTTCTGATTCTTTTCCTCTGGCTTTCAGTGCTTTAAAATTCCTTTCCCAATCCTGGGCAGTGTGGAGATGTTTTTCTACTAAAGCTTCAATATCCACTTGACCGAACACAACCCATTCCTGACAAGAAAACCTTATTTCAGTGAATGAAATTTAATCAAGACATTGGAAAATCATAAATATTAAAATGAGATATTTTAATACAACAGCAGAAGATTATTTTGAAAAAAACATACTATAACCACAAATGTGTGTGCATATAGATTCAAATATTATATGACAGAAAAAAGTGCAAAAATGCATGAGCATGAAACAATTATTTTTCTGTTAAAAATGTAAAAGATATCTAGAGCAGCGGCAGAAATGGTGTTTTTTCTACAGTTGCTTTCAGTTATGTTTTTGCCTAAAACTAAATTTGATCAGCATGTGGATGGACTTTATTAAAACACAAGCAGACCATATAAACCAAATAGTAATTGAAAAAAGCAATACTTTGCTCATTATTAAAGTGGATTACAGAAAATAACCTTGAAACTATAATTCTTAACTAAATAATAAATAATAAATAAATTAAGGGATTAATATATTTCTTGAAAAGGCCTGGCCAAATATTTAATGTTCGAAAATGTATGTTGGAGAAATGTCCAGAAAAAATAAATTAATTAAGGGCCCTGAATATTGAAATAATTAAAAACGTATTTTGGATCATGCCTTTGTTTTTTATATTTTTGAAAATAACCTATCTAAAAAGTGAGGAAATTAAGATTAGGATCACTATAGTCTTTTGTTTCACACAAATAGGGTACTAATTCATAAATCAAAGACCTTTGAATTGAACACACCTTGAACTTATCCTGCACTCGTGCCAGCCTTCTGAAGAGGTCTTCTGCTTTACTGAAGATGGTGATAAAGCCGCTAGCATTTCTGTCAATCATAATTGAGAAGATAAGCTCCTCTCCAGGTTCACTCACTCCCTTGAATTGATTTGGAATTGAGATAAACCTCTTCATCTCTCTAAAGTACTTGGCACGGACTTCTTCAAAGGGAGGCTTAAACTGCAGTCTCCCCTGCCTATGGAATTTAAGAAGGAAAAAAAGTTATACTGTATATAGCTCATTACATTTTACAATGCGTGAACCCCTACAATTTATTCTGTTAACAGCAGAAGAAAAGCTCTAAACTAAACATTACAGATATGACCATTTTAATTTGATTTTATTCAAAACAAACTTCAAACAACATTCTTTTCTGCACTGGAAATTGACTACTTACTGAACTTTAACTACTTACTTGAAGGTCAAGTCAATATTTATTTCTGGCAGATTTTTATTGAGTGCCTCCAGCCCAACTTGGTATTGATGCTCCAAAGCTTTGTACAGCTGATGGTTCCAGTGCTGCCTCCAAGGTTTCATATCACCCAAACGAAAACCCTAAACACAGAACAGAGACATGTTTTCTTATTTATGGTTGTCTTTGTTCTGGCAGGAATAATAAAACAAATAATCATGTTTTAATAATGTCACATTTTTTATTATTTTGGTAGAAACTTTGCTTTTGACCGAAAAGAATAAACACTTCAGTACCTCAACAAAGCTCCTTCTTCAGTTAAAATTCACACATACTCGACAACTGTCCTAATCTGCTTGACACCAACCATTTTTCAAACCAGAATTAAGATAAATCAAACTAAAACACACTATAGGGTTAGACTAGACTAGAACTGCTTAAGAGTTAACCTCCAATGGGGAATACAACAGATTAAAATATTAGGTATGTCCACTCTTGTTGGAACAACATGAAAAACACACGTTGTATTAATCATATTACACCTGTGATTCCAAAGTGGCAAACCCTGTGCGCAGTTCCTGTAACCCATCTTTCCATCGCTGCTGGTGCCGAAGGAGATCCACATTCATCAATGTGACAACCTATTGAGGAACAGGAGAGTTGTTTAAACTGACTGGAAAAAAAATAAAAACAGCAAAACGTACATATAACTGAAAAAAATAAACGAATCCAAAGAAAGCAATTACAGTATACTGCTGCTCCATACAGAACTTTGTCATCATTTATTGTTGAAATAATCCATGTCTGTGGGGCGGCACTGGGTAAGCCTATCAACCCTGGACTTGGTTCAAGTACTCAATTCAGACTCTACCCATACTGCTCCAGTCCACCTAGCTGTAATGTTGACTGGGGTTTCCCTGGTGGTAATCCCTGTGATGAACCAGTATTTTTGTGGGGAGGGGAGTTGTAGTTCTGCAGACTGTTTAACATTACAAAAATTAGGATAAGGTCTGGCCTGACAAGAAAGGACTTTATCTCTTAATCCATGTCTGTTTGAGTAGCCCATATCCAGATCTGGCTGTAGGGTGGACCCATGACACTAATATAATAGGAGTTAACCCCCATTAAACAATTAAGAGCAGCCAATCAAACCTGTCTCTGGGATGTGGAGGGTAATCAAAGCATCCTGCAAAAATCCACACCAACACCAAGCAAACCCCACATGGAGAAGAAGTTCAACAAAGGTGAGAATCAGAGTCGGGACCCTTCAGCTGTGTAGCAGCAGTAGTAACCACCATTCAACCACTATGCATTCCATAAGTCACGAAGAGCTTCAATTACTAAAATAAACCACGCAATTTCATTCAAATTGTTGCCCTCTTTGTTTTACACATTGGTTATACGAAATGTCTGTTGAAAAACATACCTTTTCCATGAAGTCCACATGCCACTTCCTCAACTTTCTATTCTCAGTAGAAAGGCGCTCAGCAGCAGTTTGTAGCTTAGTGATATATACCTCCAGTTCTTTAGGATTATCCCAGGTGATCTGCACTTTTCCCCCAGAGTCACGCGAATGAGCTTTAGGATTCTGTAATTGTACAAAGTACATCACAACCACAATACCAGATATATTTTCTAAAAATAAAAGATTTAAAGCATTTACCCTTCACCTAAAATATACATTTATTGCAGACCAATAATTTGCAAAGGTCATAGCATTCAACTACACATCTACTGTATTTTTTCTAAATTAATTTACTGTATTGCAAGTGAAACTTATGATAGAAAAAATGTTTTGTTTCCATAAGAGGAAAGCTAAGTACAAATTTAGTGTAGTGGTAAAGTTTCATGGATGTGGACCGTGACTTCTAACTCATTTGTATCACCTTAATCACTTGTTCAAAGGCCAATGCATAGTTCAACATCATCGGTCGTTGGGAAGGTATCATCTGCTGATCTATGGTGTTGTAAAAATGTGCAACCTACAATAAAACAAGAATGGAAAACATGGTTAATTTATGAAGTCACAAAACGTAATTGAAAATACTTCAAACTAAATTAGCAATGTCACATAATTTAATGTTAATCTAAAGCTTTAAAAGTCGTTGTTTATTTTTTTATCTGAAGCACATGCCTGTTTGAGGATTAGAGCTTGTCTGTAAAACTTCTCTGCTGTGCTGGAGGCCTGTTGGATTTTAGCAGGAACAGCATATCCTAGTGCAGAGAGCTGTCGAACTTCTCGCAAAAGAGTCGCCAGGCGGTCTGAATAGTGGATCTTCAGCTTGCCATCAGTATGATCCAGTTCCATGACACGATTACTGGCTTGTAAGCTAAAACAATACGAAAACAATAAACCTCAATGGAAAAGATAATGTTGTTTGTTGTCCTATAGACATTTTAGGTTCTATATATCTGCTCCAAGCTACACAATAATAAAGTCTCCAGACCTTTTCTGTGCACCACTAGCAGCAGTTTGAAAACAGCACATATATATAAGCATACAGGACATAAAAGGAAACATAAAAATACAAAAAATATTTGAGTTTGTTTTCTTAGGATTTAAGGTCTATCTTTTGAAACAATTAAACCATATTTGATGAACAGTAGTTACAGGGTTATTATAATATAGTGATAAACAGATTGAGGATATTCCCATTCTCTGATCACCTGATGCCAGATTTTGGATCAGATAGTCTTGATTGGACCTCTCTGGACCAATCATCAAACTGATCCTGCTCATAGATTCTGAGCTGCTCCTGAAGATCATCTGAATATCTTACAAAAGAACGAAACCCAGACAGGTCGGATAATAGGGCTCCCGCAATTTTGATGGAATCCTCCACCTAGAGCACATGGAAAATTAATTAAAAGACTTTGAAGGTTTTGCATGATGTGTTACATTGAAATAAAACTACTGCAAAGTATGCAAAAGCATCTAGAATACATACTTTTAATAATAGAGCTGTACTATATTTCAATACATACTTTACATATTTTATCTTCTCCTAAAACAAACACTCTATGGCCCTATAGTGATGCATTAGGAAAAATGACTGTATAGGCCCTACCTTTAAAACCAGATGCCTGACCCACACAATGTTGTTAACAACTTCAGGGAGATTTCTGCCAGCCAGGGGCCCCGATTTCTCGCCTGGCACTCCATGACATCGATTCTCAAAATCTGTGCGGAGCCCTGACCCAGAAACAAATTTACACTTATTATCACAACGTAAACTTGAGTTATGTGTGTTTTTTGTGCTGCTCCTCAGTTTAATGTTGCCACAGACATTCTCATCACAGCTCTGTATTTTTGAAAATGTGCACAATTTTTTGTGATATTTGTGATTCTTGTGATTTTTGTGAGCTCGCAGAAAAAGAAAAAGACATTTCATTGTCAGCAACTACTGCTGCACACCGTATTGTTGTGCATTTGATAAATAAACTTTGATTTGATTTGATAACTGAAAGACTAAAACATGTTAAGGAAACTATTCAAACTTCCCCCAATAAGGTACTGTATGTGAACACATTCTTACCTTTGGTATAGTCCAGAAGTCTTGCCAGTAATGTTTCTCTTTCAGAAATCAGATCCTTACTAATATTTGGTCTTTTGATAAGTTCTTTGTATTTCCGAAAAGCTTGCAGAAGCTGAAACACATAAAATAGTCTCTTTTTTGAGAATGATTATGTGGAGTATGGTTAAGACCCATAATTAAATTCAAATTATAAAAAAACATCCAACCATTCACATTCCTGCTTCAGTAATGCCTACATTTTTCACATTGATCATGTCTTACATATCTTGGATCTTGATTAACATTTCTTTTAATGCTACAAGAGACTTATAATTTGTCATTAAAGTAATGTATACAGTAAATTGCAGACTGCTTCTTTAAACACAAACTTTTATAACAAATCAAACCCTAATATAACAGAATTCGGTTGTAGTTGTGTCAAAAGTTGAAAGTTGTGTCAAAGTCAAATTTGTCTAAAAAAATCTATCCAGACTATTTGCAGACATGTTGGTCTATAAGTATTGTAAGTGACGCATGTCCACTCAGTTTGCAACAATTTGGCCCTTCTACTTTTAAGTTCTGTGCTATATTTGGGCACTTTATTGTTTATATCTTGCATTATAAAAAAATGGTATAAACTGTACTGTAACAGGATATAAAAGTGAATAAAAATACATACTTAAAATGTTACGGTGGTTTTAATATAAACATTTCACTTATGTTATACAGTGCAGACATCAAGAATAAGGTAAAAAACAAGTGTTTTTAATGTGTATATAGCACACAGTGTAAGCATAGTCCAAGAGACTGTTGCCAGATACACTGAGCTACCATGCAGTTTCCTTTAAATTATTGAATGGGCTGCATTCGATATTAACAGTAACACATACGGTCATATATGATTTTCAAGCCATAGGTTAGAAAGGATATAGGATACTTCAGGCATCTTCTCTTATTGGACAACACTTCCCTTCTATTAGCCCATTATAATTAAGGGTTAGCATACAGTAGTTCAAAAAGTAGAGGGCTATATACAAAGTGCTATATAACATTCCTAACAGGGCTTTCTAAAAGGGTTTAATTCATTATGGGATGGCATACCTCAGCTTTCCCTTAAGATGGGGAAGACATTCCATCATGTTTGTTGATGTATGTGATTGCATACATGCTAAATATTGAGTAGTCAAGACATATTTTTCTTATAGATATTATTTACTTCACCATCTCTGTTAAAAAATAGTTTTGCCAATGGGCCCAAATACCACCTGTCTTATCAAAAAGTCAAATACACCATGGGAAGAAATGATAAACGTCTACCTGCTGTGGGCTGTCCTGAACATCCATAATGCAGGCTTTTAACTTGCTAGCAATTTCTTGTTCTGCAGGTGCAATGGCTCGCTCAAACTGTGACACTGCAGCCCTCCATAATTGCTACAAAAATATAATAAGGTCTTTTAATACCACAGGAAAAACAAAGTATAAAGTGCAACGACTCCCATTCCATCTCCAAAGGTTTGTCACTTCAGTGACACTTAAGGTTCTTTCTGTTGTCCACTAAACTTGTTACTGACTCTCAAAGACAGAAAAACGTCTTTGAAAACCAATACTTGATTTGCTCCTTAGTTACTTAAACACATGCAAAAGGTTTTAAATGACATAAAATTAGGTAATATTTTGTTAACGCATACAATATAGATGAATTCTCACCTCAGTGTATGGGTTATAGTGCAAAGCATTAAGCCCAGCAAAAGGTTCAAAAGCACAGGCTGTGGAAAGCAATTGCTGTTTACCAGGTGGCAAAAGACGAAGTAACTTCTCATGCACAGTGCGAACTGTTAAGACCTGCAGAGATAATCATAGTGCATCAGATATGCACTACCAAATACAATAGAACACAAAAATGTTCTCTCTAGTGAAACATATTACAATTCCTTTAACTGCTACTTCAACATAATGCACTAGTTCAAAAATAAACTTTAAGTGAGGCAGATAATGTAAAAATCTTTAAACACTGATGAAAACAGTTATCTAGAAATATATGTTGGTCAAAACAAAATGCTGTTAGATAGATGAAAACATTTCATTAGCATGTATCTTCTCAATTAGTTTTTAACTACAAACAAAAGTAAACTTATCATCAGAAACTGAATGATTGAATTCGAATTATATATGAGCTTTTGTCGAATACCAAACAGGAGCGAGAAAAAATCCATCAGTATATATAAGAAGTATAATAACATCAAAACAAAAACAATATATAGGTCACAAAACCTCTTCAAGACGTTTAGCCAGCTTCCCAAGTCTTTCTGGGTAGTACTGTTCACCCTGCCACTGATGAGGGGTGTAACGTTTCCACAGCTGTCCAGTCAGATGTTCGCAAGCCCCTACCCACTGCTCACAGACAGAAATGCCTGCTTGGAGGCTCTCTTTAACAGAGAGGAAGGGGTCATCCCACAGCTTCACAGAGTCCAGCTTCTTTTGCACATACCTCCCCAGGGCAGAACCTGAAATAAAATATCCAACAGGTACTGTAGACACTGTAGAACAGAGACAAAAACAAGTTGACTCTCCATCCAACGTTCCATGCGTAGTGCTAGTTTCATACCAATGACATCCATCAAACGTTGCATCCGTGTTTGTGGGTAAGGGTCGTGCTCAGTCTGTCTCCAAACATCATCCACTGTTTCCCTTGTGGCATTTACCAAACTCACTGCATCATCCAGTGAAACATTATCCAGACAGCTGTAATCCTGTCATCACACAACAAAGGAAAACGTGTTCTTGTGATATTTGGCACTGCATAATGTAATTTTATCTCTTGTGAACAGAATACCATCACTTACAGGTCTACAGTGCTGAAAAGAAACCGATGTTAATGTATGATCTACAATTCTTATCAGTCAATTATGATTTGCTGTTTCAAGCAAATACAAAAATGAAGACATGTAGATAAACCAATACTTAATTAGTAAGCATAAGTTAATTTTGAGTACCTTTTCAAGTGGTTGAAACAGATCATTGAAATGTGCAGCTCTGTCTCTCATATTAGACTTCACAGCAGACCGAGAAAGCTCTGCCCAATAGTTAAATTCATCACATGGTGTCATAATACCTACAGCAAAGGGAAAACCATGGTGGAATGTAAAATCACACTGTATGCTAATACAATCCAGTCTCAATTTTCAAAATATTAAATGTAATATATTTTAAAATAGATTAACTCTTAAAAGAGTTTCCTCTTCAAACATTACCAATGAAAACAGAATGGCAGAAAAAAGTAATTTAAAAGTAAGCATTTTTAACCTGGACAAATAACAGGAAGAAATGTATTGCATGCATTGACACAGCAACAGAAGGGCATGACTAAGCACAGTCCTAAAACTAATGCTTCTAACATCAGTCACATATTATAGTTGTACAAATGTGGCCTTATTACCCAAAACATCATCATCTTTCAAGCCTCTCTTTCCAGTGTAATATGGATCAGTTCTCCTGACAGCTGAGCCCAATCCCATCTCCAGCTCTGTCAGGAGGTTCTGTAGTTTGGGATCAAAGTTCTGACTCCACTTCTCATCCTTCAAAATTACAAATAAAACATATGTATTTATACTAACTAATAACAAGCAGGGGTGCATTATTTTTATTATTTAATCAACACAATAAAGGACCATTTCAGTCTTTAAAATATCTCCTTACTCTACAACACAGATTTGTAGGCATGTGAATAGTATTGTAAACGTTGGCCTTTTGAAGGAAAAATCCCGTCCAAGTGTTATAGATTTAATGAGAGAAGAGCCATTATAAAACTGCTCATCTCAGGTCCTAGAATTCCAGGCACAACAGAACTTCACAATACAGCGCATAATCTTTCACTTCATTAGTCATGATAGTAAATTCTGAATTTTAGCATAAAGAAAATATAGATGTCATTCAGATTTAATTCACATTACAATATAAACCACACACACACCTTTAAAAGTACAGGTGCAAACACCTGCCGAACAGCCTGATAGAGTGTGTTGATGGGAGAGTCTATCATCGAAGAGACCAGAATATTACTGTGGAGATTGTCTTCTGTTATAACATCAGGACACAACTTGAAAAAAACCAGCACTTTGTCTTCAGTGTCACCTGAATCCACCTGTAAGGTAACATGATAAAAAACAAAATATGCTTACATAAATTACAATGACAAAAAAAGATACATTTGGATAGTAATACAAAACAAAGGTTACGACTTTGATTAGACTAGTAGGCAAGCTTTTATTGCATCATGTAACACAGGATTATAGGTTATCCTGTAGAACTGTATGTAATCTTTAGTTGCACTGTTATTTCTAGATTCACACAGAGAACCTCTTACCTTGTTAGATATGAGCAGATCGGTTCCATGCTTTTGCACACAGAGCACAAATTCATTTCCATCATCTAAAAAATTGTTCAGCTCTCGGCTCTCACCACCTGATGACACAACTGGGTCCGATGGCTTAAACCCAAAATAATTTGCTGCTGTAGTGAGGATAAAATCCTTCCGAGTATCTTCTAATCCAAGTGGCATCTTTCCCTTCTTGACTTGACTAAGAAAAACACAGAATTATCATATAAAACCTTAGATTATGTACCTTTTATATTAATGGGGCAAAACGTTTTGTAGACTGTATAGATAACGGTGTAATTATATACAGTAACAAAATTTCGTTCACATAGCTACGTAAAACGTAACCAATACACGACAAAGCTAAATATTTCCGTTTTTCAATCATTCTAATAACATATACAGATAGATATAAGAGTGAAGAAAACACGCAGCTCGGATTTAAAGCGAGATAACCTATGCGCGAAAGAAACAAAAACTAACTTACCGAACATTGGTTATACGTTTAGAAAAAATGGCACATGTGCTCTAGCCTTTAAATAAAAACGTATGTGAGATGGAAAATAACCATAAACACAACACTGAAAATTTAATCGTTCTGGCAACTGCATCTGCAGAAGATCACTCTGTTGGTTATGTAGATCGCAACGGAAGCTTTCGTTGTTACCAGTGCAACACGTCCTATTCCTTACCATTCACAATACCTTTTAGAGTCTTTTCACTGCGTAGACGCTAGAGAATACAAGTATTTTACGTCTAAGCTAATGCCGAGGGCGACTAAAGCCCTTAAATCAGGGAAGGACCCTGCAATTAAGAAATCAAACTGAATAAATATACGAATCGATATTCAGTATGTTTTTATCTTTTTAAGTTTGTTTATTGCAGCAAAAATCAGACTTAAGAATAGAATTGCAGATTTGCTTTGGTTTTTTTTTAATCAGGCATAATATCAGACAGGTGGGTAGTGCGTCAGCATGCGTAGTCTGCAAAGGAAAAATCTGCAAACTACAGGAGCGATGACGAAAACCTGTAGGGGTTTGCGCATGTATTTCATTGTAGCTTGTGGTTTGGTCGGCGTTTGAGATCAACTGTAAGTCTTGTTAACATGATTGGAAAATCTAGTTAATGAAAGAGAAGGCGTAACTTAAACACCAAGCGTGTCTTGGTCTAAATATTTACGTTTAATGAATTTTAAAAAGCGTGAGGCGCCTTAAGGAGTTGGTACGCAATGGTTTCAGTAGGAGCTTCCTAAATCTCTTACTGTATGAGAACTTCTATGCGTAGTCGAGTGAGCTCCTCGGCTTCGGACTTCTAATATACAAAAAGACAAAACACATTCACTGAATGGTGACTTACCCAACTCCTCTTTACATGTTGTTTTGTATATTGTATTTAAAATTAATAATGCATCAGTTTAAGCATGTTACATTGCCAGTTTGCCAATTTTGAAATAATTATCGAATCGGTCTTTGTTACTGCATTTAAATACTTAAGTATTTTCGTAAGTTTGTCTTTGTTTTTTTATATTTTCTACTATAATATTAAATTAGCAAGAAGTGTTTCATTGTATTTGTAGAGCTACTGATATACAAAACTATTGTTGAATGTATTACTTGTACTGTGCCTTTTTGTTGGAAATGGTTCATTAACCATCATTATCTTCACAAAGTAAACTAGACATTTTTCAACAATATGCATTCAATCCTAATAAGTCTTAAGGAAGTACATGGAGGTATTTGAGGAAAGATCTTGATTTGATTCTTTCAATGCGATAAAGCTTGTTAAATATTTGACTTAAAAGAGCTACTTTAACTCAAACTTCGACATTTCGTTACTAATATTATGAGAACATGGTGGATGGTAATGAAACTATCATGCTCATATCTAAATTATAAAAAATAACTTGTATGTTCACCTGTAAGCACACATTAGCATTTAAATGTAAAAATAAAGTATTGTGCTGATATTTTAAAATATTTTCCTAGGGCATTTACCAGATTCCCGTTTTTTTTCATAGCATACGAGTGAATTACGTTGTTTTCTAACAAAAAAGGAAGTAAAACTTTGTGATTCAGAAAATTAGGTTACATGTTTGTTCTTTGACATTTCAAACCCATTTTAAATGGTAAACCCCCATTGTTTCTCACAAAAAGCTCAAGGGTTTAAAAAAAAGGAATGGACACCTAGGTTCATCTTCAGAGTTCTCATTCTCTCCTTGCTGTTTGACTATAAATTGTCATTAGTCTGATATAAAACTTCTCGCCATGTTGAACTGGTAAATGCTGAATAGCGCTCTAGGTTACAATATTAATGTCACAATTTCATCTCATGAATTTCAAATGTAATGCTGAAGGAAGTAATGCCTCACAATAGTCTGCAGTAAAATAAAATCTGGTTTGAACAGTCCTTTGAGTTACATTCTTTATGCTGTATATAAATGTACCTGTCTGGACACCTTTTAAAATATTTTTGGTAAAAGCTATCTAAATGTGAAGACTCATTTATAGAAAATTATTTCCTTCATGTACTGTAACTCTTTGCACTTCACTGGTTATTACTGATGCCCTTAGAAAACATGCTCATGGTGGAACCATGTGTCTGGTCCATACGTGAGCTGTAACACCACAGACAACCACCTCTATGCTCTTAATCAATTCTTCTGTCTGTTCTAATGATGTCATCTGTGGACATTGTTTAATATCTAAATATTACATATATGAAAATAGAATACATTTTATTTAGCAAAAGAGAATCCATATAAACATAGCTGAATTGGATCTCGTGAGACACAGTTTCTTTAGGGCTGGTATAATCCACCACTGTCATTTTGCTTACTTTGATATTTTTAATTCCCTTGGATTTCATAATCCCCATTCGATACAGGCCATGGCAACAGTTGTTGTGGTACTTTCCCTGACAACTTGTTTTTGCCGATTTGACCATGTTATAGCTAATAATAAGTCAGTTTAGGTTTCACTCGAAAAACACAATGGTTAACAGGAATAAAGCAATGAAAAGAAGAAATGGCCGTAGACAGAAATATATCTTTTAGCTCTTGTTAAACAGTACACAGTGGTTTTATTTCTGAAATGACAGGAAACTTAGAAAAGGATACAATAACGGAAATTAATGCAAACATGTAAACTGCAATAAAAAGTAACACAAAGTTAAGTAGGAAACGCCATGTAGAAATTTCTCCACAAGTGAGTTTAGTATCAATTACTGTAACTAATTGTCTCAATATTCTAGTTTTAAATTGTGGTCAAAGTACTTTGAAAGATCACAAGGACAATTTAAAAAAGCAATGCTTGTTTTAAAATTCTTAAAATGCTTCCAATATTTTTCATTTTCAGCACCTACAGCCTGATTTATTTTGTTTTTCAATTTTGTTCATTTTTGTATCACATTTGGCAAACAGCTGTGACTGCATTTTTAATGCTGGGAATAAGACATTACCCCTTTGGGGAAACAGTTATAGTTTATGAAGTGTCTGTAAGCTTTCTGAATTGAGCCCATTCAGTGCTTTTAAAATTAAATGTTGATGTCAGTTCCACTTCCTGTTTTATTAAAAAAAACATCAGTTTTCTGAACATTTAAAGGCATTGTGTGCAGGCACCTTATAGGGAATTCCCCTCAAAAAACCAAACTACTGTGTTAAGTATTTTACTCTCTTTTGAAAAACAAAGAGACACGCCATTTAGAACCTTTTACTCAATCACCCTATCACATTGGAGTCCCTAAATGCTCTTCAAAACAATTTGGTAATTTACAATTTAGATGGATGAGCACTTTGGGTGTTCAAAGTTTGTCTTCCAAGTCACATCTGCAAGCCAAGCTTGCCACTTTTAATACTGTTCCAGAATGAAAACCTTGATGTTTTATTGCCAAAAAGAAGCTCCCACTGTTCATTTTTGCCAAAGCCTCCTCTTGCAAGGGGTTTCCGTTAGCAAAAAAAAGCACAAGACAGCTAAATAGCAAGAACACTCATTTCTTGTGCTGCATTTATGAATTCAACATTTCAAAACGAAGATAAAAAAACACAGTGATTGAATATCATTAAGGGTGCTTGATCTTAGACCAGGCAGAGGTATAGAATCAGACATCAGTTGTCCGAATAGCTCATGTCACTGGCTGACTGACGGGGATTCCCTAAATCTGTCCTAAGCCAAAAAATGTTGTATTTGATGTCTTATTTGAAAAACAAACATAAAATACTAATTCCTCTTCAAGTACTAATTCTTCAATGTGTGTGATTTAATAATAAGGGATGGAATAAACCAATTATTTGTTTCAATATTCAAAAATTGTTTTACATAAACCAAAGAAATGTTTGAAAATATTTGACAGACTGTACCCTAGGTGATTCCATCTGCGCACACAAAATACTTCCACAACGATGGTGAAAGTTAGTGCAGGTAGCTTTATTGTAGGCTTTTTTAAGTCTTGTAAAAAAGAAAAATCACTGAAAAACCCCATCCACCATTGTGCACACCATTTGACCAAACACCTACTGTATGTGAGCACCAAAACAGTCAATTGTTGACTACAATCTAGCCAATTAAAAAATGAATGCCCATTTATTTACAATAATTAGAGGCTGTTTGGCAGTCACTAGGGGCTGTGTCGTAACTTTCCATAAGCACACGTACAGTACAGTAAATGAACTGCAGCACTCTTTATTGCAATTTAATGAACAGTTAGCCATACATTCTCTGCCGGCAGCACAGTCTATTTGCTTACACTCAGTTCACTAGCAAGAAAGGCAGACAACCGGCTGTTCTGGTGACCTTTAGGTGACTACAATGTACAGCAACTATAACAGATAGGTCACCTGTAATTGAAGTCTCTTCTTAGGCCCAGTTGCCACAATGTGTTAAAATATATTTTAGTCTATTATTAAGAAACAACAACAATTAAATTCTAATGATTTGTCTAATTATCTTCCTAGTAAGTAGCCACCCAGGAGATCTGTAATGCTTCCCAGAAAATGTCAGATACCTGATACTAAGTTTAGCATTCCTCAAATAAACTAAGTATATACAGTTTATTAGTATTTAATACTATTAATTGCCAGCGATACAGTCTTGCTAACTCATTTGGTTAGCGTATGGGCACCTATATTACTGTACAAAATTAACTGTGCCAAAGCATGTTACCTTGTATTCGGCACACAAAGGGAGAAATGAGTGACAAAATAAATAATGATGAAACGTTAGCTCGAAAAACCAAAAAGGTTAAGATATTAAAATAATTATTTAAAGTATGTTTTCATAAGCCTACTTTTATTTATTTTAAGAAAAGGGTGCAGTCTGTAGCAACAGCCAGTAAATTTTAAATACAGATAAGAAATGTTGCAGTGAATGTAGACAGTTTTACAACAGGCTCATAATGACTCTATGTTTTTTTCCTATACATAATGGCTTTGTATATCAGAGGTGGCCACCCTAGTGTCAAGTCTTGCATTTACCTAATGGTAATGGAAGCGTTACAACTGAGAAGCAGAATTTTGAATCCCAAAAATCAGACACAGGAATAAATATGACTTCATTTATTGAAAATTTGACAAATACAACTGTAAGCAACACATCGTGAAAGTTTAAAAATGAAAAGAAAAGATTCCAAAGAAGAGTTCTGATAATGCATTCCAAATTTAGGAAAATGATTATTTTATAAATTTTTCAACTATTGTTATTAAAATAATAAAATAGTACCATTGGTGTACAATGAAAAGAGTAACTCAGCTGTTGTTTTATAGCACACAGTATATTGTATTTATTTCTGTAGAATTCTTCAGTTTGGTTGTAAGTTGCTTTTATTTTATTCAAATGTATTTTGCTTTAAAAAGCCTAAGCCTCCTGAAGGAAGGGAGGAAGCATATAATTGTTGTAACGTCAAAATATTCTGGTAAATGTGTGAATTCATTATTCCATTCCCACGATCATGGACAAAAAAAAGGACAAAAGCCACAAACATCTACCACCAAATTTAACTCAGGGCATCATGTACTTTCCTAGTTCAAAACGCACAACCTTTTCAGTACCAAATATAACATTGGCATAAAGCTCAATCTTTATTTTCTCTTACTATAAAACACAGTCTCAACTATCATTAAGATAGTTTAGAAAATGCATAGTCTCTTCTTACATAGAGCCTTTAGAATAAGATTTAGATCCGTGTTTCAAAATAAATGTTTCAGAACAGCTTCATTGTACTTTTAATGCTTAGTATTTAGCGATTTTTCACGGGTTGCATGTGTAGTGAACTAACACATGCAAATATTTCAAAGATAATTGCTCAGATTAAATCTAATTTAAATATAGAGCATTTTGAGTGATGAAAGTTTGGTTCTTAACGGCATGGGACAAATCATTTAGTTTAATTCATCATTCGTCACCAACTAAGAGCAGATTTGTCCCCAGGTGTTTTGAGAACTCACTTAACATATAGTTAAATTGTAACACCATTTGCCATTCTTGTGCTAACCACCCAGACAACATTTTGTATTTGCAAAGACATAAGAAGATGAAATGCAGTAATAAAATGCAATGTTTTTTAAAGTGGCATTAATAAGCTTACTAATGGCAATACAAGTATGCATGGGTGCCACGTATGTACAGTAAAAAATGATGGTGGTGCATACTGTATCCTTTTACAATGAGATATACGCATCTTACAAAAATAGAAGTAGTGCCAAAAGTAAGTGACTGTATGCAAAAGGCCATAGAGGTTAAGGTGCTCACAATGTTTCATGCACTGAAAGCACACCAGGATTCATTTTGATTTGTCTAAAAAAAACAAGGAAAACAGATGGATCTAGCAGTTGCCATAGAATCTCAACTTTCCTATTCACTCTCAATTAGACCTTCACCACCTACGCTTCAGATTATGAGAATCTGACTTCATAGATACTGTGTTATTTAAGTACAAAAGATTAATCTTTGTTTTAGTAGCACACTTTTATGGAAATTAATCTAAAATTATGGGATTTTCTGTATTTTTCTAACTGCCCAAATGATTTATAATATATATGCAGACGTTGAGATTATAAAAAGGGAGCAAAGCTCCTTCAACAATGCATACTGGAAAGCCCTTAAAAATCAGTTTATAAAAATCATATTCTTAGACTAACTTACTGTAAATGAACCTTTCATTTAGAACATTGCAGTGACCTAAGCACAACTCCTACACATGTATTTACTTTATGCTCAAACTTCCTAACAGAGGGATTTCCAAGAGAATTTTAACTGGTTATTTTTTTCTACATTTTTTCAAGTTCTTAAACAGCCGTTCTGGAGTCTAGTATCACTTCATCTATCAGCGCAGGCAAGGTACTTTAGTTAGTATGTTGCTTGTGGCTGGATGAACTTATCTGCTAGTTGAAGGAAGGACTTTGTGAAAAAAATCTGGAAGTAACTTGAGTTAGAGGAAAAGCAAAACCGCACACGATACTTATCTGAGCAAACTCAAAAATGTTAATGTTTCAGAGCCAATTCTATGCAACTGTAACTTAAGAGGCAATGATTTATATTGTTTGTGTTACTGAGATAGTATTGTACTGTATATATTTGGCAGCAAAAAAGAAAAGTACATCAAAAATTTTCTTGTGAGGAATATGATATGTGCCTTAAAGTGAAAATCGAAAGGACTACACCATGCGTGAATGACAATATTGAAATTTTGTACTCTTTTGAACTACGCATGATGTTCTGTAAAAATGTTTTATATGCTTGTTATTGGTGTGTAAATACACACAGCTCAGTTGTGTTCCTGATGTGAATGAGACTGTTTAAGTGTGGGTGACATGGAATCCTGAATAGAAGGGTGACAAATGTTTTATATTTGTAGTTCAATTAGTAAAATGGTACAGTACACATACACATCAGAGATTCAAAATTTCAAAATCCCCAGCACTCCCTTTTTTCTAAGAGACAAACAGGGAGAGTTAACCCTCACAACCAAAATAGTCAAGTACCAGTGCTTACTAATGACTGTCACAGGAGTCGGTACTCACACTAAGCCTTTTCAGCATTTACAATGAATCACATCCCAGAAATGTAACTAATTTTGCATTGCAGTACTGACACAGGCAGCCACATTAGAAGAAGCAAGTAGGACACTCACAAGTGACATGGACCTACTGTACCATAATGTTAATTTTGGGCCTGGCACCTTTACCCCAAATTCCATAACATAATTGTGACTGCATTTTGTAAACAAACATGCCAATATATGGTTTAATGTTTCATCTTGGGAAATGCCTTTATTATGAACCCCATTAAAATACTTAGGAGTCAACTTGGATGGGACTCATATAGTGTATTGGCCCAGTCTAAGTAACATCAAGTAACATCAGAAAAAATCTAATGGTTCTCTCTTGCAGAATACCTATCTGCCTTATAATCTGGCAAATAAAGATTATACACATGCTGCTTAAAGCATGAGGTTACTATTATGTCCATTCCAACTCTGGGCCATGTGAGATGGAAACATTCATGAACAGACCCAACTTCACTGTCCACAATAATGGCAAGCCTACAACAAATTTCTGACATCCCCTGATTGCAAATGTATAGCCTTCAAGAGAATACGCACAAGGCATGAGCGATAAGGCTACTTTCTTCAAAAGTCGAAGATGAGTAATGTTCTGGAGGCTCCTCCTGTTTCTGCTTGACATACTGTATTAGGTGACCATTGAACGGATTTATAATCTGGAAATTGGTGATTGGCAGCACTCATTAAGCACCAGCATCCTAACTACATGGTAGATCAGGTAGAGAGGATAGAAATTAAGGGGAATCCTTAGAAACGCTAGACTGTGTAAACTCAAATGGAAATTTAGCCAGATCATTTCATATTTAGTAGATGAATTTAAGACCTCATTTTAAGGTCTAAAAGATGCCATCTCCTATTGTCACATTCCAGTATGTGGGCTTTGGATTGGAATTTCTGCTCTTCAAGAACTTATGCCAACTATTGTTCCACCAGTACCACTTATCCAGTAACCTGGCTGTCTTCAGAGGTCTCCTATCTCGGTACTGCCCAGGCCCAAACTGTCTTGACTTTTCTGTACAGTTTACCTATGAGTTTCAGAGTCAAGTTTCAAGGTCTTACAGCTGAATTACTATACTCTGAGACAGTGCATGATCTTGCACTAGTCTTTTTGCAGGACTTTTTTAGAGCAATATACATTTCTACACATAATTTGAGGTTCAGCTGGTTATCTCTACTGTAAGTATATCAAGACAAGACTTTGTGTTATGTGGACGTTTTTCAGTGAAGCCCTGTTCCTTTATAGGACTGTAGACTCTTAAGTCTACACGCCCCACATAGGGCGTGCTTGTTTACTTTTACGTGTAGCATTGGGGGTTCAGTGGTAGAATTCTCACCTGCCATGCAGGAGGCCCAGCTTTGATTCCCGTCCAATACAGACCTGAATATTTTTTCATGGCGGAGCGGTGGCACTGTGGCTAAGAATCTGCGCCTGTGGCTGGAAGATTGCCAGTTCAAATCCCGCGGCCAGAAGAGGAGTCCTACTCTGTTAGGCCCCTGAGCAAAGCCCTTAACCCCAACTGCTCCAGGGGCACTGTACAATGGCTGATCCTGTGCTCGGAGCCCAAGCTTCTCTCCCTGTCTGTGTGTCTGTCTCATGGAGAGCAAGCTGGGGTATGCGAAAAGATGAATTCCTAATGCAAGAAATTGTATATGGCTAATAAAGTGATCTCATCTAATCTTATTTTAGGACAGACAAATATGATAAATAGGATGACCATAAGTATTAGGTTATTTGCTAGCCACTTGTGCAAACTAGTAATGAGATGACAGTAGAACCATGTGAACATTTAAAGTCACTAAAAATGACAGGAATAAAATAAAAGTCATAGAGCCACATAAAAAGAAATGCAATCCCAATTTTCCAATTTTTTACAGCAGGGTAAATAATGATAGATTGAAAGAGAGCTTGTTGGAAATGCTCTGGCCTACAGAGCTACCCAAAAATGCTGCCAAATTTACAGGTGCCATTGTACAAGCAATATGTAGGTGGTAAGAGCTCTGGTGGCAAGACATAGCAAAACTGGCAATGATGCAGCAAAGACATACGGTACACCACCAACAGGAAGCAGCCGTCATTAACCCCACAAATGACACTCCTGGAGAGTCGGATGGAAAACATTATTAATCTACAGCTCACAGGTGCCGAGTCGCCGAGTCGCCTGGGTGTTGGAATCTTGTAAGGATACAGCCAAGGATTTAGTTTTTCCCCTGAGACATGTTCTGGGAGCTAGCAACCCTGCACTCTTCAGGAAGAGGATGGGAAATAATGTACCAGTTTGTTTAATATTTGACTCTAGATTTAGTTAAATGTGATTTTTTTGTGTGATGCTAAGATTAATATGACAAAGTCGAAACCAATATGGGACTGGCGAACATTCAAGTAGAAGTAAATATTGGATGATTTCAATTTTATAATAAATAAAAAAGGCTTATTTGTTAAAATAATTCCATCTTTCAAACAAGGGGTACTCAACTTTCAAGACCTCCAGTCCATTCTATTGCAGAATTTGCTATCCTCTGCACCTTACTAAATTTACCAAGTTACCAAGACGGAGCTGATATATACATAATACTGTAATAGATAAGGTGTTTATTGTATTCTGGTTTAAACTGAAAGTATATCACTTACTGGGTTATCTCACTTCCTCCTGAATTAACTGAAAAAGTCCCCTCAGACAAACTTCATAAACACAGTCATACTATAGTCGTTCTTGATGTGAAAAGACATTTCAAAAACGATAGTCCTAAACTAAATGCCTGGGGCAGCCAAGGAAATGACAAATCTCTGGCTTCTGAAGGAACGATTAAAGAAGTGAAATGAACAACAAAAAAGTAAGTGTTCCTTGTGTTTTTTTCACTCTTGGTCCCATCTTACACCCTTTAAAAAACAAAAGAAAGAGAGCAAACCTGTAAATGGCAGATGGGTTGGAACAGGTGCTTGAAATCACAGGAATTACATTTGCCGTGCTGTGTTTTTAAGATGAATACGTAATCCGTAGATTATATTTTATTGTCTATGAGGAAAGTCACATTAAAATGTCTTAAATTGTTTTGTTTGTGATTCCTGTGGAAAATGAGTTCCTCAGGAAATTCTGAATATCTATTCTGAAAGTGAAGTCAGTTGAAATACGTTTTCTTATATAAATTAATTTACAATTTATATTTACTATTTCAGTCTGTCTTTTTGTGAGTGTTTTGTTTCTATGTGATTGTTATGAAATAGCAGTTTAATGTGGATGCTTTGTTAAGTTTCTGCTATGTTACAGATTATTTATACAGATTATTTGTACAGTTTTAAAGGAAATATTGATTTACTTTTCTGAGGTATAACATCTTCTAATGAGTACTAGAAGATGTGTTTTAATATTCTTATCTTCCTATTTCATGAGTGGTGGTGAATATATACAGTATAACAACATACAATCAGTAGAAATCAATAATAATGTGAGTGACACAAATAATGAAATAATAAAATTAGAACACAACACATCAAATCAAGGCAAGAACAAGACAAAAGCAGAAACACAACAGATAAACAAAAATTATTAGTATAATTTAAACAGAATTAAAACCTGGTGTTTCAAAATGAGATTGAAGACAGAATTTTGAAAGTGCTGACTGACTTACAAGATAAAATATTTTCTGGAAGATTAGTACACAGTTTTGACTAACAAAACAGAAAGTATAATATCCTATGATTCAGGGCTTCATTTTTGGAACTGAAAGAAGGTAAATTTCAGGTGTATAGCAAGTTATCAGCGCACATACAGAAGGTAAGAGCTTGACCATTGTAGTAATAAGCCATTAAACCTGTAAAGGCTTTATGGTGTTTAAGCTTAGTTTTACATAGACATATTATGCAAATAAGCAATTGTTTGTTGATTTTGTTTTCAAAATGACACATTGTCTGGGAACAATTACGCTATACAACTCACTTTTGTTCACATGTGGAAAACCTACAGTACGTGTTATCAATGATATGATCAATCTGGAGTAGGACTACATCAAAAGCAATATAACTTCTCCCCAATACATCAGAGTTCTTAGAACTGAACTTTTAACTGTCTGTTAGTTGTGAAATCCACAAGAATGAATAATATATTAAATCTAATTTAGTGATACACCTTTAAATCATCCAGCAGTTATAGTAAGGGATAACAGGACATTTACTGGTAAACTAATTCCCCATTATGACTGGATATGCAAAATATTTTTTACACATAACTGTCTGTGTAGGGAAAACAAGTCCATTGTAGTAAATGGTGTTGTAAATGATGTGATACACATTGTAGTAGACTGCATATGTGCTATTTCCATTGTTTTATCCAATTTATATCATAGCAGGCAGTCTATCATTCTGGATTAAAGAATTACAGTTTTATTTGTGGGAAAGCTTAATGCCTATAATCATTGCTTTTACCAAAAGAAGAAGGGTGAGTTGGCACTCATTTTAATCATAGTTTTGGTTTCATTAAAAATGCATAACAGGGAATTTCCTAGTCAAATATTTCAGATTTTTTAGGTATAATCATGAAGATGATAAATGAGTAAAATAATTATTTTTATGGTAATTAAGTGTATCACATGGTCACATTTATAAATTATATTTACATGAATTTATATTTTTCAGGACTCCACGATTTTCTATTTTCTGTAAGTAAATGTTATTTTTTTTCATTACAGTATTTTGCTGTAAAATATGTAAACATTGCCACCCAGTAAACCAAACTCAGTTTAGCTCCATTCCAATGTTTAAATCTAAAGCTTTTTTGAAGCTCCGTTTAAAAAAACTACATAATCATAATCATCTGTATCACAGATATAAATTTAAGATTAACTGAAAATGAATAGACCTTTCATAACAGAAAATATCAACCAGGAATGTAAAGTTTAATGAAAACACAGAATATCGCACAAGAACATCATGAATATTTATTTTCATTATCAATTGAGCCTGCATAAAACCTTTGTTTCCTAAGTAAGTAACTAATTACTTACGACACTTGTGAAAGTTTGTATTTTTGGTGGGTGCATGTGAGTCTTTAATATAAAATCCATTCTTCTTTATGGAAGTGAAAATCATAGGATTATTATTTAATGATGATATACGAGCCAGTACTCACGAAGGGTTTAACACAAGTCTGATACAGAATTGGAATAAAACACAAAAAGGTCAATGCAGTACATCACATCACACCACTATGGTTTATTTTATAGTAAATCCTTCTTCATTAATTTTACAGGTTATTTGTAGCCTTTGTACCACACTTAACAATAGCAAATAATTAATAGCTAAAAGTACATTCTGATGTAAAATATTAAATTATGAAAGAATTTCTACATTTTCTATACGGAGAAGGGAATGGCACATGTTTGATTCTGTTCTGAAGTAAGAGTTAAAACACTGAACCACGTGCTGATCATGCTTATAAACGTAATTTGTGGTGGCTTTAGGATTACCAGATAATTCTTCATTCCATCTAGCAATGGAAATCTTCTGTCAAGTACAGCAATTTGTTTTTCCCTATTGGCAGATAGGTCTTAATTTTGGATTTATCCACGCTTTAGGCTTACTATATACAGAGCAAACTCTTTTAATCTATTTCTTTCATAGCCTTAATTTCTTTTAACGTAAGTTGTTAGTAGAAATTAGTGTACTTGTTATCCAGTAATTTACAGCTAATCATTATTATGTTTCTTCCTAGGTGTATATTTATATACCTGATACCTCTGTTACAGTCAATAAGCTCAGGTAAAACAAAAAATTACTTCTGGGACTCTCTTAAAACTCTCAAGATACACACAAAGCCTAATACTGTATGTCACATAGCCCAAGATATAATAACTGTTGGCACAAGTTTGTGAAGCCTTTTTTTTCTGAACGGTATGAATAGAATGTGTTAACAATACAATTTCTCATCAGATCCTAAACAATAATTCTATACATTCAAACATGAAATACTTAGGAAGGATCAGAAACAATCCAGAGAAAGTAATGCTTTAGTCATATGTCCTGCATGTGTATGTTAACAAGACATCCAACCATGCCAAATAACAGAGTCCATGCCAAATTTGTAAACTAAAAACAGTTAATTTTCACTAAATTTGGTGAGTCATATTTCGTAAAAAGATAAGCCTTTATTTGTATGTAAAAAGGACAATAGTAAACCAACAGCAGAAACACAGAAGTGAAAAAGGGAACCTGACAGCACCAAAGGATAGTCTCCCCTTCAACCCCCTCCCACTCCAGGCCCAAATAAAATCGAAATTTGTTTTCCTTTCGTCATGCAATAGACATCATCACTTTAATGAATAACTCCCACCCACGCAGCCTCCCACACACAACCCACCCACCATACAGTAGCCTCAGTGTGTCTGCTATACATTCCCATGTACATGTGGCAGGAACAACAGTCCAGTTCCCCTCCTCAAGTCCATCTTCAAAAGGTCACCCTTTTAAATGAAACTGCAGTTCTTTTTTTTAATTTTCAATATGTAATCAAGGTGAATAACTTCAGTTTTTTCATCAATTTTCCATTATTCGGAAACGTAAAAGGTTTAGTTTTTTCCTAAATTATTACACGATATAAACACAATTCCTTCAAATTTCAAGAAACTTCCTGATGGACAATAGATACACACAAAGGCTTGGAATGGTGTTGACATTACCAAAAGCTGCACACATTCTATAGGTGTGATTTTCACAGAGGTGTTATTTTTAAGGTACCACAGCCATATTGCTATAGAAATGTTAACGCTTTCAGTCACACTGAACTGCTCTTTGTATTGCAGTAAGTATTGCCTTTGTGTTTCTGAGTCTTTTTCCTTTTGAATGAACAAAACCACTTTTTCAAAATGTATTCCAGATAAGATCATGGCATATGTTGGCGGAAATATTGATTTACCATGCACTTCCCAGAAGAATGGTAGTGAAATTAAATTTTTATACATGCAAAAGTATGCGAACGAAGATCCCCTCTTTGTTAATGGAATCCATAAAGAAAGAAGCACTAAAGAACAAATAAGTCCAGTCTTCAGGAATCGCACATCCCTAAATGAATTTAGCAAAACTGTTAATCTGTGGGACATAAGGATTACAGATGAAGGAATGTATGACTGCATTATAATGTATTATCCAGATGTCCAAGTGTCATCCAAGTTTTGGTTGACAGTACTTGGTAAGTACAGTATACCATTGAATGTCTTACCATTGAATTTCTTGCCTGTATCCATGCCACTTTTTTCAATACTTTTAGCTTTATAAGCTCTTTGATGCATTTTCCGTTCTTGTTAAATACATCTATTTTATTGTAGATATCTACAGTACTCTTTTGCTTGAAATATCATGGTTGTTGTGGGAAATTGTAATGCAGTAAAGGAAATGTTTTTTCAGTTTAGGCTTGTACATGCTGGATACTGGTGTCTTAATGAAGGAGATCATATTAACACAAAAACAGGCATTTTATTTTCTGTATGTACAAAAATGTGAACTTAACGTACTTAAATGTATTAGTTATTTTGGCATGGTAAGGGAGAGCATTGAAAAATGTCAACATTTTAAAATGTTTGCGTGTACTGATCTGTTTCTTTGCCACACATCAAAAACAGCTGCTTTTTTCTTCTCTCCCCAGTGAACTACAGCACACCAGTGCTGACAGTGCCAATGAACAGCAGTGGGAACAGTACAGGTGCTGGCTGTCTCATTGAAATCACTTGCTCTTCATCTGGAGGTTATCCTCAGAAGAATATTAAATGGAATCTGCACGGAAATGAATCCTCTTTGGAAAAAGTAAATGAGAGCATCAGGGAGGATCCAGTCACTAGGCTTTTTAACATTTCAAGCACAATATCAGTGAACGCCTCTGGGCCCATCAACGTTAGTTGCTCTGTAGGAGAGGAGACATCACCAGAATACGAAGCCTGTGAGTATTTATGACGATGACGTTACGCCAACATACAGGCTGGGTGCAAGATGATCTTGGCTTTGAGTCTTGAGGGATCAATAGGTGTCATGTCCAGATCAATGAGGCTTATTTTGGGTAATAAAAAAGGCTCTGTATTTGCAAAAAAATAGCTAGGTGGCCAGACTGAAGAATCGTGTACAAAATTCAATAACCAACAGCTTATTTCTGTTGTTTTCATTTATGCATAAACATGTCAAACATATAATTTTTCCTATCAGTAAAAGGGTTATAATGGTGACAAGGTGACCCACACTACTGCCTTCAAGCTCCAGGGTCCTGAATTTAGTTCTGCACTTCTATGTGCAGAGTCTGCACATGCCCAGGCTCACTCGGGATTTTACTAAGTATCCTGCTATCCTCCGTCATCCGAAATACATGTAGATTAGGTTTAATTTGCTGCTGCTTGAAATGGTGTCTTTCCAGGTGATGGTTTCAAGGAAATTTTGCTACCCAGTACAATTAGTGATGGCTAAGGGACAATAGTGAAATACTGTAGAACCAAATGACCATGATGAGCCGTTGGTCTCCTCTCACTTGTGGCGGTTCTGATGTTTCTTTTTAAATGTTCACATTTGAAGTTGTTATAGCCAAGCAAATAAAACTAAATCATATTTTAATAAATCTAAAATCCCAAACAAAATTCCTGTTTTCCATTTTTTCTTTTTCTTTTTTTTACAGGTATGGTTAAAATACATCCACCAGATCCACCCACAGATGATAACTCCTTGCATATTGCTGTGGCACTTATAGGCCTTTTCGTAATTATACTGATTACTGTGCTAGCAAATAAAATGAAAAACAGACAAGGTAAGCAGAAGAGTCAAGTCATCATAAAAATGTTTATTCCATCTTTTCCTAGTCACCAAATTACATTTACACAGGTTCCATAATTAATTTAAAAGAAATTCCACCTTCTTTGGATAATCAGCTGAGCCTACATTCAAAAGGACATCTGTTAAACAGCATGACTCTTTACTCTGTTTTTCAATATTTTTGCAAATTCTAGACCCTCCCCAGTGAAACCTCTTAACAGTCTTGTACAAACAGCCCCGAAAACATAATATCAGAGTTATCACCTACTGTAACGTCCTGCCCCTTCATCCTTCTGTGTTCTTTATTCATTTATTCCTGTGATCTCTACTCCATCATTCTTAATGGCTTTATTTTCTAAAACTTCCAGGTAGAATAGTAAATCCTGAAATATAGAGTTGGTCCTCAATAGCTTATTTAGATATAAGATAAATATAATTTTGAATAGAAAGCAAAGTAGACTCGAAGGGGGAGCTGGAATAGAGTGCATTTAAAAAGAAAAAGACAATATTTTGATTGTGGATCTTTTTGTGTGTGTGTGTGGAGAATGATGGAGAGACAAAGAATACTGAGGCAAAGGAGTAATTAAAGCACAAATCTCACCAATCAATCACTGAATAGGTGTGGAAGAGGTGAACCCAGTAATTTTAGCTTCTTATGTCTTTCTAAAGTCTTTGAATCCTTGTAAAGGCCAACAGAGAGGTCTCTGTAATCATAGCTAGTAAAGGTCAAATGGGAAACTATGAGCTTGGAGATCCTTGATATTCACTGCTCTGAAATGTTTCTTGAAACAGTTGCATAGACTCATTATTGTATCACAGGGAGAAAACCATAAATGCCAGGGCATTTTTTTTTTTTTGCGAGAGATGCAATAAATGAGATATCAACAGATACACTATTGTTAGTGTCCTTAATGTATGAAGGAAGACCATCAATGAGTCATCTTATGAAGCTGTCAAGAAAGGAGGAAATGTGAGCAATTGTGTAGGTAAAGATTAACACGATTGGACTTCTTGGTGTAGGGTTTATGCATTTTTGGAAAGAGAATTGACTTAATTGTAGATGTTCAACAATATAATTTATTGTTGATCAGAACGGAGATTTATGACATGCCTCATTTTTACTATATCATCAGTGGATGGATCCCATGAACATGTATACTGTAGTATGTAAGGGCATAAGATTTCTGCCTTCACATTTGTTGGGCCTATTTCCATCTGTGTAGTCAGCGTTTTAACATCCCCAACCCATTTTCACATCCTTTTTCTTTTCCCAGTCTTACACAGCTTTGGTTTCAAATTGCTGCTCACCCCTTCTTTCTCATTCGAACCACAAAAAGGCCTTACTGTTGAAATGTTATTTTTTCTCCTTTCTATTGCTGTTGATGAATATTTTTGTTCACTTTGCGAGTACATTGCGTTTAGAAATTATAATGCCATGCAGCAGTTTAGAACTCTAAGGAGGAGACTTTACTCTTTTTCACATTGTGATCTTGAAATTTTTAATATAGTCAGTATAGTCAATTAAGGGGGATTTAGATTAAATAATGATTTGTTTCCCTTCCTACCATATCAACAGAACATGAGAAAGATTATAACTAAGAGTAGGCCATTCAATTAGTTTTCTCAGTTGTTTGTTACTAGCTTTCTGATCCAAGTGTGTCATTCAACCATGTCTTTAAGAAATGCAGGCCTCTGCTTCAAGGGTCTGGATAGGTAGCTTGCTTTAGAAACATAGAACCTTTGTACAGATCACATGCCTACACAGACTGTGAAATATATCAATATCCATTATCAATATCTAATTTCATTGTTATAATATGTTATTAGCATTGCTTTTACTTTGCTTTTTGTTTGCCTACAGTCTTCTTCTAAGATATTTAGATTATCACTACTGCTTTAGTCAGATTCAATATTTCATGCATTTTCTATTTTGTTTTAAACAGTTCACCTTCAGGAAGGGGATACTCACAGAAATGAGTAAGTACAATTATTTTCTATAGTTGTTAATCAAAACTACTATTATCTGTTTTGCACACTTGTGTCCACAAACACACTATACAATATATTTCCCTCAAATATCACTGTTTATTAGAATCAGAGAAAATGGATATTTAAAACTGTTAGTCAGACTGGGATCCCAAAGAATAGCTGTATTTGCTGTGGCTCCTGTAATCTTTTATCTTTTTGTGTTATTAAGAATTTAGGGGAAAGTACATTATGGAAAACTTCATCTGTGTTTCTGTGTCAGGATGGACTCAAGATACTATAGTGGGTCTGAAACTCTAAATTAATCTCTTCTTTTCTCTTACAGACATGAGAGTATTGTTCTTACTGGAATAGTGGAAACCTGAAACTCTGTGCATTTACCACATGGCAGCTTGATACTTATAATTTTAAGAAATGGACACTTTTTTGGATTGTTATATTTTTTACCATAGGTAAAAACCGAAGAGAAACAAGCAGTTTTTTTTTTTACCTCAAGCAAAACTAATGCTTACCTCTCTGCTTATGGTATGATAAGTGGAATACTGACACTTACTGAAGAATGATGTTTTTTGTGGTGTACAAAGGGAGAATACAAAAAAGATTCACAATGTGCTGTTTGCAACAATGAGGACATGAGTGTGAAAACAAAAGTATCATTTTAGTCTTTCCATTTTGTAAATTCAAGGTTCTCAAGAGTTCATGTTTATTCAACATGGTGTAATATTTCAACCAATTTATGCAAATTTCCTATTGGAAATAATGTATTATTCTTGTGAAGGATATGCCAGTTTTTAAGTTTATATGCTAGCTAGATTTTATCTTTTCTGCTGGCACTCTGCACTTTTCTAACGTCAAACGAACAGGTTGTTTCCTTTGATAGAATTTAGTAGGTTTTATGTTCTCAAATGTTCTGAATTTTGTCTAACAATCCTAATTTTCTTTTTCTGTTTTCAATTGTACTAACAGTTTAAAATGCAAGTGTATTATAACTTATGACAATTCTACAGATTTTCTTCAGTGTTTTCATTAAATTTCTCAAAGGGATTTCAAAACATTTGGCTTTTTTGTGTGCTCACAAAAAAGTACCTGAAGAGGGCACCAAAGACTTTCATTTTAAAAACATTCAGGGATACGAAACTAATCTATGATGCAGTTGTAGCTGCTCACCACATGAGGGAACTGCTTACAAATCTTAAAACATTTATGTTTGAAGAAACTTTCTCCACGTTTCCAGACACCAATTTAAGAATTGCCTTTAGTTGGTATTGTTTCATTTTACTTTACAGGTGGCTAAAAAGAATTCAATCTTTGTGGATAAAATACACAGAGATTGAAAATTGTGCCAGAAAGTAGGTTTAATTTCCTGCATTTAAATTTATACTGTAGTCCTTTCCATCCTGTGGGATTTAGCAAATAAAAGGCAACTTGTACCTTGGTAATATGTTCCAGCCATTATGTGCCATAAATCCATGTTAAAAGGACAATCCTATTTAGAGGTACAGTATGTCTCAAATGTCTGCAAATACTGTTTATAACATTTTAAGTGCTTCTATCCAAATATTTCATGTTCCAGAGAAATGTATGAAAGCTGTAGCTTATATGTCCATAATTACCTTATTAAGGCTTGACAATGATACCTTATAATGATTTGAGTGGGTTTTTCTTATCATGTAATAGTAATTACTTGCATTTATTTAATGCTTTTCAACAAAAAAAATCCCTTCCCATTCATCACTGAAGGGCACTACCTACCTGAATGATTCACTGGAGCTATTCTGCACTAGCAGCTCAGAACACAGCAGTTCACTTGGAGACGTGAAGAAATTGCTTCACCACATCTTAATTTCTGCTCCGTTATTCACTCAGCTCAGTTATTCACATAAACTAACATCAGGATTAATCAAAACATCATCTTGCCTACCAAACACAAACTACAAAACCCAGTACAAATTACAACCCCAAGACTGTGATTGGGCAAAATAGAAATTCAGATTTTGTGTAATAGAAATTCAGATATAGTCCCAACTTAGATCTGTCTAGTGTAAGTGTTTCAAATTAACAATGTGACCAAGTTATTGCATTGGTGAATGAATTACAAAGTAATCAACAGAAGTGAATCAACAAATGTCTAGCAAAGGCATATTCAAATTATGATAAATTCAATACATTTATAAATCAATCAGTGTCATAGACTTATTCTGGCAAAAGTGTAAGAAAAGACACAGAGATTAGGAAACCAAAAAGTTTAATTTTCTTTCTTCTGATACAAAAGCATTTTTAAATAACAAACGTGTTTTTACAAAGATAAATTAGAATTTTCATAATATACATTAAAAAAACAAGAACCTGTTGTTTTAAAAAATATTTCAAAGTACTATGTGGTGTCCTGGCTGACTTGGCTAGGTACTGCATGTACCCAAATGTTTCTGTTGTGCCTTAAATCTGAGGAAAATAATACATATTCTGAAGGAAAAGAGAAAAGTACTGTGTTTTATACTTTGAATACACTGTCCAACTTTCAGCTTTGAAAAAGTCATTGAAAATATGTCTTAAATGGACAATTCAAAACTTGGCATCATGTTCTGTTGAGAAAAATTCATTATCTATTATGGTTTTGGTTTGATATAATACATAACTTGTATTTTCGCCCAGTATGTCAAATGATAAACATTCCTTGAGGATAAAGTCAGTACACTGCTTAGATACTGACAACCGATTATTTTCTCCACATCAAGAGAAAATCTTGTGCCGAATAACGAAATGAGTATCAACGAAAAGCTGAAAGATCACATTTTGCATGTGTGTGCCTAAGGATATGAAAGGCACTATTCTAAAAAGAAATATGTTGTATAAAATGGCATTTGGGGCCATTAGACATTACAAGCTTTTAAAGATTAAATGTTAAAGTTCGATGCACATTTCCCAAAACCACAATAGGTTTAAAAAAAATTACCACTTATGACCACTGATAAATTGCGATAATTAAATTAAAAGTGCTTAGTCCTCTTTTTTATTAGTTCATTTTGCATTTTGGTGAGGGACAAATGTTGGAACTGAACTGGAATCCCTTTCGGAAACTTGTATAATTGCTGCAGTAGACCTAAAAAATACCACAGTTAATAAAGCAGCACAAATATTTAATTGAATCTGACTTTTGTTTGAAGCATAAACCCAGGGTCTGTAGAACAAGCTCAAATAGAATCTCTTTGTAGTGCATTTCAGTGTAGGTACACTCCATATATTTGTATAACATCTGCACTGTTAAACGTCCAGTGTAATTTATTTTAAATGCATATCAAATACATTGTAACTTGCTACATAAATAGGATTCCTTTACTGTTACAGGTATCCACTGTTAAAACCCTGAAAACGTTACTGATGGCCCGCACAGTGCCATTCACAAACATGTAGAAACCAGTCTTTCACAGCCTGATGTGCAGATTAAAAAACTGACAGCACGAAGGAAAAGCCTGTGAAATCTACTCCGATTTTGTCCCCTTACACAAAAAGGGTCAACATCCTCCCTCACAGATTAAGGCTACAATATCATGAGGGGCATCAACTTGGACTTCTACTAGTTGTAGTTTATATAGCATGATATTTTCTTTTTCAGAGCAGTGACCTCTGCATCTTAGTCTTTGTCTTCATTCAACATGAGAGTGGGCCAACCCACGTTTTAACCTAATCAGGCTAAAAGATTGCTTTTTTGAGCCCTATACAAAAGGCTGTCCCTGGCCTCACGGCTTTCACACCACTGTCTCATTTCCCTTTACTGGCTTAATCCAGCTGTCTGCCCTTTTGTCCCGTTTTGTCCTCCCTGAGCTCACCAGCCTGCTGGAGCATTTCTGCCATGTATGCAATGTCTTGGCAGACCAGATCCACATGCCCGAGGTTATGCCCACCAGAAGAGACATGAAAATTTTTAACATCTCCACAGCCATATAGGAGTTCCTTGCGGAGTGTTTGAAGTCACTCCAGCTGGAAATCTCATAGAAGTAGCAAGCTATAACGCAGGTGGCTGGCACTGTGTATAAAACTGAGAACACTCCAATTTTTACCATAAGCCTCTCAAGTTTGTCTGTTTTAGTTCCGTCCTTCTGCAGGTTTGACCTGATTTTGAAGAGAGCTACCAAGCCGGCACCAATGAACAGGGTTCCTATCACAAGGTAGGTGAACAAGGGTGCCACCACAAAACCTGTGAGGGCATCAATGTGTTGGTTCCCAACATAGCACAGCCCAGTCAGATCATCAGCGTCAACCAGCCTCATGATTAAAATGACAATGGTCTTAACAGCTGGGATGGCCCAGGCTGCAATGTGGAAGTAGGAGCTGTGCATCTCAATGGCTTCATGTCCCCACTTCAGACCTGCAGCCAGGAACCATGTAAGAGTGAGGATCACCCACCAGATGGAGCTTGCCATGCCAAAAAAGTACATGAGCAGGAAAACGATGGCGCATCCTGTGTTTTTCAGCCCTTCTTGGATGAGCACTGGTTCTGCAGCCTCCTCAAAATCGCAGGATATCCTCTCCCTCCCTACTGTCAGTCTCACAATGTAAGCAATGCTATAAATATTGTAGCACATGCTCAGAAAGATGATAGGTCTCTCTGGGTAGGAGAACCTAGAGGAATCAATGAGGAATGTCAGGACAGTGAAAGTGGTTGACACAAAGCACAAGATGGCCCATGCTGCCATCCAGATATCTGTGAATACCTTGGCCTGCCTTCGGTAGAGGCCAGCATCGTAGCCGCACTTTAAAACGCAGTTCAGGCTCCTTTTCACCCAGACATATTGGTCCGGGTTTGCTCCCAAACTGTGGCATTCCTCCTCCATGGGCTGTAAGGTTTTGATGGTGTGGTAGGGGGGTTCCTCATCTCCGGGGCCCTCCATGCACATGTGGTTTTGGTCATTCTGAGGTGGAAAGTGGCTGCAGTTGAGTGGCTCAGGCCAAACAAAACCGAACTCAGTTAAGACAGGCAAACATTTGCGCTTCACTGAAAGGCACATGCTTCCACAGGGCCCGATGGGGATGTTTACCTTGTCTGTGCACATGGGCACATAGACTGAGCACAAGAAAAACTATAAGAAATGGGAGAGAAAGAAAAGAAAATCAGCATTAAAGTGCACTCAATAGCCCTGTGCAGAAGATTGTTTCATATTATATGAGGTGTGAAGCTTTTTATTTTAGTTAAATACATCACAATGCATTTAATGGATCGATGTTAATGTAAATTATATAACATTATACACATATAATGTGTCTTGACTAGAGGGAGAACTATAAAATTGGAAAGAACTTTTTTTTCTGATTCAGTAAAGGAAAGGAAATTCAAAGCATATGATGCAACAAGAAAATACTGGTTTGATTTCGGGACACTCGAAAACATTAAATAGCATTAATAACAGGCTACCGCCACTTCTGGGCGTATTATTCCTTAATAAAAACGAACTGTAAAAGACATTTGATATTTACAAACTATCTTAAAACAAGCTATATTTTTGATAACTACAAACTATTTGTATCCTTAAGGTTTCAGAAAATAAATTTCAGAAAAAAAACTATTCAATACTTCGGGGGGAAAAAAAAAACATGAACAAAATGTTTTAGTGCGCACAAGATAAAATATGAAGAAAAAGAAACGGTGCTACAATATGCCCAAACTATTAAACATACTATATATTGCATTTGTTTTAAAAATGAAAGGTAATCTGTGAAAGTTCTTTTTCTGAAGAAAGGAAATGTCGGCTTTTCACTGCGGTCATATACAGTACTTGCACTTGTTTAGCCGTCGTTACAAGTACAGAAGACTGTAAAATGTTCACCAAGTTCTATGACTAATACTGTATAGATCTGGACAAGCAGAATGCATAACACGATCAAATGTTTTCAAAAGAACAGTGTTATAAGGTGAATATATATATATATTTGCATCCTATTGAGCTCCTAAAAAGAATAAACCCCAAATATGACCCACCTGCAAGATCTGGTCAGATGATGGAACTGAATGTATTTATTTCTTAGCACAGAAGAAATGGAAAAAAATGAATTTGCAACAGTGACCATTCTTATTCAATAGCACTTTTATTTAATATAATCTCCTATTATATCTGGTCACTTTGAGTAAGTACTCTGCTTTATCCAAGCCTTATAAACTCCATTTTCCCATGTGTAAGATATTAAAATTTGAAGGAGTCATTAAGCAAACTTCACTGAGTGTGTTCTGGGCATAAGCTGTGGTGCTACCTATAAAATAAAATTATAGTCATATTTATTCTCATAATAAAAATAATATCTTGATTGTTTAAAATACGCTCTCGCATCTTAATGATTTGTCTGGTTCTTTGTTGTTTTTGTAAGTTTGAAATGCTGTGCAATAACTGCGGGACAAAGAAAGTTTTCAATTAATTGTCTAGCACAGCTAAAACAGAGACGGTGATGTTAGTATTGCAAACAGATTTTGAGGTCACACCAACCTTTAACTGACTTGAACACCCGTACTGAATAAGGGGAGTAAATGTAGTCAGTTGAAGTTCCGCGTCAGACTGAAGCACGTTCCCAACTAAATTGGGCATCTTTGTCACATTGTATCCCAAATCCTGGCACATGGAAATCCTGATTGGGTCACACTGTACTTCTTCCTCGTCTCCGAAACCGTGAGCTAATCCCAGCTGGTGGGAAAAGACGATCAAGGAAAACACAACGATATCCAGAATCGAAATCCAACGCATGTTGCCTCGCTACTGTATATCCAATGGGCACAGAAGACTCCAGATGCCAGCTGTTTGCGCCTATCCAAAAGTTTTGGAAGATGAGGAGCTTGTGGATTGTAGTAAACACCTTACAGCAGAATGGGCTTGCAAATACTGTGCAATAAAATCTCCTATGTTAAAGTGTTGTAAATGCACTTTCAATTAAAAACAAAACTCTGCACTTGCAAACAAGCAGACTCTTTTCTTCGCTGATGCTTCCCTAGCAAGAGATTTAGCTTATCGACCCTCTTACGAGGTCCCACCGCAAAATTGTGAGTTCTGTTACCTCTCCAGCCGAGTTTGGTAAAGAGGGAGCTCACATTTACTCACCCAGAGAATCTTAGCCAATCAGGGAGCAAGCGATCAAATGTAAGGGCGGTACTTGGGTGGGCTTGAATAAAGTGATTCCCTGTCATACAAGCATGGTAAAGGGAAAAAAAAACCATGGGGAACTGACAAGTTGCCTGACACCGCTCTTCAAGCTGATTGTAACTAAGTATCATGGACTGTCACATCTCTTTATTGTGATAGATTGGTGTATCTCACCAGGAGTCTCGTTAGTAAAAGAGCCCTTAAAGTCACTGATAATCTTTTAATGTGTCTGCTCACAGTGCATTACTCAGAAATATATAATCTTCCAATATTTGTTCACATACGTAAATGTCTTGTTTAAGCATGATTTATTCTTTTAAAATATATATGTTCGTTAATGCTGCACACAAGGCTTTACAGTGGGTTTACTCATTCCCATAACCAATTTCATTTGAAATATACTGTATACTCGCTTATTCTGCTTGCGCATATCAAAGCTCCCAATATTCTCTGCTGAAACGCGTGGCAATTTAAACAAAATCCTACTGAAAAGAGCGTTGTAAACAGCAATGCAAATGCACTGCATTGCGTTTCTGTTTACTTTCGTGCCCTGACCTCAGAATTACCCTCGATGCCAAGTGCAGATACAGAACGTAGGTTATTAGCATTCCTCAGATGTCGCGTCCCTTAAAATAGCTAGTCACTTTCTGATACTAGAGGGCAAGAAGAGTTCCTTTGTTAAAATTAGTTTAATGCTTACGAGTAACTAAGCACAAACAGGATTCTTGGCCTCTCTTTGAAACAGGTCATTTGTGTGAAGTATTAACTACCCGAATGGTCACACGTTCACGTTTTTTACACTTTACGTGGCTCTAAATAAGAGTGACAGAATTATATGCAGTAATGAGCATCCCGCCTCTTCTTCTCTGACAAGCTTGATTGATTCTTCCAGAAGTTTCTGGCAAAGGCCTCTTAATGATTAATTAGAACCAGCATATATTGTAGAGAAACAAAGGCCTGAGGACTCAAGTATGAAACGAGGAAGTGTTTTGGCCCAAAGAGCAGTAGTTAACACACTGAATACATTAAGAAAAGCAACTTCCTGACTAGGATATATAATACATATACTTATAATCTATGTATAAGGTGAACCAAAACAATATTTTTAAATTGTTTCCCATACTTTAAAAACATTTTACCATAATAGATGTAAAAAAATATCCCCATGCACTAAATTCATTAAAAGTTTTAATTCTAAATCATTAAATTCAATCTCTGCAAATTACAATGTTAAATGAATGCTACAGTGACTTAATATTTAAATTGTGGGTTGTGGCTTAATTTAATCTAATTTATAATGGTAGCATGCAGTACAAAAAATGTACATTGCAGGGCATGATTGGTATGCTCTAAGACAGTTTGGTTTATTGAATATATAAAATGCAAGGGCAATAAAGTCAACTTAATCTGAAAAACAAATTACATACTGAAACATAATCCTAGGCTCCAATAGTTCTCACCTCAACACTAATGAATTAAGGCGTTAGAAATGTGCTGTATAGTTGTTAATCTCTGTACATAAAAACAAGGTTAAATATTCAGATAATCCTTTCTCAAGCCATTTGTAGGGTCATGCGCAGCATCATAAATTAAATTGTAACACCAACATGATTTTAAATAGCTTTCCCTAATGGTGGATTAAACTGGTTGTTTATGTTATCATTGTACTGACACAAGTTGTGACCAAACCAGTCTTTCAAGACCACGTGAAATGACCCATAAAAATCAATTGTGATTGGAGTGACTCATATTGTTTCTACGTATTTTGAAGTTGTTTTTTAAATACAGATAGATGGGGGAAACAGAGCATGCAAATCCTACTTAAAGGATCTTTCTCATTATTCTGAGTTCCCAATAAAAATTAGAAATAGCATAGTCTGGTTGGTTGTGCATGTGTTTTCTGGTCTTTTAGTTTCAAAGCATTTCCTTACTGGTGGCTTGGTAGTTTTTAAACCAAGGATTAACACCAAACACACACATCCTACATTTTCTTACTTACCATGTCATTTTGCTTTTGAGTGCGGGTCTTTTTTTTAAATTTGCATGATCAGCAGGGGACAGGCAAGCGATATAGCTCTCAGGGTTCAATATTTATGAGGGACTACAGGCCACTAAATATAAGTATGTTAATATAAAATATAATATGTGCAATATATATGTTCTATTTATTTTAGATCCTGTAAATTATCTGTTATAATGTTTCATTATTTCATGGAATAAATTTCTGCTAATCTAGTCTATGGGGTATATATTAAATGTAAGTATAACTATAACTATGGAGCCTATAGTAAATGTAAGAATTGTAAACGGATCCCTTTTTTAACAGCTGACAGCAAGGTGAGGCATAGTCTGGTGTGACGAAGCACTAGATGTTTTTTATTTAAAAAAGTTAAATTAATTGAAAGGTTTCTTCACACCAAAGGAAAGATGTATCAAAATCAAAGTTTTGGACTGAGCAAATGAATTATTGAAAACTTGTATGTGTTTTCAGATTACATGTTTTATACTGTATATGCACTGGAATTTCATACATACAGCACCACCTTTGGATGTTTACAAGAAGCTTGTAAACACATTGAAAAGAAGGAGATTTTGAAAGCTAGATGACTGATCACATTCTAACACAACTCACTATGATGTTAAGACAAACCCCCAGCTCCAAACCATTTAAATACAAATAATGTAGATCACACTTAATACTTAAGGAAAGATCAGTCACTATCAGTTGCTTTAAAACACTTTTAAGAAATTCTTCTTCGGTTATCATAAGCAAAATGTATTTTTCCATTATTGACCAGGATGACCTTTATAGTAACATAAATGCATTAAAATCCTTTTTTTTTGCCCACAATAATTACTAAGTCATCTGGTTTTCAATTAATGGCAGATAAAATGGCATCTATATCAAGTGTGTTTGGGGATAAAAAAAAAACATGTTTACATAAGCCTAAACAACTTCAACATAAAAAGAAGTACAGTATATATGATATAACATCTCAGTAATGTCACATATAGAAATAATTATCAGAAACATTAGGCAGATGAATTAGCAAACCAAGTATAATGTTTAATATGTATTATAAATAATGGTGAATTAAAAAAAAACAACAGTTGTCATGTGAATTGTCATTGTCAACAGTAAAGCTGCAAAAAATAAATTTAAATTGATTACATTTATCAGTGCTATTTTTCGTTATTCTTTTTTATTTAACTTAGACACATACTGCAATCTTTATTAATACAGATGCAGTATTAAAACTTTAAATAACATTAAAAGTATTAATACCATAATACAGGCAACATGTTCTACTGCATTAAATAAGCCAAGTTGTTTTTAAGAATTTTGAATTTTACTTCTGATCTTTTGTCTGGTAAGATTTTTTTTAATGTGTTTGCATAAGGCACATTAGGATGGTATTCAACATGTAAAGGTTGTGTATAAGATATCAAAGAATGATGAAAACATAAGATTAGATTTCATCAGAGTTTGGAAATACAATTTTTAAATAAAGGAATCACTCTGCCAAAGATCAGACCTTTTTCAGCAGTGTGTATAGAATAGAACTGTAACCTGAGTTTTTCTGTTCTAAAGCGTTACGTATCATATTATTTTACACCCAAATAGCATTTACAGAAACCAAAACCAGATAAACCATTTTAAATATGATTGCCTGTTAACACAATGACTAATTTTCCTAACAAGACTGGAAGCTGATAGGTTGGTATTAAATGTCACAGCACTCAGACAGTGACGTTAACAGCCTTCTGATGTAAATGCAACATTTTTCAAGAGATTCACTAATGAAAATGATGATTCTAGTCCACAGTGGTCAGTTTTGAGATTCTGCTGGATATATTTTAATTAAAAAATGGGGTGCTTTAAAAGTGGGTGATTTAATATAATAATTATATTTCTAACACATACCAGACCACAGAGGTCAGCTATATAACAGATGTAGTAATTTATTATGTATAGAATGAGGGTGTATGGTGTCCGATTCCACATTCTGTGAGGGGGAGTGAAAAGAATGTTGTCAATAAAGTTAGAAAGAACAGTGACAGCAGTTCTTAGGGATTTCAGAGTCTTCAGGGGATGGCAAGTATGCAGTTATATATATATATCTTTTGTAGCAATAAAGTTCCTATATGTTTATGATTAACAGCTCATATTAGTTCAAAGTGACTTTCTTCTCACTAATATTGTCGAGTTGTTTTGAATGCTTCTGAATTGTAACATTGTTTGAGTGACCATCTTTTTTTAGAACAAAATAACATTGATTTAAAAATGGAGATTAATTTAGAAAACTAGCACTTTTGTACTGATTGCCAAATCACTGATTAGTCAGTGATTAATGGATCTTTCAAAATAATTCACAAAATAGAGATGAATATTCAGCAAGCTGACAGTCAGTCAGTTTTTAATGTACAACCTGTACATATTGTAAGCCAATTCCCAAGTTTGCTTTTGTGCAATCTAAAGTGTGTTGATATAACTAATTTGATTAAGGTCTAAACTGGGTCAGTTGACAAAGCTATACTATACTATTGTATTGTATATACTATAGCTATTCCATCCTTTTAGCTTACTGAATGTACTGTATTTAGAGGCAGAGGGATGCAGGAAGAAAATATTATTTGTTCCCTTGAGAAGGGAACTTCACTCAAATTATTCTTGTAAATACTGTTATACCCGGTCTTCAGGTCATGATTATATATGAGGATTAACTGATGTGTCTAGTAAAATAGGGGATTAAGTTTGCAGCTTTAAATATTGTACTCAGTAACATACTAAATTTATTTTTGTACTAATTCAGAATTGTATTTAACTCCAATTTCTTTGAGAAACTTTAAAAAACTTAAATATTGTCTCTGAAAATTTAGGTTGCTCCGTCTAAGAGGAGCAATTATTACAAAACGATTTGAGTGGAAATGTTTTTTTTTCATGCTTTCGATCAATAGCAATGAAAAAGGGGGCGTTTACATGCTGTACATTACAACGTTTTAATTGGATGAAGTGAAGACGTGTGCATGAGATATGTGATAGTACTCATATAAAATAGATTTGCAATATTTCATTTTTGTTTGTGTCTTTTATTTTACTACAAAGAATAAAGTAAGACATGGTTCTGTTTATTGGAACAGATTAGCCTGCTCAGACCTAACAGTTTCTGAAACAATTCGTGCTAAGCTTCAGTTCCAAATTAATGCCTTGTTTTTGCAGATCGTTCGTGTTCCTCCTGCAACCTTCTCTTTTGTTGGGTATTCCCTTAGAAGATGCGGTGTTCTCAAGCATCATTGGATTACACGGAGGGGCTGGGACCACAGCATCGTACGATGCAGCACACTTGGCGGTCTGTGGCTGTGCAAGATCTTCCTATACCAGCGTGTCCTGTAGTAACCCCGGCTGCGACCTTTTCCCTGCTTTCCGCTCTCAGCAAAGCACAGCGCTGGTCCCGTGATCATTCCTCTGCTGTTTGACGATAGAAAGCAACATGGCTGCCTTCAGCAAGTCTATTCCGCACAATTGCTACGAAATAGGGCATACCTGGAGTGCTTCTTGTACGCTTTCAACGCTTCAGGTCACGGCCGGAGCCCTTGAGGCGTCCTTTAAAATATATGCACCCTTATATCTCGTAAGTTAAAAGCTTTTTATCTGTCTAAACTGCTTCAGTGTACAGTGCAAGGGTATCCTTCAACACTGCACTAACTACTGTACTGTGTACTTGCAAGGCCTGCATGAGCACGATTGTGCAAAATAATAAATTAAAAATACCGAAGTAAGGACGATGTTTTATTTACGGGTCTACCAAGAAATGTATTTATTAAACTTTGGATTGAACAGTTTCTTTTCACGTTTTGCCTTGAAATTTGTTTTGTACAAAAGTTTAACTTTCACTATTAACTTTTCGCTGTAGGTTGCTAATTAAAACTTGCATTTTCTGTGCCGTTTAAATAGCTAAACATGCCTTGGTAATAGGATAGGAAGTTGTCATTATCGTATAGGACAGTGCAACCTTATTACACTTTTCTGATTACGTCACTGTACAGTACTTGTCACTTTAGTGCTTCATTAATGTGTACAGTAGCTTAATGATGGAATCAAAGGAAAACCACAAAACATGGATTTCTGCTTTACAGATAAACAATTGCATATTTATGTTGAACTTAACATTTACTTCCTGAAAATTCTTTTAACTAAACATGCCTTCATTTTGAATGAAATGTGTACAAGGAGAGATATATTTACATCTGAAAACAAATGATCAGAATTGTTATCTAGTTAAATGTGTTTTCAGAGAAACTAGACTTTGTTGAGACATTTACACTCTAACACTAAAATTGCTTCTAGGATGTCACAGATGGCAGATTAGGTAAATAAGCTTATTACTGAGGGCTGTATAATCTGTCTGTCAGTTAGGTATCGGATGTAGCCAGTGCTGAATAGTAAAGCAGATCATTGTTCTTCAGCTCAAAGTCTCACTTAATTCCTTGGTTTTGGTGAGGGGAAAACAATACTTTTGTTCTGAAAGTTTATTCCTTATCTGCTTTGTTTGAGCCACTGTGGTACAGTATATTATCAACTTCAGTGGCCAGTTGAAGTAAAATATGGTATCAGTAAACAGCACAGTTGTTTCTGCAATATCTTCTTAAATTTTTGGGTGATTGCTAAATGAGCTTAGTGCAAGTTGCTGGCCTTCTTTACTATTCTTCTTAGCTGCTTTAATCCATATGCTTACAGTATACAGCAGTACCCCTAAAGCTCTTTGTTAAAAAAAAATGCATTGAACACTGCAATAAGGAGAGGATGAAATTGTATTATTAAAATTAGTATTATTTCTAGTTTAGTATTTTTTGTGAGCCTGTACCAGCCTTTAATGGAATTTGGCCTGTTGGACATACTATTACAGTTTAAAGGTAATTTTGACCAGTGATTGAATAACTCAAATCAGACATGTCCTTCGTTAGATGAGCATGCTCTAAATAGTCCTATTTTAAATGCTGTGACAATTGTAGATTATCTAGGGTTCAGGATTTATCGTGGGGTCACTGAGAATGACAAAGGTTTCCTTCATTCACATTTTTCATTTCAAACTTATTGAATTAGTACAAAATGGGGTTCTAAGAAACTAGATACATTTACAGTTGTTTCACTGTTTTTTTAACCGTATATTGTTGTTAGTGAACATGGTCCTTTCATGTTTTTTTATGTTAAGTCTGAATTGTTTTCTAAGTAAAAAATCTTTGTGTTCTAGATAGCTGCCATACTTAGACGAAGGAAAAAGGACTATTACTTGAAAAAACTTCTACCTGAAATCTTGCAGTCAACCTCATTCCTGACTGCAAATGGAGGACTTTACATAGCTTTCTTCTGCATCTTGAGGTATGGGCTCATCAATTTGAGGCTGATATTCAATGTTTGCAACTTTCATAGTGTTACAGAGTCATAGGCATCTATTGCACACATACTGTTGCATGACCAAATCAGCTAGAACTGCCTTTGTACCTTAAATGTTTATTATCTCCTAAATGTAGTGAACTTAGATGGATAGAACAGCGTCTACGCTGTTGTGTGCTGGGGCAGCAGCATCATGACAAGACATGTAAATAGGCTCAATAAACTCATCAAGAAGGCTGGTTCTGTTTTGGGGCTGAGCCTTGACCCCCTGGAGGTGGTGGCGGAGAGGAGAATGATGACCAAGCTCACAGCCATCCTGAACAACGCCTCTCATCTGCTTCATGGGACTGTTATTAGACAGCGGAGCACTTTTAGCAACAGACTGCTCCAGGTACGGTGTTCAAGGGAACGTTTCCGCAGGTCCTTCCTCCCGGCGGCTGTCAGGGTGTATAACACTGCCCTAGGCTAGGACTGTTAGCCCTTCATTTGCTCGTCTATGGACAGCATGTTGCACTCATGTATTTTTTGGACACTGCATTAATATACTGTTTATACTGTGACACTTTCAATCAGTATATGCCATTTTGCACATATTTTATTGCTTTACAGTGACTATTGGCACATTTTGTACACACCTAACTCTATTCATTTTGTATTGCTGAACTTATTCTAATTTTAGTCTATTCTGATGTCTGTCTTGCTTGTCTTGGGCTGGGCTGCTGTAATGCCTCAATCTCCCTTCAGGATCAATAAAGTCTTATCTGTCTAAAACACGCACACACGTTTATTTTTTAGATTTTGTTCATCTTCAAGCAATAGATTTTCTATGAAATTGTTATTTAAATACTAAATATTAAAATAAACTAATTATAATCTCTGATAATTGATCTTTCCATATGCCTTATTTTTTGGTTTGATTTCAAAGTGGATCTGTTTATCCTCTTTTAAGGAGGAATTTACTTATGTGCTCTGCTTTGTAATAAAAAAATAAAACATGCTGGTGTAGGAGGTACTTTTGGGTTAAGTGCTCTTCCATTATTATTATTTTATAATAATAGTTGCTTACACCTATATAGCGCTTTTCGCTTTTCCACTCAAAGCACTTTACAGGTAATGGGCACTCCCCTCCACCACCACCAATGTGCAGCCTCACCTGGATGATGCAACAACAGCCATAGTGCAACACAACACTCACCACACATCAGCTGTCAGTGGAGAGGAGAGCAGAGTGATGAAGTCAGTTCATCAATGGGGATTATTAGGAGGCCATGATTTGTAAAGGCCAATGGGAAATTTGGCCAGGACACTGGGGTTGCACACCTACTCTTCTTAATGACCACAGAGAGTCAGGACCTCAGTTTTATGTCTCATCCGAACCACAGTGCCTTTTTACTGTATAGTGTCCCCATCACTATACTGGGGCATTAGGACCCACACAGACCGCAGGGTGAGTGGCCCCTACTGGTCCCACTAACACCTCTTCCAGCAGCAACCTTAGTTTTTCCCAGGAGGTCTCCCATCCAGGTACTGACCAGGCTCACACCTGCTGAGCTTCAGTGAGTTGTCAAGTTGTGCGTTTCAGGGTGATATGGCTGCTGGCATTTTGCCCTTTTGGGGTTGAAAGTTGTCAGTTCTTTTTCTCAAACTCCATATGGAATGTTTTGTTTATTATTTCTTCAGGAGAATTCTGGGGAAGTTCTACTCATGGTCTGCAGGCTTTGGAGCTGCATTACCTGCCTCATATTTAGCCATTCTCATTGAGAGGAAAAGCAGGTAAGACATTTTGCCCTTTATAATAGTACTTAGAGTGCGTAGTGGCATCACAGTTTAGAGACGTAAGTTGGAGAGAGGCAAGCAGAGGCCAATTACACACTGAAAAGTAACTAGAAAGGAGAAGGTGGCTCATATGGACTATCTTCCGTTGTCAACTACTGTTGATATAGTTGACTCGGTGACAGAGTCAAGCTGATACTGTAGCTTTTTTTCTTCTTCTTTTGTTTTACTTCTCAGCATGGTATTGCCCTCAACTTCTCCTCAAGCATTATAATCCCCCTACAAATAATGATACTGTGCAATTCATGTCGACAGGCGAGATATCTGTAATTATGATACACATTTATATTTGATGTATCTATGTCCTTGAAAAATGTTGCCTTTCCGCATTGTATTAAACAATCAAGGAGGAAGGATTACATTTACAAATACAGATTGCCTCATTCTGATTTCTGAGAGGGTGTTTTCCCTATCTGCCGACCAGCACAAGGCAAGCTCACTGAGATGATTGATTATTGAGTTTGACAGTGATGCATTACAGAGATGTTTTGCAGCATACCATTATCATACAATGTCATGACACTTTCTGAGCTCCAGTTTGGTTTATGGTTGATTCTTGTTTTGCGTAATTTTTCCCCTTAAAGTGAAATGTGACCTTAAAGTGTGTTTGAACTGTCACATGGACCAGATTGGACAGCCCTCCAAGTGTAGCAGATTTCTTTGTTGACTGTTTATTCAGGTGCAGTCAAAAAAATAAAAAAGAGAAGGATTAAATACCTACTATATAAAATATATCCATTTACTGCACCTCTTTCACATTGTCTCCTACAGGAACAGGAGTATATTTACCATTATCATTTTTTCTAAAACGTTGTGGATTTCTTATTGTACAGTACAGTATTGTACAGTATAGGTAATTTGAAGTGTGATGTTTCTCTGCCTTTTGTTAAATTGTGGATTTTGCCTAGAGGATGTTTTTTTTTTTTAAATGTGAAGACCTGATTGGACATGAAAATCAGGTGTACCACTAAAATAAACCTATTTAGAAGACAAAAGTTGAGAACAAAAGGCCGACTCAAAGTGCTTTTCACATTATGGATTGACCTTCCGATTTACAGAAATGGCTTTCTTTCCATTAACAATAAAGGAGGAAAAAGAGTATCAGACGTATTTGTATAATAGACGAGAAATAAAGTCAAGTGGTGTTTGTAATAATATATTCAGGAAGACTCTTTTCAATGATCTAAATATTTGGTTAGATGGCACAAAGCACCCAGAACTAACCCGATCTATATTGTTGGGACATGTCTCCAAAGGACCCAAATAGCTAATGCCAAACTATTTAAAAGATGTTTAAAGAACACATGTAGCTGAAAAGGTACTAATCCTTAAACCGGCACTTTTGAGTTTACAGAGCTTTGGTAATGATTTTTTTAAATGTTTTTTTTAGAACATTAAGTGCTGAGCAATTTGCTTTCTGCACCTTTATAATTTTGTCTCCAGTAAAGACTTAATAAAAGTGAAATTGAAACATCTCATTGGGCCTCAACTTGAATTCATCAACACTAGGGAAAGACAGCTGGCTGAACTGTTCTTCAGATTGTGAGCACAGCTGGGTGTCAAGATGTCTCCTGTTCTGGGCTGGTGCACAACATTATTCTGCACTATTGGAACACAATTCACCCAGTGCTTCCTCAGGACACTGAAATTACACAACTGGCTGCTCGTCTGGGTTATTTATCATTGTGTTGAACTTGGAAAGTTAGTTTAAGCTCTTAATTTAAGGAATTCTGTCCCCAAGGATATCAGAGAGTCACTTACACTGAGTGCATTTAAATCTAGACTCTTCAGAAAGGCTTTTATTTAATGTCAGTGTCTGCTCCATTTTCTAATGGCTTTGTGTTTTGTGTTGCACCTCTAACCACTTGTTTTTCTTATATGTTTATTTTTTAATGTTCTATCCTTACAAGTATTTTAAAATTTATTATAATATTATTTTATACAATTATTATTACAAAGAATTTTGCATCAGTAGAAGTCTACTGGATACTATAAAGCTCCTACTCTCTGGGGTTATAATTGTGACCACAATGATATTGATAATGAGACAATACAATTATCATAGCACCTGGATAATGCTGGTCAAATTTATAGTGAAATTATAGAATTTTGTGTCTTTTTACTTCAACAGAATTTTAAAGCTTATTAATTCCTTAATTTTAATTTTTTTCAATGAATTGTAAATTGTAAATGACTGTTCATAAGAATGGGGTAATAGTGTTGTGTGACTAATAATGTAAAGCTATAGAATAACAGTAACAGAGTCAAATCTCAGTTTATTGTAGCTAAGTAGCCCTTAGTAACATTTAAAAACTAAACATAGCCTTAATAATACTCTTAAGATTTACTAAAAGACCGAAAACAATTAAAATAAATCAAGTCATTGTTTTTCCAAGCATGGGATGAATAATTGAGTCTACAAAAATCAGTTTCCACTTTCCTGCATGTATAAAATATTTTGGGATACCTGATCCGTTCCTTTACTTTTTCCTCTCATTCCTCTGTTGCTTTCAGATCTGTGAGCTCCAGTGCCATTTTTACACACTTTTCAACAGATCAGCATTTGCCAGAACCCTGTGCATTAGTCTGGCTGTCAGTGAGCAACTCCTTGCTACTGGATATAGTTACAGTGTATTCATAATTATAGCTGTTGCTTTGGTGATATTAACCACTTCTTTACTTAGTTTGTGAAACTGCATTAATATAATAAGCCTTAAGTTAATATGTACACAGGGGTGGTTTAAAATATTCTTAGCCAAATGGATACAATGTATTGCTGTCCAGCCCTGTGCAGGAGGTTCATTGCTGATTGGAGATGAGAAGGGGCCCTCACCAACAGCACTGCAAACCTGTAAAGGCCTAGGAGGTCATAGAGGCCGATGCGTCACCATGGCTGACTAATCCCAACTCTACCATGGAAGGCACTCAGCCAGTTGGACAACACTGCCTGGGGAGTCCCAGTCACAGTCGACTGTAACATGACCCCGGCTTCAATCTAGAGCTCATCCTGCACTCAAACGAGCACCTTTACTGGGGGGAGAACTAGGTGGTTTTATTGTGAATTATCCAATTATTGTACATACTCAGTTTGGTTTAATTCCATTACTGTAGATGTATGGCTGGGGGCAGACAGAGGCAGTTCTGCATTAAATAAATATCGGGTCTCCAAACGTCTATTCTAGTTCTATATCTGTGTCCCTTTGGAGCAGTGGTTCTTAACCTGGTGGTCACGTGTCCCGTGGGGGTGAGAGATGCCCTTTTGGAGGCGTGAAACATGCCAGATTTTTTGTAGAAGGTAAATCATCAAAAACAAAACTTACTTCAATGATTTTTGATAAGGATTGCAAGAACATACTTTGGGAACCAAAGTGGTGCAGGCTGCAGTAAAGGTCAAGAACTACTGCATTAGAGGTTTTTACTCAACAGGAGTATATTATAAGCGTCTTTTAACAGTTTTTGTTTTTAACAGCTGCTTTGAGTCCTGAGATGTAGTTTTTAATTGTCATTTTGACTAACGATTGCTATTGAGGTGTAAGGAGTATGGCTGTTTGCTGGGACCACAATACAGGAAGATTTTTATTTTATTTTTTATTTTTAATTGTGAGTTGACCTTTTTTTGCCCTGCACATTTGTGAAAATGCCTCTCTGTTGGGAGTCTGGTGGTCCACAGGAAGTCACTGGGTGTGAGAGATTAACTCTAACCTAAACACTGGTGGGGACTCGTTTATTTTTCCAAGGGTTTAATCAGACTTTTGGAACCCTGCTTCCGTGCACTATGTTGCCCAGGTGTGTGGTTGGCATGTTCTCTTTAATAACAAAACAACTAGATAATTACAGTAGGAAAGGAGTTATCCTTGATTTATCTGCTTAATCTGTTGCTCCGTTTATATATTGTATAAAGCACAGCCTTCCTGTTTTTACAGTTCCTAAATCCTGTGAAGATCCTGCAGTATTTCATGTTTTTTTTAGTGCTGTCATTCATAGCTGGTCGATGAATTATCTTCTTTTAGAAAAGGCACAGAAATTCCTGGCACAGTCCAGCATTATGGTAGCAGTATTTCTTAAGTGCATATTATTCATATTTGAAACATATTGGTAATAAAAACTATGCAAGGAATTAGGGGAAAAAAGTAAGTATTACTGACCGTTTTTCTGAGACAAAAACAGTTTGGATTCCTGGAAGACTATCATAACTTATTTTTCCAGATATTCTGCAAGGAGTCAACTAAATTTATTTGCTTTGGCATTTTGTAGATTTGACTTAGCCTGTACATTGTTCTTGTCACACAATATTTTTTCTTTAATTATGTTGCCTTTTTCTGTATTTGTAGTGCTGTAATCTGTGAACTGTGATAAGTCAGGTGCTGTGATATTGCGTAGCATGATGCAGGCCAACATTTGTGTTTGCCAATTTGTGAATACTTTCTAATACAAATCAGTTATTTCTATTTTGTGCTGTTGTACATTTGTTCATAGCAGCCGATCAGTCTTCCTAAAAAGATTTTAATATTCTTGCATCTGTCTTAAATCTACGTTGGTTTGTCAGTCATGCAGTTCTTTGACAAATGACATGGAAAATTGGCTTCTGTAATAGTGTCTGTTAAAACATTGCGGTACTTGTGATTTGGTCTTTCTGCACTGCCAAGTTTCAGTATTTTGGGATGTACGTACTGGAATCTGAAGGTTTCTAAGGTGCCACTGAGGGATATCATATCTTTTTCTGTCTTGCAGCACCTATAGACATAAAATCACTGGTGTTCTACTGGGGGGAAAAAAGAAGGCTAGTGGACTATGATTGTTGAAATGAAGCATGGTACTTTATGGTATAGGGATGTGCACTTAGAATAAAGAATGTGCTCTTCTTCCAGCTGGAAATTGAATTCCGCTTGGGTCTTTTCCACTTCCTTTTGTATCTTAATGGTAACTTATGGGAATAGGCAGGAAGAATGTACATAATTCAGCATATAAATTTAAGACTAGTATGCCTGATCTTTTTAAGTGCAGTCTTTTGTTAAAGAAAGATTGAAATGCAATGCACATTTCTTTACTATAAAGTGCATACTTGTTTGCATAATTAAACCCAAAATCATAAGTAACTTTTTGTGTTCTTTAGCTCAGAAAGTTAGATTTTCATACATCATACAGATATGAAGATATAGATTTTAATTCCACATTTATTACAGCCTTGTGGTTATGTTTTAATGCAACTTTTAAATGTCTGATATTATTTTAAGTCTTCAGCTGTGTATTAGATATTTTCAGCTTGCATTCAAAATGTAAACTGGACTTCTTGGGAGAGAATGAATTGAATAACTGAATGTGAGTAATAATCAAAATGCTAACTATAATTATGAACATATTCTAGTGTCTTCAAGGGAAGAGTTGTGATTTTGGCTGTCTCTACAAATGTATCTCAATTGAACTTTGGGACATGAGCATATTGTTTTGCGGCACACAGACTGTTATATAATCTTTCTCCTATGACCTTCCTTTGTTTGCTGGTTAGGAAATCATTTGATTAATTGATTTTTTTCCCTTTCTGAGCAGAAAAAGGCTTTCTCTCTTAAATCTGAGTTAAAGAACTCTTTCTATAGACATTATAAATGACTTGCAGGCCAGGATGTTTTGGCTGGAAATGTAAAAACCATTCTTGTTGTTGCTAGGCTCCCTGCCCCAGTGAACTGCATATTCTGTTTTTTGTCTTCCAGGCTTTTCTGCTAAGTATCTGGCACACACTTTTATTGCTTTGTTGGGGGTGTGGTTATTTCATTTGTTAGCCCACATTAATTTTGTCAAAAGCTCTTTTGGAATGATTTGTTCACATTTTGTTGGAGTTGTAATGTGAAATTTACTGACACAAAAATATTTCTGTTACAAAACCATATATAAACAAGTCATAAAAGATAAATTAATGCTAGGGCCGCTGTCGTGTTTTACTGCTTTTGGTAACATTTTATTTAGCAGTGCTACTCTTTATTTTTTTGCAGTTTTTAGTTCATGCATCTAAACCAGAAAATAGAGTATACTAGCATTCACACTCCTAATAGTACAAATGAAGAAAATGTTTATTAAGAGATTCCAATGTATAACATATCTCAAGTGTAAAGGAGGGGTGCTTTTTATAGTTTAGATTTTATATATAGAGTAACTTCTTTTTTCCAGAATCTGTTCTCAGCTGTAGTCCAGTGGCATACAAGTATGTCTTGATTAGAGGAAACGCTTAATTTCCTTGGGTGGTACTGTATTGGACTTCTGTTTTCAAATTAAGAAACTTTTTAAGTTTCATAATATATATTTTTTTTCAATAAGGCTTACGGTCAGGTCTAATCACATCACTAACGAGGATTAGCAAAGACCTTAATGCTGTTTCCAGAGAGACCTTGAGAGAATTTCACCCTCAAAGAGCTCTGGGAGCAAAACGTCAGCAGGAGGGATGTAGAAACATGCCCTTTTATCTGAAAAAGAGTTACACAGTTTTCAGCTTTTTTGTGTTGTAATGTGGTGCTTTAAGGAATTGCTCTTTCCCTGCAAACACAAAAAATAAGACCACTTTTTCTGATTGTGATATTGTATTTTGATTCACATCCTAGATCCGCGTTATATCAGACATTCAGATTAAATCTGTTTACGTCTCTGAAGTTGGCTAATGTGTTATAATGTTAATTCAGTTTTAAAAACAAATTGCTATGTTTTTTTCAGTGGTTAAATAAATTGATAGAAATTATACCTTTTCTGGTACTTTTCCACTAGCTCATACATAATAATTAAACCCTTTCTTAATGTGATTTTGCTTAGATAGTGTTTAGTGAAGGGTAGTTAAATTGGGTCACATTGCCATTTGCTTAAACTTGTTAAAATGAAATAGAGTTAAAGTAGAATGCATTTGGGTACTGTAAAGGTTTATTCTATGTGATGAATGTAATTGTTATGAAAGATGTACGCATTTGATTTTCACATAACGGAGACATTAAATACTTCCAAATCTGTTTTCTCCTTCATTCAGCTAATATACAAAAAAAGTACAGCACTTGAAGAAAGGGTTTGTATTTTTATATTTTATTAACAATTCATGTTTTTATTTGCTTTGTAGGAGAGGATTGCTAACAATATACATGGCGAACTTGGTAAGTTTTAAATGTTGTATTCATTACAACTAAACTAAAAATGCTTTTGTCCTTTTCACTGTTTCCTGCTGATAAAGTAAAAAATATCATTTAACTCTTGTACACTCCAGTAAAACCATTCTCAGCATTCCACATTTAAATTAAGCTACTGAAATTTAGTGATAAATGCAGCAGTAAGTGTTGTAATCCACAGAGGGAATTCTCCATTCTAATTTTTTTTTGCATTGTCTTGATACAAATCTTTGCAAATCAGGACTGCTGAATACATTAATTCAAGCATTAATATGAACATGTATAAAAATGATCAAGTCACATTGTTAATGACAGTGCCATGAAAACATTTTAGAAATTAAGTTAGTGAGCTTAACTTGAACACTCATTGTACAGTGGAAAAATGTATTAAAATCATCCATTCATGGCATCATGTATTTAGAAATACAAGAAATCACGACTGCATGCATTTTGTGAACTTTCTTTGTAGTTGTTGAAAATATTTAGAGTTTAGTTATATAATGTGTTGTGGTGCATCAAAGTTAGTGAAAACAAACATGAAAGTACAATCACTATCTCAATGAGCCTTTGCAGCTAACTTCATTTTTTCCTACCAGAAAGTTTGATTATATATATATGTCTAAGTCATTGAACTTCAAATAGCTCTATGGCATATGCTAGATAACTTAATATGCTTTCTTGAGAAGACTGTGAAGAAGAGCTCTTGGGAAATGTGCAGCCATATATTGAAAGGGAACATTAGATGCATAGGAAATACCTTCCACATGATTGAAATAAGTTATGATCATTTGTTTTATGTCAGGATTTGAGCAGTCCTCAAGACTTCGTTTGTTTTTCAGCAACTTATAAAACAAAGCTCTTGAGCTGCTAAGAGTGAGGTCCTTAATTGTAATTAGTTAAGTTTAAGGATTAAAGGGAGTGTCCCAAGAGAATTCCAAGATATTAGGCTGAAGACAGCACTAAAACGTCTGTAGGATCATGTACAGGCTCTTAAATTACAAAAAGGCTTTATTCACTTCTCTGGTAGAGAATTAATCAAATAGTGTGCTCACTGTGAAAAAAAATAGCTTAACTGTCAGTATATTTTATTTCAAAGGGATATTTAAGGGGTATTTTGACCACTAAGTGGAATTAAAATGGTTAAATTCAGAATTCAGAATTAGATGGAATTAGACAGAATTAAATTCAGAATTAGACAGAAATAGTCTAATTTTGATTGGTTTAAGTGTTTAAGATTAACATTGTATCAGATTTAATTTTATTTTTTTTTATTGTTGGTCGTATAAATATTATTCCTAGTTTATTTACAAAAGCGGTAGTTCTTAAAGTTTTATTTTTTTTACTGATGTGTTGTAACGAACAGTTCTACTGCGATGATCACCCATCTCATATTTAAGAAATATTTCTGTTCAAGAGATGTACCACATCTTCTGAGTAATGTTTCATTTAGGTTAGTTTTGTTACTATTTGCCAGTAGAGAATAATACCCCAAACTGTCCTGGGGTGCAAGGATCATGCAAGTCTGGTGTTTCTGTCATACAACTGGAGCCTCCCAACAGCTGACCTTCAGATACAAAACATGTCATTATTAAAGACGGAAGTCCATTTTGATGTCTCAGGATTTGGATATTTATGCTCTAGCAGTGTAAACATTGAGTCCAATTGAAAATGAAACACTTTTATAACCTGGTGTTGCATATATACTAATATTGCACATTATTGTGTTGCTCTTATCAGCATAAAGGAGTATACAGTATTGTATTTAATATATTGTAGAAACTAGTTGTAACAAGATTTTTTAATGTACAAACGGATTTATAAAACACGTCACACCAGCAGGACTGTGATCTCCATAGACTCGATAAGTGAGCAAATTAGTTTGCATGTTTGACATTCCAGTTGCAATTATGACGAATCGGTTGGGCGCTCAATAAAAAGAGCTGGGTTAAATGTTGGTGCTATGATAGGATTGGGGTTCAAATTGCAATTATGGAAGGTCTTAACTTATTGAGTAAGTTAATATTGAATAATTTAATTTTAAGAGGGTCTAAATTAAAGAATGGGCTTGTTCTAAGAGTACAACTAAGGCTCATCTAGTTTCAGGATTAGTTGAAGGGGTTAGACATAAAATAAACTTTGAAACATTAGATTTGAGGTTAGGTTTAGGTTAGAGGTGAAATTAGGATTTGGGCTCTATTAGGTTCAGGACATAGGATATAGAGTGAGACCAGCATTGGCTTTGGGCTGGATTGGTTTGGGAATAGAGTTGGTATTTCAGCGAAAGGTAAAGGTTTAGGGTCTTATGTCATAAAGTAACCTCAAATGAAAGTGCTGAAATTTTAGAGAGAGGCAGTGGTCCTAAGCCCCACTTTGAGTTATAGTCAGAAATAGCTCAACTCTGCACAGGTTGGAACATAACTTACACTTCATCAAGCTGTTTTATATGGATGTGAAGTTTATGTATGAGCTGAACACATCTTTGAAAGTCAGATATTTTTACTGGCCTCTCAACGTGTAAACAAATGTAAATCAAATTTCTTTTCTCAAGATTCAGTAATCCCCAGAACCTTGCTGAACGGAGCAAGATTTTAGATCTGCTTAAGTTATTGAAGTTCGCTCTCTGGTATTAAGTCTGTTCCTGGAAATTCTGAATGTTTTTTTTTTATTTTATTGTAACTTAATTTATATTTCAGTGTACGCCAACATTCTGTTCCACTTAGTATGATTCCATGTGGATTGATTACATCATCTCAAAACCTTCCCTCTACAGTGGTGATGTGAGGACCATACCTGTATTCCAACGCTGGGGAGTGGTTGTTGCAAGAAGTAGTTAATAGGTCGAGTTGCCTTTGTCATTTGGCAGTGTTTTCTCAAAATATAATTCATTTTAATTGCTCTCCTGGTGGTTGAGCCTTATAGATTTCTTGTTCTCGCAGTCTGAGCCAACTTGGAGGAACATTTTTGCGGTGGCCCCAAAGGCAGTACTCTGTGCTGTAGCTCTAAGGTTATAGCTCCCCACTGAAATCCTCCAGCTTGTTGGCTCAAGTCCTCCTTATTTTTTCCGCACAGCTGTGATTACAGTAGACCACTTTTTTTTTTTCTCCTGTAACGATGCCTGTACAAATGCATGTCATTTTTTTGTAGCATTTCTTTATGTGAATGCTTGCAAATGCACCACATTTTCAGACGTTCCTTATTATTATTTAAGTCAAGGTCTTGTGTTGTGAAATCTTTTTACAATAAGTATTGCAATGCAACCATAGGTTAAATGAACAAACGTCAAATCATATTAGACTGCACTGTACGTTGTTCAGCACTGACTTTTACAAATATTTTGTACTGCTGCAGTATGGTGTGCCAGTTGCATGGATTTTATGTTAGAAAGGAAATGATGGCAATGATGAAATACATGTTCTTGTAAAGTTTACTTTTCTTTTAGGAATAATTTCCTTTGACCTCTTTCTTTGGGTAAAGATAATGTGAAGTAATTCAGGTGAGGTTAATGTTGACTAACCATGTACACAATGCCTCCATGACATTAAGGGTGATGCGGCTTTGCTCTGTTTGAAGAAAATGAACTAATTTAGTAAATGTTACTCTTGGAGTTTAAATTAAGTAGTTCCATATACTGTCCTTGTATTAAAATATAACTGTAAGGAGTATTTTGTCACAAAACACCTAAAAAGTCGTTTCTAAAATGATTTATATTAATGTATAAGCAGTACTAATCCTCACCTGGAAGATGCACCTCCTAAATTTGAGGTTAATTTAATAACTCACATGTAGAGTGCAGTATGTACATGTGGTTTTAACTCCACAAACTTCTCACCATTGTCTTCAGAGTGTGACTTAAATAGCGAGTCTAAAATGGCATTTCTAAAAGAGGGTGTTAATTCATTTTTTACACTTCAGTTCAGTACAATAATTTTGAATTTTGTTCTGAATTTGGTAACAGTTGCAAGAGATTTAACATAAAGAATTTTTGAAAATCATTTAGAAGTAATACAAAAGAGACATCTTAAACATATGCTGGCATCTTAAACATTTTTATAGATAAAAAGCTCATATTATCATATGAAGTATTTAGCCTTCACAGGCAGTAGCATGCAATAACCAATTTGAGACCCATTTATTACTCACATAATTTTTCTGTTGGTCTAAGGCGTCAATTTACATTCGGATTTTGTCAGAAACATGCCTACAGTACCTACAGTAGTAACTGACACAGTTAGAAACTTGTTGCCATATACTTTTAACAGAAATCCTCATGTAAATTTAGGTTTTGATCGTTGAACAAGGTCAATTGTCTCCTTTAAATTCTGTGGAAGAAAAATGCTGCAGCTTTTCCTCTCCCACATTACAATGATTGTTCTAATTCATAGATTATTTCTTCATCAGACAACAAGAAGTAAACTTTAACTGCTGCTGATGTTACATGGTGTCACAAACATGGCTCTTTGAACGTTATTCAAAGTGCACCCTATGCATTCAGATGTTTCTAAAAACACTATACTGTTCAGTTTTGGATTCATATATATGTATGTTCATTTGGAAACATTTACTCTGGGATCCCATTCCCATTGTATGTTATTGTGCTTTGTTGCACTGTCATTATTATTGTTTACTGTTTTGGAATGTACTGTGCACCATTTTATTTTGTGAAAGTGTTGTCTATCATGCTGTGCACATCGTGAGAGAACAACACAAATACGAATCCCAATATACACGTACACATGGCAAATGAACTCCTCTCTCTCATATTTTGGGATACATTCCATAATATAATTCAAGAGGGAACACAGTTTCTGTAACAGTCTATATTTGAAAGAATCTACCTTTTGTAGCTAAAGAAAATGGCTAGCAGGGGGGTACTTGTCCAATATAAGATCCCCCCTTCTATGTAAAACAGAAAATATTGTTTTTCTGAAATCATGTTTTCACAGAACATTTTGGATTTTGGAGTCGATACCTATTACACATATATTGCT